TGGCTCAGTGGTAGAGTTGTCATCTCTCAACCGAAAGGTTGGAGTTTGATCCCCAGCTCCTGCAGCCACATGTCCAATGTGTCCTTGGGCAAGACACTTAACCCCAAGTTGCTCCCGCTGCTTCATTGGCGACCTGTGAATGTGTATGAATGGGATGAGTTACTTCTGATGGTCTCACTACACAGCAGCCTCTACCATCAGTGTGTGAATGTGTAGGTGTGAGCTGAGGTGTAAAAGCTACAAGCTCAAGTCCATTTACCATGAACATTTTTTTTGGGATATTGAAGAGGATATTTTTAAATTTTAAAGACATTTGCTGCTTTTCAAACCAGCATTTTGTCCGTCTGTTTCCTTCTGCTGCCAACCCTGAAAGTATTTCTTCATTCTCGCACTCACTCACTCATTTGCAGTTTATTTTATTTAATGAGAGCGAGCTGGAGCCTCTCAGGTTAGTCAGCTCAGTTGGGAGATAACTTTGCAGTGGCAGCGAGTCTCACCAACCTCGGAGGAGGACGGAGGTAAAGGTCGAGCTTCAGTTTCTCACTTTCAGAGCTGCAGCAGTGTTTCAGGGTTTTCTTTGAAGAGCAGATTATGTATTTAGAGTAACATTAATGTCACACCTTCTTCAGTTAGGATTGACAATGTGTCTTACAGTTTAGTCCCAGTTTATTGTCTTTAAACTCGCCTGGCGCTGGCAGAGTGCACAGCCAGCAGATTTTGGTCTTCTGTTTATGTCAACACCAGCAAGTCTCAGATCCAGACAGCAGGGCTCCTTCACTGTCACCCAGATGGGGAAGGAGAATCAAAGGCTTTCTGCTGGGTGGCTGCGACTAAATTACTATACACACACACACACACACACACACACACACACACACACACACACACACAGCGGTCTGACACTTGTGCCAAGCCAGATTTAATGAGAAGATGCCGGAGTGAGCGTGTTACCAGGAGGAGCAGCAGCAGCAGTTCCTGCCAAAGTGACTCGGCTTCTGGGAAAGGAAGTACAGTTCCTCCTGTATTTACTGAAACAGAGCGAGACGTGTTACATTGTAGTCATAGTTTTAGATAAGAACTCAAAGAGAGCTGATGTGGCGTGGACAACTTTGTATCATATCAAAAAGTACCTGAGGTTTGTTCATTAAAAAAAACAAGAAATGACTTTTTCTATTTTTGCTGCCGTGGTTGCAAACAGGTATGGATACCGTTCAAAGTTTAAAATTCTGGTATGGTGAGAATAATGGTGACATTGTGTTCAGATAGCAATTCAAAAATAGCTGATGTGGCTCTTACTTTTAATCTTTTTAGACACAACTGAGAGAAGCAGTGGCCAAAAATGTTTGCATTTCTGGAAGTTTCCATGCATATCTATCTAGTAAGCCTTAAAATACCCGTAAACACTCAGTTTCTAGTGAACGTCTGCAGCGTGGAAGTGATTTACAGCTTAGATCTGGTGTTTAACAGAGGTAATAACAACCCTCAGAGACGGACCCAGGCTGCGGTGAGCGGACCGCCTGCAAGATGCAGAAAAGAAATCCCAATATGGAGAACACCAGCCTGCAGGCAGAGACTTCTTTTTAAGCCGTACAGTGTGGTGCATATAACGTGTTGATGGTTGTTTTCTTAAAACCTCTTAATGTGGAAGCCAAGCACGTAATCAAGTGACATTCCTGAGGCCCGCCTTCCTGCAGGATTTATCGGTTTTGTTCGCGTTTAGAAGGTCTGCGCTCTCGAACGCAGCGTGGGACAATTTCCAGTCAGACAGTTTCTAGAGCTGTCGTCTTTAATTACGGTTGGGCTGTCAAAAATAGAAACTGTGACTATATGATTCTGTGGTTGTTGTTTCTGTGTCCGTCCCTGGATTGGTGGGACGATAAAGATCACTGTTGGGAAAATAAATAAGGGGGTCCCAGGCAGGCGACATTTTTAGATCGTAGTAACAACAAACTGCATCTGGGAGGGCATGTAAGCCACATACAGTGCATACATGTTTCTCTCTAATAACAGACGGGCTTCAAATGGCATTTTTATAAACATCACATACTTTTAACATTTGTTTTTTTCATTAATCCAGCATTTAAAATGTAAGAAATAACAAAAAATGGCTCTACGAATCCCCTAAAGTCAGAGCACACATCTTCAAATGGTTATCGAAATGTCCAAAATTCACTTTACTACCACGTAGTACCCAACCTGGCTCAACAGTATGTGACAAAAGAGGTGTGTGTGTGTGTGTATGAGTATCAAACTCCAACACAAAACACAAACAAATGTTAACAGCAGCCTGCAGGAGAGAAGAGAATGAGAAGATTGAGCAGGTCTGCTTTGTAGACTCCCAAAACCAGCCTACTCAGGTGTGCTGCATTAGAGTCCTCCCTGACTCCACCCACATCTAGCTGCAACAAGGAGACCACAGCCAGCAAAGGGAAACAAACAGGAAGAGGCCAAACCTTGAGGTGGTCACACAGCGTAGAGAAGTCAGAAAAGCTCTATAATGTTTGCTTTAGTGCTAATTGTACAACGTTAGCATGCCAACAGGATACACCTTGATAAGTAGTAGTATTTATTACTGGTATTTATTACAGTAAAGTTCGATGTGCAGTCTCATCTCTTATACAATACTTATTTTTGCAACATGTTTCTCCTCAAACGTGTTTTTTTGCATCACTTAATTGGAAGAGTTAATCTGATGGCAGCTAATGAGCTTCTTCTGACTGGATCACAATGATGTGAGAGCCTCTCTGTGCAAGAGTATACAGCCTTACAAAGGAGGAAGAGCTGTCCCAGGAAACATGTTTTTAAAAACATAATTAAAAGACGGTTGAAAAAAATTAGACAGATTTACTGTTTTTGTTTTCTGCTTCTGTAGCTTCTAACGGGATATATTTTTGAACATTAATTTTGGCCCGTGAATGAATTCAGACCTCTCATCATAAATTTAATCTTAAGCAGCAACCTCCGGTGTTGAAAATGAAGCTGATGCTGAAGTGTAAAATCCTGCAGTTCCTCGAGTGTCCACTAGAGGCTGGCTGCAGAAGCACAGGAAGTCACATACACACCCGTTCAAAAAAGCCTGTTTTTACAGCAGAGATTAACATGTTTACAGCCTGGTTCAAAAACACAAACAGGTCTGATTAGCTTCATGTCTCGAACAGCTCACACTGTGAATTTCTCGATGACTCATCCGTTTTAATTTGATGATAGAGTTGTTCACAACAAGGCGTGTAGCTGACCTGATTGACAGGCGGGCGCGGTGTAACGGTTTGTCAAGAGGCTTAGATCCCACAAAAAATACTTTTTTTATACCAAAATAGTAGTCCTAGGCCTCCAGTATGAGGTAGTTTCACGTCTTTGAATCAACAAATTTTGCAGGCAACCTCCTGCACGGTGTCTTAACTACAAGAATACATCAGCAACGTTTGGATACCCTGCATGTTGCTGATGTATTAGTGCAATTCAGACATTGCGCTTTCTCTTTCTCTCATAGCAGCTCTTGGTTAAAGATACAACTGAAGATCGACTATCAATCATTTAAATGTCAGAGATTGTATCGTTATGGAAACATGTGGTCTAGAAAGTATCAAACATTTTGAAACCCTCCGTCTGTTTTCTTTATTCCAACGTGCACACACACGTTTATCTCCAAAAGCAAGCCAAGCACGACGATGCATCGATTGCTGCATACGACCCATAAATCAGTGTCGCTTGTTAAATCACACACAGCCGTTTGTGTTTCCACCTTAAATGGAGACTAATGAACCAACAGTTTGTAAAATAAAGGGAGCGCCTTCTGACTCCTGGTAATCTACTACCATATATGGTCATTTGCCTGTTTAAGGGCTGCATGTCTAAGTACACTCAATGGTCGTGCGTGTAGTGTGTGTGTGCGTGTGTGTGAGGTCAAAGAGAGGTAGATTGAGGCTCCTGTAAACACTGTCAGTCTGTGTCTGTCGCTCCATTAAAGCGGTCTCTCTGTCTGCTGGCTCTTAAACACTCACGCTGTACCATCTGTGGCCAGCTGGTCGGGTAAAAGCCTCGCTGGCGACAATCATCAACTGGATCATTAGCTGGATGATCTGCTCAGCTGTCGGACACCCCCGAATATTTAGCCTGCAGCTGTTTATCAGAAACATGCATACAGGAATTAATGTATACAGTATGTCCTGTGATTGGTAAAATACTCTGTAAAAACTTAGCAAGTGTATTTGTCTAATTTACAGCCAGAATGTATCTATCCTAAAACCCCCCATTTGGCCCCACCCCCCAAAAAACTCAAACTAATAGTGCTTTTACACTCCTGAAAAACTGCATGTGTGAACGCAAAAGTTATCCAAAGTTTCTCCTCCAGCCTCCTCGTATTTATTGTGCAGGACGGCTGTGGCTCAGTGGTAGTGTCGGTCGTCTCTCAACCAGAAGGTTGAGGGTTAGATCCTCAGCTCCTGCAGCCACATGTCCAATGTGCGACTTCAGCCGGAGTTTCTCCTCCAGCCTCCTCGTATTTATTCTGCAGAAAGTCAGAGTGAGCTGATGTGAGAACACAGCAGGATATAATCAGGAGTATTCACCTGGAGCGAGTGGGAGGGGGTGATGACCTTTATTCCCTGTGATCGCTGCACGACCATAGACTGTCTGCACGCCACCTCTACCATCTCTGTGCTCTAATGAACCTGCTGCATTATGTTTCCTGTTCTCCAGTATGTTCTTCTCCACTCTTTAGTTCACATTGAGATTCTGTTCAACTACATGTAGCATTGATAGAAAGACTTAAATATTCTCATTATAGCGTCGTGTAGAGGACTCTGATGCTTCTTCAGATATCTCTGATAATACTCCGAGTCTGGAAGGTGGTTTTATTTTGTTCCTCTATTCTCCGTCTAAACAAACAATGACATTGTAGTCAGCTTTACTTCTTGTTTTTGTTATCCCTTATGTCACCGACCATGAATGAGAGTTGTTGATGTGTTCTCACAGATGTTCTCTCTTTCTGTGTTCTTCAGCTCTCGGCAGCAGCCCGGCGTGCGAGCACAGGGACCCGCCCAGCGTGCAGGCGTGTCTGACTCGAGCAGGTGGCGGGAGGAGCGACAAGAACTGGAAGGGGTCAATGGAAGAGTCCTTGCCAGCAGGTCGGGCTCACAGTCTAAACCACAAGGTACATATTGACTGACGAGAGGGAGGGGTCAGTGGACACAGTTTGTATTAGCGTGTGATTCACACTTGTGGTCAGGGAGAAAGTAAAGACACACAGAGATGAATCAGAGAGAACTTCCTGCTGCTTTAATAGAGTCTTTATTTCTCTCCACATTCAGACATGTGGGAGGAAGTGTTCAGATCCTAAACTGTTTCGCAGTCTGAGCTTCTTTTTTTAGATTTCTTTATATTTTCTAAGATATTCTTTGGAAGCTGTAAAGAGAGGAGGTTCCTGGTTTTAATCCCCGTCTGACAGGAACCTCTCTGAGTTTGCATGTTCTCCTCGTGCATGTGTGGGTTATCTCCGGGTACTCCGGCCTACTCCCACAGTCCAAAGACATGCTGGTTAGGTTAACTGGTGACTCTAAATTGCCCGTAGGTGTGAATGTGAGTGTGGCTGGTTGTCTGTCTCGATATGTGAGCCCTGTGAACAGTCCAGGGTGTAACCCTGCCTCTCACCCAATGACAGCTGGGATCAGCTTCCGCCCCCACGACCCAGAAAGGGAGAAAGTGGTATAAGATAATGGATGGATGGATATTCTTTGGTATTTTTGCTTTATTTAAATAGGACAGCTGAAGAGAGAGAGGAAATGTTGGTAGGAGAGAGTGGGGGACGACATGCAGCAAAGGGCCGAGGTCAGATTCGAACCGATGGTCGCTGCGATGAGAACTAATGCCTCTGTTCATGGAGCACGCAGCATAACCGCTAGGCTATCCGCCGCCCCTCATATCCTTAACTTCAACTTACTTTGAGAAGTGTTTAACCAGTTTATAAAACAGACTAAAAATAAAAACTGCTGCCTCCACATGAGCTCCAAAATCCAACAAGACGCTTCAACCCTGCGGGTGCCTGAGGAGACGATTAACAGCACGCTGCAGAAACAGACGTTATTTACATTTTCCTCTGCAAAGAGCAACTCTGAGTAATGATGGTGACTGTTTAAAAACAGTACAGGATAACTGAACTCTGAAAGCGCGTCTTAAACATACACAGAAGGACAGGATCACCACAAGATCAGATGTTCCTCTTTGTCCACAGGAGCTGCCAGGAGATCGACTATGAATGAAAGTTTCTTAAAGAAGCTTTGAAACCAGATTTTTAAATTTAATGCGGACGACCAAAAAAACAACCAAAGCGATAAAGCTTAAATATCGAAGATTCCGGTTAATTTTGACTTCCCCAGCTGCCACCAGGTGTCTGATTGAAATGAAGCATTTGCAGAACGAAGTTGACTTTGTTGATTTAATCAAAACCCAACGGGGTACCACGTGCACAGCCTATATACATTCTCAGGTGCCGCTTGGTTGCAGGAACATACTACAATAATCCATGGCCCACTGAAAATTACTTTACTGGGTCTTTATTGTGAGCGAAGAACGCATTTCCCCTGTAGCTTCCTCAGGGTCGCCCAGCGTTGACTTTTTCCCTTGTTAGTCTCACAGAGAGTTCAATGTGCAGGTTGTCGTGTGTGATTGGTGGAGAGCTTGAGGAAAAGGTGGGACCGTGCATGTGTGTTTGTGTGGGGGTATATGTTTTGGTTGTGTGTGAACAGTAGCTAAGCTGACAAGTACTGTAACTCGCATAGAGACTGCAGGTTTGTGCTACAGTCGCCTGTGTGAAGATTGGGAAATAAAACCAATGCAAGCTTTATTTTCCCCTCATCTGCTGCAAGCTTTCTGTACTATGTGTCAATTGCAGCAGGACGGAGTATATCGCATCTTATCTTATGTTATCTTAATCCACCATTAAAAGTACTCTGCAACAATGCACTAAACTCTTGAAAGTTTCAGGGTGAGCTGCATGTGTGAACGGCAAAATAACCAATCATCATGTTCCCCCTGAATATGAGCAGCCAGCCCCCTTAAGATGAAGTCAGGGTGGGCTGATGTGTGAACACAGCAGCACATATCCAGGAATACAGGTGATTCCTGTATTGTACAAACCTTCCAGTTTGTAAATTCTAAAGTGCAATAAGAAAAGTAGAAGCTTGCGAGGAAACGACTTAAGTTGAGTGAAAGGATCCGGTATGTTCTGACAGACAGACATGAGGAAACTAACGTGGTTACATTGGACTAGAAAAGTCTACTTTATGATTCTGCAGTTACTCAGGACACCACAGTGAAACGGTGAAAACAGGAACGCTGTTGTGTAAGTTGGCCTGTGATCAGTGAAGCTTTAGCATTGTTCCCTTTTTGTGATGTAAGTAAATCATTGGACACAGATAAGAGCAGCGGCAGAGCTCCATTCTCTCGCTGTAAACCATCGACTCCCAGCTCGTGATGTGTGATACCATTCAAACCGTTCAGTGACTCTAGGATGAGCGTCCCATGTGTTGTGTCAGTTTGGGAGCTTATACCGCCCCCTTTAGATCTCAATCATCAGTGCAGGGACATTTTTTTCTGATTAGAAAAATCAATTCAATCTTTTACCAATTAACCATTTTTTGTCTTCTCCTCCAGTGCCTCCAAAGCCGCCACATCTCCAGAGCCCAGTGACGGTGCCCACCTCTCCGTGGGGCCGCGTCCAGAAACCACTGCTCAGACTGGTCATGGAGGAGGGAGGAGGAGGAGGAGGAGGAGGAAGAGGGGCTGCAACCAGGGAGAGAGCCAGGGATAAACACTCCAAAGTCTCAGACCTCATCAGTCGCTTTGAGGAGAACAGGTAGGGACTCTTTACTCCCTGGCTGTGACTTTTGTTCCCCTTTGGGTTTTTTACCGGGTGTCAAATTAATTCAGTGAAGGTTTTGTCTGATTTAAAACACTTCCACACAACATGAAGAAAGAGCTGAATAACTCCACATACGTCACTTCAAAGCTTTTGAAACCAAACGACCTCACTCACACTTTTGCAATCACAGTGACGGAAAACTTTGTCTTTCCTAACGTTTCCTACCGCCGGTTATTTCAAGGAGGAAAAGCAGAAGTGGCTCGATTAAAGTCTTTGAGCCTGACTCATTGATAGTAGCGCAGACAGACGGGACGAGCAGAGATTAGCCCGAGCTCTACAAGCCAAGTGTTAGCGAGGGGATGAAAGGAGATTTGTACAGACGAGGGGAAACACAGCTCCTTATTCAGTGGTGGGACAGGACTCAATGTGTTGACATGAAGCCCAGGAGAAAGAGGTAGGATCTGCTCTCTTAACGTCTTTGATCTTTCATCTCCAGCTGACATGATCATGATTTCTCCTGTTGGCTTTTTTTCCACAGCTGATTTGATTCATTCTGATGATGAGAAGTGAGAAGTATCCAAAGTGCTCACTCCATTTTCTGTGTGCATTTTTCTTACGATCTTGTACAAGTCGTGCCAGATTTGATTTTAGCCGCAGCTTTTTTTTTCTATGTGAGGGAGGCTCGTTGAGAGCGTTCAGAGACACAACAATGGCTCCCTTGTCCCCAGCTGCTCATACAGTAGATCCCTAAAATATTTGCTCTGCAGATGTAGCATGCCCAGTAAGATTTCTCTTCAGTATGTGGCCTCATATTCCATCTCATCTCCGGCCTGGATCTCTTAAAAAAAACGTCTAGGCGGACCCCCTGGCTTCCCTCCACACATTACTGAGTGCTGAATTGAGGTTAATCAGAGAAATCGGGTGTATCCTCTTCATTCAGACTCTGCGGGGCTGTGGGGATTAGCCCTCTAGTGGCCCCGGAGAGGAGAGAAGGGAAAGGACCGCAGCTTGAGAGAACAGAATTAGCCTACTAATATACTAATCTGGTTCACATGGCACTAGGCTGCCTTAAAGACGGCCACATGGAAGGTGAAGCTCTTCTTAAATCTCATCTAGTTAGGCCTGTTTGAAAACACTGTGGTGCACTGCAACACTTGTTGTGTTATTTATATGCAAAGAGGAACTGCTCTACAAAGTGACATTGTGTGTGTGTGTGTGTGTGTGTGTGTGTGTGTGTGTGTGTGTGTGTGTGTGTGTGTGTGTGTGTGTGTGTGTGTGTGTGTGTGTGTGTGTGTGTGAAAACAGTATTAAAGCGTATCTGCTAATCGTGGTAGCGTATAATTCAGCCTCCCTCAGAGGGGTCCGGACGGTATTGTCTCATGTCTAAAGCCTCAGGTGGCCGACAGCCCAGAAGTGATTCATCTGTGGAGTTTTTCGGCAGCCTGTTGTTCCTCTATTTATACATACTTCCTGTTTATGCTGGACGGTGACATTCAGCGCAGAAGTAAACGAAGATCTGGCTAACTAGTGATCTGAAGTGCTAACCATTTGATGCATCAGTTCAGGTTTGGTTGCAGATACAGTATGAAGCGTTGCTTTTCTGCTAGAAAGTGTGATTCTTTTGTTTGGCTTCTTTCTGAGGCCGGTTTGAGCGCAGAAGTGAGGGCAGCAGTCTGAGCTAAGATACAGTTGTAGCTGTATCTGCTGCTTACAGTTAAGACTGGAGGTCTGGAGGGTCGTTTACAGGGAAACAGCTGTGCTGCCTGCCGCTACAGGATGTAGAGCGGATGAATAATGTCATTGGACATGCTTGTGAGTGTGTGTGTGTGTTTGTGTTAATCTCTAAGCTTCCATCCCTGCGCTGTGTTTCAAATTGTCTTGAACAAACTGTTTTTCCCATCACGTTCAATCAACCAATAGGAGAGCTGTAGGAGCACAGTGTGTAATTCTCCTTGGAAGTAGGACATTGTCTCTCTCTGGGGGGTTAGTGTTGTATCTCCCTCCTTCTCCTCCCTCACTCTACCTCCATTCCTCCTGAGCTCACACACACTTCCTCTGCAGAGCGCTGGCTCTCGGCAGCCTCATAAGACTGAAGGCTGAAGTTTGTGCATCTCGCTGTTTTATTTTTAACTCTCACACTCACATGCAGAATCTCTCTGCTTAACGTTGAGTCCCGCTCCCCCTCCTCGACATCCCGGCTTGAGCAGCTCCCTACACACACTCCTGTGATCTGTCTTCTTAATTTCACCTCTTTTCCTGTCCTGTCTTCAGTTACTCAACTCATTCTGTGCCCTCGTTGGTTGACCAACTTCCTCCTCTACTTTTGTCCTCTGTTCCCCCAGCAACACAGACAGCAAGAGAGACGGCTCGCCGCTCAAACAGACCAGCAAGTCGACAAACTGCAGCCCGGCTCACTGCGCCCAGCAGACGAAGACGGACACGGACGGGACTCAGGAGAAGCACTCCTCGGCTCCGGCCGTGCTGCAGGATGCTGACAAGCCGGAGGCTAACGGGATGCTAGGGCAGATGGAGCCGGAGAAGGAGGAGAAACAGGAGAAACAGGAGAGGAACAATGAAAGCGTGAGGATAGAGACCGTGGGGCTGGTAAACGGAGATATGGGCGGCGGGAGTGCAGAGCCGAGCGATGAACATTCAGCACCTCACACAGACAGGACTGGTACAGAGAGCCACTCTGAGAATGAGGACAGTAAAACAGACAGCATGCAAAGGAACGACGAAGGGAGCACAGAGCAGAAGGTACGTGCACACCTGCTGGTTTTCATGGTTAAAGATTTTTTTATTTATGTCTCGTGTGTCGTCTATTTAGAGCTCTCTTGTTGCCCTGCAATCTCGGGAAGACCAAACATCAGAATTCATTTATGTCCTGGGCTTTCAGCACAATTAAATCTTCTGAACTGCTTCACTGTAAGTTACTGTAATGCTGTTAGGGTAGAGTTACGAGATAGTGTGTATCCGTGAGTTTCTCAGGCTGAACAGATGTAAGCGTGAACAGCTGAATACATGCCTCAGCGACTCCCCACCCCACCCCCCTCCTGTGGGAGCCTGCTGTTGTCTAGAGATTATAAATATCTTAGACTCAGATCAATCTCTGTCTCCTCACTGCTGAAAACAACCAGGTCGCCTCTGTGATAACTGAGAGGAAGAGCACAAATGATCAGTCATCTGTGCCATCAACTGCTCCCCGCTGAAATGTTCAGTCTAAACACTCGTTTGTTGACCTGGCTGAGCATTGTCAGGTTGAAACATAGCTTCTGTAATGAACTCTTTGGAGGTTTGAGCCATTGCATGTTTTGTAGTTCCACTTTTAGACCCTGAAACAGGTCAATTGTGTGAGCTGTTTCTATTTTGAGTTAGAGATGCTTTCACTTGTAGAAACTTTGATATTGTCACATTTCTGACTTTAGGTGCTTTCACTTGTAGAAACTTTGATATTGTCACATTTCTGACTTTAGGTCCACTTCAGCTTTTGTCTTCCTGCATCCACAATCAACCTCGACAAAAATGACTGATTTTTATCTCTGTTAAGAGTCTTAACTTTTAAAGTCAAACTTGATTATCAGGGCTGCATTTTATTTTGCATCGAGTAGGACACTAAAGAGAGAGTAGGTAGGCCATGGAAAAGGAGCCACAGGTCGGATTCAAACCCCGGCCGCCACTTGAAGGGCCAGACTCCATACATGGCGCCGCTAACCGCTAGGCCGTCTGCACCCCAGGACTGAATCCTAAAGATCAACTAAGTTTTGTGCCCCCATAACTCATCTCAGACTCACAGTAGACCTTTAAAGGATCAAATCATTTTTAGAAATCGTGTCTTAGTCAAAACATGCTGACTACAATACCCACAATTCAACTGAAAGACAGTTTGCTCAAAGGGTTTGTGTGTTTTGCTAGTAGCAGCAACCTTAGCCTCAAGCTATCTGCTGTAAGCTAAATTATTTTCAGCTCCATATCTTTTTTTTATTTGAAAACTTAATCTGCAGCCCCAACCAACGCTGACTCGAGTGACATCACTTGAGGTTATAGGTGTCATTTGGTGCGTTCCATTTGATCTCGGAGGTTGGATATTTCGAGTTGCTAGTCTGATACGTCATCAGGGACGCCCCCTGAAGTCGGAATTCTGAATTGGAAACTCGGAGAACCTTCACTAGCCTGAGTTAAAATCCAATATGGCTGCTCCGTGCATCAACAGTAAAGTTTAAGTAGTAACTATCATGTTTATTAGCTACATAGTCCTGTTTTTGTGTAATTAAATCAATCACACCAATAGTATCATGTAAGCTCTATCTGTGGACATGTTGTTGAGTTATTTCCACACACTAACTATCATGTAGTGTGCTGTTATCGTCAGGTATGAGTGTGACGTCATTCCCAACTCAGAGATCCCAGTTCCTAGGTAAATGGAATGCACCGATACTTCCCACAGCCTGATCTCTTTATTATTTCATATTGAAGTTTAACAATCTTATCAGGTGGCAGTCCTGCAGCAGACAACAAATCCTTCTACCAAGTGGTCCGGTTTGGTTCAGTACAGTTTGGTACAGTGAACCCTGATCTTGCTCACATTTCCACAGCCAGCCGTACTCTTACTTGGTAAGTGGAGTGTAAGCCTGATGGCAATAGCTGCGTCAGCTAAGTAATAGCATAACATCATAGAAGATGGACACAGTGGAAGAAGGAGACACAGTAAAAAAGGGCAACAATGGAGGACGTCCAGCAGGGTCTTTACCTCCGATGCTACGCGCTGACATTAGTCGTAAGAAACAAAAACATCCTTGAAATTAGTTTCTTGAAAGCGGAGGGATATTTACACATGGTGCGTTTTGTTAAAGCAGCAACCTCTTTGTCTTGAAAAATGAAGCCAATGCGGAAGTGCAAAATCCTGTAGTTCGTCGAGTGTCCACTTGAGGTTGGCTCCTGGAACACCGGAAGTAACATCTACATGACAGGCAAAAAAGCCATTTTTACATCATAAATAAACATGATTACAGCCTGGTACAACAAATTAAATAGGTCTGATTAGTTATTGTCATCACTGGCACACACCCGCGTCAGCTCCAGCTCTCAGTCTGTCGTTAGGTTTACTGAAAGTTAGACTGAGAGAGCATTTCCAGCATGGCGGCTGCTGCCGATAAGCCTCTGGAACCCCCTGCAGGAACAGACGGCTGACATCACTCAGGCTTTGTCCACTAATATTTACAGTCGCCCAATCATCGGACTGCAGTGTGTCTAGCTCCGCCCTTTAGGGTCACATTGGTACGCTTGACACCCCAACGGAAGGGTAGCAAAAAAGTAGGACGGTACAGATTGGTTATTTTAGTACCTCTCCTGACTTTGGACAGTGGAAACACCAATAAATGCGTACTGAATCGTGCTGAACCGTACTGAACTTTGTATTATCATGGATGTGGAAATGTTAGGCTGGTTGCTCTGAAACATTTGAAAAGGAGTCCGAGCGTCCTTGCAGATCTGCAGCAAGTGAAACATCTGCAGCCGTGGTCTTTATGGCATTTAACTATCACGTTGTTCTCATCTCACATGATCTGTTAACATTTTGACATGTTGTTTTGTGCTGATTAGTTTACCACACAAACTCTGCTTTGTTTGATTTTGTGTTATTTCCCTTTGTCCACGTTTTCATTTCCTTTTCTGAGAGCCGCAGGACAACACACACACACACACACACACACACACACACACACACACACACACACACACACACAGAAAAACACTGAACATTTAGCTGCACTGATGTGCTGAACCAGATTCAGTGCAATAACTGAAATGTTTCCATGATAAACAGTTTATCTTTGACGTTTAGAAAAGCGTAACATGCTTCCTTAAAGAAAACATGACGTTTTTTCCGGCTGTCCAAAAAAGAAGTCAGTGATACGAACCAAACGGGAACTTGCAAAAGGACAGGAAGCTCAACTCTGTAAATAATACAGAGAATACTGAGCTGCACTGAATCCATGCACGGCTCAGGTTCTCAGAATGTGTGATACTCTGACGCTTTTGGTTCCTACAGTAGACCATACACTCTTTGTTCTTTTGACGATTGATGGGATCACAAAGTGACAGAGCTTAAAAAACAGCATCTGATTCATGTCACAAGTTCCAGGAGAGGAATGAATCCTCCAAAAGCTGCAGTTTAACTCCTGCACACTGTCTAAACTTGCAACATTTCCGAAAGCTGCCAATGTTTCCGTGCAATGGAGACAGTGTGCAGGAGTTTTCTTGCAGCTTTTGGATATTAAAAACAGGGAATTACCCGACATAGGCTGCCCAGGACTTCTGTTTTTGAAGCTGTGGTATCTAAAAAGGTGTCGTTATTGTCAGATTTTTACCAATGTTTTATGGATTGTTTAAAATTCTGGTTTCAGGACAACTCTTTGCACTAGAGGCGGTGGCTTTCCCCACATTTCTTCTTTAATATAAGATGACTATAGTGTAACCTGAAAACCTATTAAGGTCCTTTCAGCCTTCTGACACAATAATCACTCATCATTAGAGACGTTTTGGACTGTGTGACTCTTTAAACAGAAGATCACTTTCAAGCTTCACCAGGTTACTAATGAGACGTAGTTAATGAAGAGGACCACATATATCTAAAAGTTCACCTCGCTATGTTCTCTATTTTTAGGAGACGAATGAACAGAAGCTGTTTAAGATCGCCAGCGAGCTCTTGCAGACGGAGAAGGCGTACGTGGCCCGACTGAACCTGCTGGATCAGGTGAGGAACTTTTTTTTTAAATGTCTCACAGTGAAGGAAGGAGCAAAGGTGTTAAAAACAGGCAGTTTATTGTAGTCTTGTGGTTTTGTTGCCATGGGTTTCTTTGTGTCATGTTTGATGTTGTGTGTGTCTCCTCAGGTGTTCTGTACTAAGCTAATGGAGGAGGCAAACAAAGGGACATTCCCTGTTGACGTGGTGAAGAACATCTTCTCCAACATCTGCTCTATCAACGCCTTCCACAGCCAGTTTCTGCTCCCTGGACTGGAGATACGCATGGGAGAATGGTGAATTAATCAGCCTGTAATTAAATTATAATCAGGGGGCGCCGGCAGCCTGGTTAGTGCGCACGCCCTATGAACAGAGGCTGAAGTCCTCGGAAGTGGGGTCCTGGGTTTTAGAATCCAAATTCAAACCATTGTAGAGAGCTGTCTCCCCCCACCCCCTCCTCTCTAGAGTCGATGCTCACACAGGTTGCCATGTGGTGGACACTGAAGCTTCAGTGTTTAGCCAGCTCTGCATCGGTCTGTAAACCTTTCTGTGTTCTAACCTCTCTTCATTTTTCAAAAGTAGAAAAAGTAAGAGGCTTTTTAGGTGGAGTACAATAGAGAGAGAGAGAGAGAGAGAGAGAGCCTAAATGACAAAAATACATTGTCTCATGACAACCCTTCCCTCTGCAGGGCGTCCAAACCTCGCATCGGGGACATCCTGCAGAAGCTCACACCCTTCCTCAAAATGTACGCGGAGTACGTGAAGAATTTTGACAACGCCATGGAGCTGCTCAAACAGTGGACGGACCGATCGCCTCAGTTCAAGGCCATCATTCAGGAGATTCAGGTAGAGCCAAATGTTGCATGAAAACAGACATGTTCAGACATGTTTGATAACCGTACATTGCCGGGCATATGTACTTACCTTTGTTTCATGTTGACATGTACAGCTGACTATTAGAACAGATTTCATTAGGGTTGCACACACTGGATCAACACAAGCTATTCTATTATTTTTAAGTGGGAGGGAATATTACAGGGAATCAAAAATGATGCACAATTAAATACGTGAAAACCCTTGAGTGTTTCACAGGGAAACCCTGACGTAGCTCAGGTGTATCCAGTTGTTTTATTCGCCTGACAGATTGTCTTGAGTGTAGGAGGGTTGAATATTTATTAGGGCCCAAAACCGATACCGATATTGGGGAGAGAAAAAAATCCAATACCGATATATCGGCCGATATTTTTGTTTGATCTATCTCCGATCTGTAGAGATAGATGGATTAAGTTATACACATTTATTGTGTTGATCTGCAGTTATCAAACACTTGAAAAGATGTATAACAAAGACAAGATGGTCACTCAACTGGAAAGTAACTGAGCATGTGCATCACCGCTCGACACTCTGGAGAGCGATGATGTTTGTTGTAATCCATACAGCGCCCTCTGCTGGTGAAAGAGAACTGCTAGTGTAAAACAATTAAACTCAAATGAAATGCTTTTGGACTGGTGAATAAATCAGTCATATCTGTGATAAAACTAGACGATACCAACAGCGACTGGAGATGCTAATATCGGCTGATATTATCGGCTGGATGATTAATCGGTCAGGCTCTAATATGAAGGCACAGTAATATTCGGCTTAACATGAATTGAAAAGCAAAGTTCTAAATGTTGTCTTTTTTTCTGAGCAGAGTACAGATATGTGTGGCTCCTTGACGCTTCAGCATCACATGTTGGAGCCGGTGCAGAGAGTTCCTCGCTACGAGATGCTGCTCAAAGACTACCTGAAGAAGCTGCCTGAGGACGACCCGGACCGACGAGACGCAGAAAGTACGTCAAGACAAATAAAACGACCTCGCCATGAATGTATTTATTTTCTGAGGTAACCTCCTCTCTTTTGTTTCTCCAGAATCGTTAGAAATCATCTCCACAGCCGCTACGCACTCCAACAGCGCCATACGGAAATCTGTGAGTACAGATGGTTTTTAAACCAAACAGAATCTTTGTGACATGTTGACATAAAACTAAAAGTAAACGTCTGGTCATTATTCAGGACAATCTGAAGAAGCTGATGGAGATTTATGAGATGCTGGGAGAGGAGGAGGACATCGTTAACCCCTCGAACGAGTTCATCAAAGAGGGTCACATCTTAAAGCTGGCCGCCAGGAACACCTCGGCCATGGAGCGATACCTCTTCTTGGTGAGTGGGGTCCTAATGAAGGACACAGCAGGGAAATATGCTGAAGCCTGACTTTGTCTGCAATTGAAACAAGTGAATCATTCTGAGCCAGGAACACCTCTGTGTGAAGATACATCAGGGGCTCATGAACACATCTCTCAATTACGGAGATGAGCAGATGATGAGATTATGGTCTGCCTGTTTCTTATTAACTTCAGGCAGAATGTCTCCCATCTGTGTGATTGAGCTACCTGCAGTGTTTTAAGACCGCCCCCCACGGAGGAAAGCAAAGAATTATCTTTGAGTAAAGAAGCCCGTCTGACATTTTTGTGCTTCTCTTTCTGCCAGTTCAACAACATGCTGCTGTACTGCGTGCCAAAGTTCAGTCTGGGCGGACCGAAGTACACGGTGAGGACGCGGATCGGCATCGACGGCATGAAGGTGGTTGAAACCTCCAATGAGGACTACCCTCATACCTTCCAGGTGTCGGGGAAGGAGAGGATGCTGGAGCTCCAGGCCAGGTACTTCTTAATACAAAAATCTTTACCCACAAAAAATAATTAAAAAAGCATCTCCTTTGCAATCCGTGTAGAGGTGCAAATACGTCCCCGCCTCTCCCACACTGAACGCTGGAACTGTCGGTCATTTGTTACCACACGCTGTATAATTTCACATACATGTGGAAGACCACCTAAATGAGCACACCCGATCTCTGTTTTTAAATCCTGTAAAGCTCTAAAAGACGTAAAAACTCTCCGACCACGGCTAACTGCTGTGTGATTAGTGGAACATGTGGTTTGATGCTTTTTCTGCATTTCTTTCCTCCTCAGCTCGGAGCAGGACAAGACGGGCTGGATTAAGGTACACACAGTGCAAAAGCATTCATTTTCAACGCTTCATAATATGTGTTTTAAGCTTTATGCTGAATCTGAGTTTCATATTTTTATCCTACAGGCTTTCCGGGAGACCATCGACATCTTCCAGCTGAAAAACGAGTCGTTCAAGAACGCACTGAAAGACGTGGAGGAAGTGTCGGTCAGTGTCGCACCAGAGCTAAAAATAACACACTTTTAAACACCTTCCTGCGCAGTCGTATTCATACTGAGTTTGTTTTCAATGTGAATGCAGAACGCAGAGCTTGGAGTGAGAGCCCCACGCTGGATCCGCGACAATGAAGTGACCATGTGTATGAAGTGTAAAGAGCCTTTCAACGCTCTGACGAGGCGGAGACACCACTGTAGGGCCTGCGGATACGTGAGTAATGTCATGAATGATGCATTTACAGTCCATAAGAAGAGCTCAGTCAGAACGACAGAACACTTCAGAGATCACAGAGATGATTTTACACTCCACACACTCAGTGATTATGTTTTTCCAAAGAGAAGTAAATGTTGACGATTGAATGAATGCATCACCCACGTCCTACAATTCAGGATCAACATATTGATTTTGGTGCAAAGTTTAACGTTTAGTTCACACAAGTATGAAAAAATAATGAATCCTGCAAGGACACATTTGTTGCACGCCATCTCTCCTTTCTCTCCCTTTATTTTCTCTCACGTCTCTTTTAAAAAATCACTTCATTGTGGTTGAAATACTTCCTAAATCAGGGATCACACAGGTCTTTAAAAAGTCGTAAATTATATGTTCAAAATGTAAGGTTATAAACTGTCTTAAAAAGTCTTATTTAAGGTGCATGGTGGTGCAGTGGTTAGCGCTGTCGCCTCACAGCGAGAAGGGTTCCTGGTTTGAATCCCAGTCTGACAGGAGTCTCTCTGTGTGGAGTTTGCATGTTCTCCTCGTGCATGTGTGGGTTCTCTCCAGGTACTCCGGCTTCCTCCCACAGTCCAAAGACATGCTGGTTAGGTTAACTGGAGACTCTAAATTGCCCGTAGGTGTGAATGTGAGTGTGGCTGGTTGTCTGTCTCTACATGTCAGCCTTGTGATTGGCTGGAGAACAGTCCAAGGTGTAACCCCGCCTCTAGCCCAATGACAGCTGCGATTAACTCCAGTCCCATGTGACCCCAAACAGGAAGAAAGGTGTAGATAATGGATAGAGAGGTCTTAAATTTTAGAGACATGTCTGAGTACCCAGTGAGCGTTATATGAGCTTTCGTTCATTTTTGGGGGATTTGCTTCCTCATGTGACAACACATAGCATTTTTCAGCAGCAGATTACGTACGCATACAGAAACAGCCAATGATAGAGAGAGAGAGGGATAGAGAGAGAGGAGACAAAGTTGGGGAAATGCAAATTCAAAGGAACATTTGCACTCAACCTTTTGATAATCAGGACAATGGGAAATAGCCGATGAGTTGAACATGAAATTTAAATAAGGTGCAGACAGCTCCGTGTGAACAAGGTATAACTTAGACTTTTGGGTCTCTTAAAAGTCATACATTTGATTCTAAAAAGATCAGCAACCCTGCTTATAATTGCAGTAAATTCAGAGATTCTCAAAGCTACTTCCATTATAAACTATATGTCTTGTTTTGGATAAGAAAATGTTGTAAGACAGGAGAATGACAGATCTGTTTCTTCACCAGGTGGTTTGCTGGAAATGTTCAGACAACAAGGTGCCACTGGCATATGATGGAAACAAGACGAATAAAGTGTGCAGAGACTGTTTCTCCATCCTGACGGGAGAAAGAGTAGCAGAGGGCAAGAAGAAGGGCATCCTGGAGGTGAGGAGGATGTACTGCAACAGACATGTTGAATATAATGCTGGGATAAAAAAAACACACATATGTCAGCTCGGTTTGATGTTTTAATCGATATGTTTTTTTGTCTCATTGCGTGCAGATCGAGGCAGCTCAGTTCTCAGGCAGCAGCATCATGTGTGGCTTCCTGCAGTACTGTGAGAAAAACAAACCTTTGCAGAAGTTTTGGTGCGTCATCCCTGAGAAGGAGTGTCTGGTGCTCTACCTGTACAAAGCTCCGCAGGTAAAACACACAGAGCATGAAGCAGAAAGTCTGTCACACATATTTACTGTATTGGCCTGAATATGGTATCTGGTGTCTTTCCCTGGTGTCTCTCCCTGGTGTCTCCCTCTGGTGTCTCCCTCTGGTGTCTCCCCCTCGTGTCTCCCCCTCGTGTCTCCCCCTCGTGTCTCCCTCTGGTGTCTCCCTCTGGTGTCTCCCCCTCGTGTCTCCCTCTGGTGTCTCCCCCTCATGTCTCCCCCTGGTGTCTCCCCCTGTTGTCTCCCCCTCGTGTCTCCCCCTGGTGTCTCCCTCTGGTGTCTCCCCCTCATGTTTCCCTCTGGTGTCTCCCTCTGGTGTCTCCCCCTCGTATCTCCCTCTGGTGTCTCCCCCCCGTGTCTCCCTCTGGTGTCTCCCCCTGTTGTCTCCCCCTCATGTCTCCCCCTCATGTCTCCCTCTGGTGTCTCCCTCTGGTGTCTCCCCCTGGTGTCTCCCCCTCATGTCTCCCCCTGGCGTCTCCCTCTGGTGTCTCCCCCTGTTGTCTCCCCCTGGTGTCTCCCTCTGGTGTCTCCCCCTCATGTCTCCCCCTCATGTCCTCTCTGTGTCTCTCCTTGGTGTCTCCCCCTCATGTCTCCCCCTGGTGTCTCCCCCTGGTGTCTCCCCCTCATGTCTCCCCCCATTGTCTCCCCCGTTGTCTCCCCCTCATGTCTCCCCCCGTGTCTCTCCCTGGTGTCTCCCCCTCATGTCTCCCCCTGGTGTCTCCCTCTGGTGTCTCCCCCTCATGTCTCCCCCTCGTGTCTCTCTCTGGTGTCTCTCCCTGGTGTCTCTCCCTGGTGTCTCCCCCTCATGTCTCCATTGGCATTTAAAGGTCTGGAACAGGAATACTATACAATCCCTCTTTTTCAGGCATGTTTTAAGGAAAAATAAACAAAGGGAATTCAGTATTTAAAATCACACCATGTAGCTAACAGCTCTTCTTTTCCTGACCTCCCTCCACAGGATGTGAAGGCTCAGTGTTCTATCCCCCTCCTGGGCTACTCTGTGGACGACACCGTCCGGCCCACAGACTCTCCGGCCAGCTTCCGCCTCTCGCAGTCCAAATCCATACATAACTTTGCTGCAGAAACGGAGGAGCTGAAGCAGCGCTGGCTCAAAGTGATCCGGGTGGCGGTGACGGGAGAGGTGCCAGAATGTCCTCAGACAAACGGCAACAATTCAAACATGATGGACAACAACAACACACAGGAAGCGAGTACGGACAGCACATAAAGAGAGAAAACTCTGCTCATGAAAAGACGTAGTGTGCACATTGTGCTGCACACAAACACACACTCCTCCTCATGCTGACTGTGAACCTGAAACTTAAAGACGGAGGGGAGACCTCAGAGCTGGATTAGCTGCCTTTCCTCCTGTTTCCTCATAAAGCTACACAAGGACTTTTGATTCACTGCTAGAGCCGTGCTGGATTACTGAAGGACACGTCTGGTACAGTCAACACTAGAGCGCAGACTGAGGCCTCGGGATTGATTGACTTCATTCAAACAGGCACCATAAAGGACAGCTCGCACCCACTCATCATCACTTAATCCTGTCAGCTCCTCTCGAGCCAGTGGATGACCACAGACTTACACAGCGCCCCGTTCAGGACGTGAATCAAAGCAAACTGAAGTCTGCTGGTGCTGTAACCTCGACTCTGTGTACCTGTACAGTATAAATGTTATTTTTTGTCTTTTAAGAAAAAAAAGAACCGTTGTGTTTTTATGTACAGAGATCAGTCCCAGGCTTTGTTTTGATAACATAGAAAATGATAAAGTATTTACAGTATTGCCCCGCTTCTGTGCGTGAGATAATGTTTCCTGAATGATACTGTGGTTGGATAACGATGTTCTCGTCTCCGTCTCTCACCTGTCAGTGTGAATTTATCAACAGTCCATCAAACTCTGGATGCATGCTGGCTGATCTGTCTGCTTTGCAATCTCTCGCTCCTGTCCTCAACTAAAAAGCTCATCCAAGCGTTCACTGTATGGGTGAACATGTGGGTTTATAAATACATTAATCAAATGTGAATGTCTGTTTATGACTTAACCCGTTACAAAAGTACCCGACAAAACAAAGTGTTTCATCACATTGATGCAACAGGCATGTCCATCCATTATGGCAATAATTCAGGCTTGCTCATTGATTGCAACACTGGTCAAATGTGAGCAACTTTGTGAGGCATAAGACTCCTCAGCAATTTTGCGATGCTTCTTTGTAGAGTTTGGAGAATCACACCATACAAATGTTTTTGTAAAAACACTTAAAAATCTTTAAAAATGTTAGCTCCTACAATTCCCATGATGCAACACATTCAGGACTAATATTAGACTTTCTCTGCTTCTAGACATACTTAGATCTTTTGTCATATATTAAAGGTCACATATCCTCCTCTTCTTCAACCAGTTTCAATACGTCTCAGAGCTCCTCAACGTATTTCAGCCTTGCTCAGAACAGGCTGTTTCTGTGTCTGTACCTTTAAATATGTAAATGAGCTGTGTCTGACCACGCCCCCTCTATGGAAGGGGTGTCTCAGGCTTTCTTGCTCCATGTCCTATTGTTTACAGTGAGAAGGCAGACTCAGAGGGCAGAACAAACACCTAGCTGTGGGAGTGTCACTCACCTGGGGGAGAGGCTACTGCCCTTTGTGATGTCATGAAGGGAAAATCTCCAAACTGCCTGTTTGAGCACACATTTTCTGAAAAGTGGAGCAGGCTAAAAGACGGAGAGGATGGACTTTTCTCATCATTGGGGGGGTTTGTAGACAGACTAGAGACACATGTTAGTGTTAGAGAAACATGGTGAAGAGAATTTGGGTAATATGTGACCTTTAATATCAAGCCTTACACATATTAATAATCACCCTGAAAAATCATGTGCCATCATCAGGGTCATTGTCTAAGACTTAAGGGTGAATTTAAAGCTGCCTCTGCTGCAGGTATTATAAACATGATAAATCTCTTTAATCTCACTATATGTATTGATGCATTTCTCTCAGACCTCTAACATGGATTATGCATTAAATTGGCACACTGAAAAGGTGAAGTCTATTAACACATAATAAATAACAGATGTATAACAGGCACTCGAGTGCAGAGTTTAGGATGAGTAAAAACCCTCAGAGCGTAACCGACCTTAACTTTAGTGTAGAGACGAGCGAGGATCGTCGTCTTTGTGTGGCAGGTTTTTCTATTTAGACGCAGCACAATCACAGATTTAGAAAAGCTGGTGCGAGAAATGTAAATGTATTTTTAATGCTGTAATTAATTTTATTATTTAAAAGTAATTTATAGAGTGTGACGAGCATGATCTGTTAAAAGTAGCACAAAGGTGTTCCCTCGGTCGGCTCAGCAGGTGGAAGGCGTTTTTCACCCGTCACATCCTGTCCTCAGATTCCCGCTGGACGAGCTGTGTTCAGTCATGATTCTGTTTGACATGAGCCCACCCCCCTATGCTCGATGCTGGTGCTCACGAGTCTGACCCCCCTCCCCCTCCTCAGTATTCCAATAAAAAACCAGAGCACAAACTTCCGTCTGTAAGATCTGAATGTAAATCCAGACTTCTGTGTGTCCTCGTCTCCCCAAAGGTTTGAGAATCGATGCACTTTACAGTCTTATAAAGTGTACCTTCAGAGAAAATAAAATGATTACATATGAGATCCAGCTTGTTTTTTTTTTTTTATGTTATACTTCCTCTACAGTAACTTTCCCTTCACCTTGTTATCGGAAACATTCACACAAGTCTCAACATCTCGTTTTGGTTCCTTGTTTTGCTTCTCTCAGAGAGTCTCCTCTGACACGCTCGGATGAGAAGTCTGTAGCTGCTGCTTTGGACAGTGTGACAGAGTTTGTCTGCAATTCTTGTGCATTAAAACAAGAAATGACTCCATGTTGGCAGCCTAGGACTTCTGTCTTTGTTGCCGTGGTAACAAAAGAAGTATCTTTATAATTTAAGCCTCAATAGTATCGTATCAGAAACTGTTGTAAGATGTTTTCACATATGCTCCTGAAATCCTCCTGACCTGGCTGTTCACTCATACACCTCACAGCTGGAGACTATCTCTGTCAGACAGCCGCCCGTCTTGTATTTAATAAGCAACAGCACAGCCTCTGTTAGCCGCTGGTTTACATTCAGGTGCTTTGTTCGTTGATTTACTTAAACTAGACGAGCTCTTAACAGATTTAGGAAACGTTTATTTTCACCCAAAAAAAGAGAGAGAGAGAAAGCAGTCCAAACAAAAGAACATTGAATCCTCTGAATGAGTAAAAAAAATTTCATCGAGGAACACTTCTTGCACAGCGTTTGTCAAACATAATTAGGAATGATCACACAGAAAGCAAAACACGTTTTCAGGGCATCAAAGTCCAAAAGTACTAAAGAGCTTCGACCGGTCGGTAGAAAAGAGTGCTGTGTGACAAAGAGTTAAAGAGTCCTCGATGGTTTTCTGGTTTTGCTTGGCAGACGATTTCATCCAATTCATGAAAACGGAGCGATTCCATTTTGGTCAGTCTTTGAGTTTGTGTGTGTGTCTCAGCTTTTGGGCTGTCGAAGCAGGCCGCGGATCCTGCGAACCAGGGCCTGGATGAAGGTGTATCTGGAGCGGACCTGGCTGTACTGACCCTCCACCTCCAGCAGCTTCTTCTGCAGAGCCTCTCCGAAACCCGCAGCCATGTCGCCCTTCAGCTGCACAGAAAAAACAAAACAGAATGGTCACAGATAGTTTAGTTCATCGCACATAAACGCACACAGATACAGCTGATGAAGGCACACCCAAAAGAGCAGCATGCAAAGTGTAAGCAGCATTATGCAGTGTGTGCAGGATGCAGACAGCAGGCTGCCAGTTTACATCCTGTACTTACCAGGTCCAGGTCTTGCTGGCTGACTCGGGACAGACTGAGACCCCGGCCTCCACTTGCTTGCAGCCCACCAAACGAGTCTGAAGAAAAAATATATTTAAATTTCATCATTTAGAGTCCAGCTAAATTCACTCAGATCCAAGTCAGAAGAGTCACAGTGATATCAAGTCAGTTTCAACGTAGGTTTTCAAAATGTTCGATACCACGTTTGAAACGACACAATCTCGGTTATGTTGGAGAGGAATTAATCCATGGAAACTGAAAATTACATGAGACGGCTTCAAGCCTCTATGTGAGCTGTTAAAAACTTCTTACATAAGCTCTCTTCTCCCAGCAGTTGAGAGCAGCCCTGCAGCATTCTGCCCCCTATAGGGTGTCCAGAGAGCTAGCCAATCAGAAGACAGCAGCTTATAAAAAACTGTGTTAGGCAGAGGCTGATTTAGGGAATTTACTGACGCCAGTTTCAGATAAATAAGGAGTTCTTTTGATCTGCTAATGAAGCAAAGCTGCTCTAAAGGTTTCATAGGCTGACAACATGAAGGTGCCCATCTTTAAAATTCCTGTAGTGTGTCAACCCTAGTCTAAACTCCATTTTAGTATCATTCAAGGACCTCTGTGATCTGGTTTGAATTTAACATGAAAGAAGTAAGGTCTTATAAAGCTTGAAGGTGTTTGAAGCAGTCGGGGTAACGTGATGCTTTTTCACTTGTTATGATAAAAATGATCTGAATCTAATCGTGGCTAAGACGTGAACGTATCTCACCATCTGTGAGCCGTGATCTGAATAAACCAGCTCCAGGCAACAGGTCTTTTGGGTCGGTGGGAGTACAATGCAACAGGTAGTACTCCAGGTGGCGCCACAACACAAACAAACACGTCTCGATAACATCTGAAGAAGAGGGAGGTCAAGGTGTGTAACAGAAATTCTAAATGGTTTTCTATCCCAAAGACAGACATAGTGTGGTGAGAACATTTTTCTAAAAGTAGATTTTTCTTTCTCCTCTTGAAGCCGCTGTGACTGAAACTGATCCTGCAGCAGAACAAAGGATACAGGAGCAGAGGGACAGCAGCTTGGCTCTGTTGTTAATGAGCTGGACCAGCCGTCTCTTGGCCAGCAAGTTCCTCTGGACCGAGGGGATCTTCTCCACCCCTCCTGGGCCCGACACCAGGCCTTGGCACAGCTAGAAAGAAGATGTCGGTTAGAAGGGCAACAAAAAATGACTCAATGTCCAAACAGATTCTGACCTTCACCAAAATGTTCTAACCTGAGATATGTTGTTAAGACGAGAATCTACCAACACTCAAGCAGATAACCAGAAACTTTTCTTTAATTTTAATTTGGGCCTTCATGCCTTCTCTACTTTTTTCTTCAGCCCTGTATGACCTCTGCGTTGCACACGGCCCTGTAACGCCATCACATTAGAATTATAGTGGCGTTTTTCTAGGCTGATAAGGAACAACGTGCATGACCTTACGAGGACATGGCGTTCATGAATTTAAGAAGAGAGAACGCAGTTTGCTCTTAGTTACTACACTGCTGTGCACAAAGAGATGTGTTGCGTATATTCATCACTCATTACCTCCTTGAGCTCCTCGGGAGGAAGCTGGTCCAGGCTCTGCAGCTTGCCCAGGCTCTGTCTGTGACTCTGGTGGAAGCGGAAGAAATCTGCAGCGCTGTTCTTCAGCAGGTACAGGACCAGACCCAGGCTGGGGGCCCGCGAGTAAGCCATGGAGGGCAGAGTGGATGACAAGTCTAAAATAAAAATAAAAAACAGATGAGTCGTGGTTACTTGGAAGAGCTGCTGATGATAAAAAGCTAACTTCTAATCAATCTAATCAATAAACACAGAGTAGGGTCACATATCTCAGGTATAAGACAATGGAAAGAACTGACAGTCACAGGAGTCAAATTCCTTCGAGTACATGCAGAATAACACCGACCTGCTCGTCCTCCGTCCCGGCCCGCTGGCTCGCTGCCTGACGGGCTGAAGAGGCAGATGCTGAACTGAGCCTGAGCCGAGCTCTGCAGCAGCAGGGTCTGGCAGTACTCCATGATGTTAGCACACACCTGGACACAGAGGACAGCACCTCTCAGGTCACTCACAGAACAGAGGAGGGCTGATGAATAATCATGACTATGGAGATTAGACTTCACATGCTTTCCTCATCCCATCCTTTGCTGGAATATGTGAAGGTAACATTACGTTTTAGGCACAGAGAATCTAACAAACCACAAAAGGCCTCTCCACCTCACTAAGTATTCTCCATTTAAAGATTGTTTTTTTTCCAGACCTGCTGCATGGAGACCTCCATCTCCTCCCGTCTTTCTGCAGAGTCTCCCGGTGCAGCGATCTCCGCCTGCTTCAGCAACCTCTCACGCTCACTCCCCGCCAGACGGCCCAGCAGGGACAGACAGAGGCGCTAAAAAAAAAGGAGAGACGTATCACTGTCTGCACATTCACACGCTGGACTGGGTGTGCATTGGCAGGGATACAGAAGACAATAACAATAAAATCTAGGGACGGTATTGCAAATTAGTTTAGGCTATAAATGCTGCAGTGTGTGGCATCAGTTTACTTCTCCATATACCAATAAACATGAATTAATTAAACAAGAGGCATTAACACTGTGTGGATCTAAAACCATGGCAGCTGTCTCACTTGGAATCTGTTGATGTGTCCCTGGAACTCCAGGAGTGCCGCACCGTTCACCTCCCCGCCCATCTCAAGGACGCCTGAGAGACAAGAGAAGCACAAAAACAACACCAACCATTCAGAGTCCACATCATGTCAAAATGTAGATTTGATAGAGGGTATGCACTGAAGCCCCTATCCTGCCAGGGCACGCTCCCTTTGTTAAACTGAGTGGTAAAACAGTCTAAAACATGGTTGTTTTCAGCAGGGGAAGGACAAATAAACAGAAGTAGAACAAATCTGCTTAAATTATAAGGACATTATATCAGGAATTATAAGGAACAGATTCCTCAAATATACCAAAGATAAAGCTGTCTGTGGACATCAACTCATGACCAGAAATCAGGTTTCCTGAAATCTAAATGTACCCGATTCTAAAAAGCAAATTCTGCAGGAAGCAGGACTTCATCTGCTCATCTTTACTCCGTTCCCCTTCTATTCACTTATCCACACATGGGCCTTAATTCTGTAATATTCACCAGCAGTATGCCAAAGACGCTCAATTACATTACATGCGTTTTGAAATGTTTCACTCTATTTTACGTTGTCACATCAGGGGACCCGCGCTCATTGATGATGCACATATGATGTGTATGACAACGATCACAGCTTCAGAGAAATATTAAAACAGCAGCCTAAAAACTCAGTTTTTTTCCATCGTTGCATTTACAGGAGGGATGTGCAGTCAGCAGACTTTTCTCTCTCTCTTTCTTGGGTGTGTCTCTCGCTCTCTTACGCATGTGCCGGCAATTTTATGGATTCATTTTTAAACAAAGGTTGGGAAATATACCCGGGCAGCCTGTCCAGGTATCGACTTTGTGTGTGAAACGCTGTGATCTATCCAGGTAAAAAGAGAACCTTCTTTGTGACAGTGATGACGCTGATTTTAGGCTTAACCTCAACATCCCTCGGAAGGTTTGGTTTTGTTCTCGCTGCATTCAGGCTGAACACCGATGCAGCTTCTACGTAGCCTCCGTGCATATAACCACAGTCTTCCACATACTGTGGCGTCATTTGCATACCCTCTATACAATATGAGAGAATCATTTTTGTTGTGTATTATGGTGTTGAAACCATACACTGAATTGAGCAAATAAATCAAATATGAAATGAAATAAATCAAATATGAAATATGAAAGTGTAAACCAAGAAGCAGTGATTGTTCAATAATATACCTGGCAGAGCCGTCTTGCTGATGATGCCTGTAAGCAAAGAGAGCTCCTGCAAAGCTCCCATACTGAGCTCCTGACAGCGCAGCAGGGCCTGAATGGTGTCTGCGTGGACTATCAGCCACTGGAGGACCTGCACACGCACACGCACACGCAGTCATTATAGGGACATGAGACATTATACATTAAATTATAGAATCAGTAATAACATCCTGGCTTTTGAGGATTTAACGTTTTTGTGTTTCACATATCATCAGTTACTGATTAAAAAAGAAAAAACCTAAATGCCAAAAAAGGAGGTCAAAGCTTGTTTGCTTACCTGTGCTGCCCCCTGCTGGTGGTTCATGGTGGTGGAGGTCAGGATCACCTGAAAGAGCCTCAAGGTGGGTAAGAGAATCTGTCTGTAGCGGTCCAGAGGGCTCGGGATGAAACCTGATGCGTCCCTCATCACCCTGAGGACAAAGAGGGAGCAGACGCAAGCTTAGAATTTACTAAAAAGAAGAAGTAGTCCGGGGATAGTTTATAACCACAAGGGCCAAAATAGAAGACGACCCTGATTATCAGACCCACTCCATTTCAAGACAAACTGATTTTTTGACGATTACATCTTGTTCTTAAAAATAATATAAACACAATCACCTTGAATAATGAAGTTATTGGTTTGTAAAAATGTTTTCAACACATTTAAGATATAATTGTCACATTTCAGTATTTCCCACTAAATGATGGTATACCTGTGGCGGTTGCCGACAGTGGGACATCTATTGAGTTCACATTTTCCCACACAGGCACCTCACCTCTTTATACACTCAGCACTTTCATCCTTGTGTGTGACAACACAACTCCAGTGTCAATAAGTTTGACTCATGATTTTGTAGCTCCTTGTTACATGGACTTACAGTAAGACGTCCCTCTCTGTGTCTGATTAGGAGAGGTGAGATTCTCTGCAAGAGCTTGAGAGGTTGAGACCGGCCTGACCCGGGTCTTTCGTATTTAAATCCGTGTTCCTCTGGATCCTTATAAACACACTGTTTTGCTATGTAATACGTGCTTCCTTGTTGCACTCATTAGGATCTATGAATCATGTAATTCAGACTCAGAATCGTTTGAAACTTATTGATAAATGTCTGGGTTAAATCTGGCTCCGGTCAATAAATACAGTTAATGGGACGTGCGGGGCCAGGCCGGGTTCAGAGAGAACATGATGAGCTCTGGTAAGGTCGGGTGGGATTTTTTGGGCATTAGCTAAGCTCTGGTTAAGACATTGTAGGCATAAGCAGGCGCAGATTGTCCACTAACCTATTAGTCTTAAAAGGTGGACAAAAATGCAGCAACCATTATCTTAACATTGAACTTAGACTTGACCTACTTTTCACCCACTTTGCTCTGGACAATGACCTTGTCTCCCCCTGGTGTCTCCCCCGTGGCACTGCAGCTGTGACTGACAGCTGGCTCTACTTTTTTTTTTATCTCTCTCTTATATTCGCACCAATGCAGTCATTAAACAATCATAATAACTTAAAAATGAAAAAGCATTCCTGTCATTTCAGTCCATACCTGTGTGCGTCACTGTCAGGCACCATGTCAAACACCTGACACTCGATCAGCTGAGCCACCAGACCACAGCGCAGCAGCTCCACGGCTCCCTGCCCCGTCTTTGCAACACGAGTCAGCAAAGCCTGAACACACAAAGCAGAGTTTGTACCGTGATTCTCCCGCTCTAACAGGCTTTAGGGCAGAGGTTACTCCCACTCTTCAGCTCTGTGTGTGAGAGATTAAAGCGCACATCTCACCATCTTGCTCTCGTAGATGTAGAGCGGTTTGAGGAGGGGGGGTTGAGGGGTGAGAAGGCTCTGCAGGGCGACATCATCCTGCCTCAGGCTCTCCACCAGTGTTCGCAAGTAACCACTGTTACAGACGTAAACGAGCCACTGGTTCTGACGGTCTATGGACAGGATCCGGTCCAGCACCGCCAGAGCTAACATCTGACACACGAGGAGAGGAGACAAGGATGAGATAAGAGCCTGGATATCTGGATTATTTGTTTTCAATATTCATGATTAAGTTCTCTGATTTTACATTTCTTAGGATCGATTGTTTAGTCCAAGAATGGCATTAAATCTTTCAATATGCTTAACACAATGTGGCCCTCACCCTGCTAATTTCATGGCCGTCACAGGCGTCCCGGCACACCACCTCCATCAGAGACTTTCCGTAGCTCTCGATGATGGCGAGGTTTTCTCTCTGCAGTTTGGAGAAACCATCTTCAGGAGCTGTGAGACGCTCCCACATCGCCTTCCCGGCTGGAGAGAAAAAGAGATGGAAAGCTTTCTTAGACAGAAACTTCTTACAGACTTTGACTGGACTCTGTGTTCATGTTTCTGTGTCGTACCTGTCTGCAGAGTGTCTGGCTCATCGGGTTTCTGAGCCATCTGAAGGTAGTAAAGCAAGGAGCCGTACAAGTGAGCACGTAGACGCTGGTATCCACCTCCTTGATTTAAAAAAAAAAAAAAGATCATATTATAAAATGTAACCAGAGCATGGTTTATCCAACAACAGTGTGAAACAGTGATGTAGCTGTAGGACTTGTGGTGCCTGGAATTAAGATGAATCCGCAAGAATCACATTTCTCCATAGTCTATGTAATAAAAGTAGTTTTTTTTAAGTCACTCACCAGTACTCAGGATAAAGTCCAGCAGCTTGCGTAGAATCAGGTGCAAGGCTGAGTTGGCGATGGAGGCAAAGCCGGACGAGGCCTCTAGTCCCGCCCCCTGCTGCTGCTCTGACAGGACTGATTGGCTGAGGTGAGCTGTCAGGGTGAAGACTGCCCCAGCAACGATTGGCATCAGTTCTCCTGCTGCATCCTCGGATAACACCTGGACAACATTTAGTTTTATGATTAACTTGACATGTTATGTATGTGTGAAAGCTCTTAAAGGACTCAGACTTTTTTTTCGGATTTTCTCTGCTTTGATTTACAGAACCAAAACTACTTTTTAATTTGACCTTTTCTGTTTTTTAAAGATGACGCAGCTCATTTGAATAACACTAAATACAGTAATAATGCATGGATAGACATTATTGCTGAGCTTAGTTCACCCTCGGCATAACAAACCTTATCGTGCAGGTCCAGCAGCAGGTCTCTGATGATAAGCTGTCTGTCGTCTGCAGGTATGAGATCTGAAGGGCACGCCGTCAGCAGTGTCTCCACGAGGCTCCTCCATGACCGCAGTGCGTGTCGCTTCGCACTCAGACTTCTTCGGACACGATTACGTTCGACCACCTGCTGCAGGATGGAGTTCACCTCCTACAAGAAAACAAGAAAATACAGACTGAAACCATTGCAGGCTTACAGCTCACTGCATGACGGCCTCTGATTGGGTGATTGATTCACTCACCTCCATTAACAAGGGCCTCTGTCCGATGGCTGCCATCCCCTGCAGTGCATTCACCTCAGCGACCAGCACTCTATGCAGCAACTGTGTGGAAAACAAAACATATCAGTGGATGATTGAACACAAAAACAAAGCTGACACAACAGAGACGATCACATCCTCAACCTGGAGGCCCACCTTAACGTTGCACACGGTGTGTCCTTGCTCGTTCACGTGCTCACAGTTTGAGATCACCTGCTCGATCTGAGCGCGCTCAAAGAAGTCCAGCTGCAGCAGCTCAGGCATGTCCTGGCTGAAGTCGATGGCGTCCAGCACACTCAGCAACTTCCTGCGCACTGTTGATATCAAACAGACGAGGTGAGAGGTCAATATGAGTCTGGGATTATTTTAACAGAACCTGAGCATCATATGACAGCTATAATGATAATGAACTTAATATTGATTATATTACTGTAAGTTTGCACAAACCTTTAGAAACAGTGTCAAAATGCAGGAATCCACTGACTGATCTGGTTTCCTCCTCCATGCCAGTTTCTCCATCTGGTGCAAAACAAGTTAGAGCATGAATGATATGTGTTGGTGGTCATGATGTTTGGACTTTTGAGTTTGCATGCGAGGGAGTGTGATTATTACTTTTGGATATAAAACAGTTTACAGGCAGGCTTTGGCCAACAGAACTTCTCACAATGTTTAAACCAAAAACAATTGGGCCAGAATGTATTCCTTTCCTTCAATAATTGGTGTAGATTGCACATTCATAGAAATACCTGAATGTTGGGTGTGTGGCTGGTCGTCCAACAGGAGGCTGACGAGACGCTGTGTGTGTGAACGCTGGCGGTTCAGTGAGGTCACTCTCAGCTCGATCGCAGCTGTTTTCATGAGCCAAGACATCTGGGACAGGGCGGCGATCTGATTGCCTTAAGGAAGCAGAAAACGTAAAATTGAGGTAATGAGGAAACGAGACATGCATCTTATTTTTATCAAAACATTCAGGGGTTTTTCTGCATCAGATGCTTTTATCTAAAGCGACGCACATCAGAGAGTAAGAACAACACAATAGAGGATGTAGAGAGGAGGAAAGAACGTCAGGAAGTGCAAACGAACAGCTTTAAGTCTGACTGGACACACAGGTACCGATAGGAAGTGACCAGAGGCAGAGCACAGGTACCGACAGGAAGTGACCAGTCAGAGGCAGAGCACAGGTGCTGACAGGAAGTGACCAGAGGCAGTTTTTAAGTAATTGAAGTTAATATATCGTCATCAACAACATCTACAGCCGTTCTTAGGAGTTCTCATCAGCATCGAAACAATCCTAACTATCATCATCATCATCATCAGGATTTAGTTTGTAAAACATTTTTTGAAATCTGTTTCCCATAAAATAGACAACAGAGCAAGCATGCCGTTTTGGGATCTTTGTCTTAATTCTGCTGTGTACACTGATGAAGGCTCCTTGTACGCTGCTACTCTACCATGGTTAAGAGACGTTAAAGGACATCAAGTGTGCTGTCTTTTCGGCTTTTTATGTTTCTTGTCTTTTTGTGGTCATGTACTCAGAAAGTTGTCATTGTTTGAGTAAGCTCCCTTTTTCCTTCTGTGTGTCATGGATGTACAGAGAGCCTCAGTATGAGAGAACTAGACTAAGCTACACTATCAGCCTTCCTGCCCCCTGCTGTGCACTCTCTTTCTCTCATGTTGCCAACTTTGACTCAGGCAATCAAGTTGTATTGTTCCTATTACGCATTGATCGGTATCAATAGAATAGTGATATTCAAAATTGTATTAGGATATTAATAATCTGAACTTGAATACCAGGAACTGATAAATCCTCCTCCTGCTGCCTTTGTAGATGACCTCCTCTAATCCGATGGTTCACTTTGTTCAAATTGAGGGTTTTTCTATGACATCATAAAACCCTTTCTGCTTATCGAACAGTCGGAAACAAAAGGGAAACCCGCTGATCCCTGATGGATGAGGTGACGCAGACTCATCGCCTTAGATGAAAGCGGAGTGATCACGCTTGTTGTGTAAAGTCAACACAAAGGCCTGATCTAAGGCAGATAAAAACTGAGTATCAGCTGAATACTTCACACAGGATTGTAATTAACGTAAAATCCAGAATATAAGTCGCACCAGTATGTTAGACGTAGTGAGGCGATTTCCACTGTGTTCAGCAAAGAGCACAACATTCAGTTTATGTGCAGCTGTTGGTTTTTTTTAGAGGACAGGAAAGTTGTTACGAGTCTGAAATCAGGGGGAGTGACATGAGAGAAAGGAGCCACAGGTTAGATTTGAACCTAGGCTTCCAGCTTCAAGAGGAACAGCCTCTGTACATGGGGCCCGCAAACTCACCACTAGGCAAGCAGTGCCCCCCGTTTGTGTGAAGCTATGTAGCTCTTTTAGTATCATGTGTTTTCTCCATGTGCAGTTCATAATCATGCTAGCTACCAGCACAGTAGTTGAGCTCTCAACCTAAGGTAACGTTGGAAGTTGTGAAGTAAAGAACCACAGCCAGAGACAGATTTGCAGAGAGTCGTGCTGCTCACATCCTCTGGTACCTTTCTGTCTTTGATTGAGGAGTTTATTCTACTAAACCTGAACTCCACAAGGAACAGTCAACCCCCATTTTCTTTAAGCACGCTTTGTGCAGAGAAGTGACTGCTTGCCGTACACAATGTGGGTCATGCTAAGATATCTTCAGGGACTCTGTACTCACTGGACAGGATGAAGGGGAGGTGCTGCAGGTGAGAGAACAGGAAGTCCTGGCTGGTCCTCAAATAGCGCATGGTGGGTCCTGATGTATCCGGGCAGGCACACAGCTGGTAGATCACCTGAGAGAGGAAAACAATCCAAGAAACACATGAAACCCACTTTAAAACATAGAAGAATCTTTTGTGCTACCCTGACTGATCATCCTGTCATGGAGATTTCTGGCAGTCTGGAGTAGAGGATGAAGTGTACCTGGTAGCAGAGCTCGGCCAGGTGTGGCGCCTGCTGTGTGAGTACAGGTCCTGATCTCTTCTCAGTGCCTCTCTGCAGCAGACTCAGAATGGCGTGCAGGCAACTCCGTGGACACCCCAACACACCTGTAACATGAATAGACTGATATTACTCTCTGGTTGACCTGATCTTTTCCATCTAAACAGTAATATTGCTAGAAAAAGACACAAAAATAAACATCCAAACAGTTGGAGCTTTGTCTGACCCGGGTCCTGCAGGTTGGTAGTGGACACCGGCTTCTTGACTTCATAACCCAGAAGATAGAGGGCCAGGTTGGGGGTCTTCAGCTCCAAAGAGGTGATGAGCAGGTTCAGCATGTGGATCTGAGTTTCATGTCGGATTCTCGAAACCTTATTTTGTGGGTCAGAGTCTGGAAATTTGGAATTAAAAGTGCACATTTTTTTAAAACTTGAACAGGGTTAAAAAAAGAAGAGTTTGAATCTACTGCAGGAGATTTTACAGATTACACTGTATGTCCTCCTCTCACCGTCTTCTCTCTCTGCTCCCTCCTCCGCCTCTTCGTTATCCAGACACTCCACAAAGCCCGCCATGAGTTTGTCACTCACAGCCTGCAGCACAGAGAAGGAGACCGTTCTTAAACACTTAAACTACAGTTTAACACATCATGGAAGTCAATCAAACACACCTGGACTTATAACAAGAAACTTCCTGTCATTCAAGAAGCATTACATTCAAACATAGATACTGATTGTCACAGATAACCGATCTAGCTATCCGATATCAGGATCAGATCGGTGCATCTCTTAATTTAATACATTATAGTTATAGTGGTTGCTCTCTTTCTATCTTGTATGAAACTTGAGACTCGTGTACCTGGTCATGTGTGAAATCTCCCACCAGCCGGTTCTGAATGTTGGGGTAGTTGGCGATATGACGCAGGATCTTTGCACTCTGGAAAGCAGCCTCCGGGTTGGAGCTGCTGTGATACAGATACCTGCAAAGGCACGCCGTCATTTAGTCCTAACTATTCTTTAAAAGAATTATCCTTTAAAAGGCGTTATTTTTCTTATATATCATTTACAATAAGTTAACACATTTTACTCACAACTTTAGTCTCATACCTTGCAATATTGACGATGTGATCGGCTCTTCGAGTTTGAGGACTGACCCCCTGGAGGAGCTGCTCCAAGGGGGACACCAGCAGGGAGGACTGGCTCTCCCTGAGGAGGTCCATGTACATCACCTCCTTCTGCAGAGCCAAGTCCAGCAGGCACAGGCAGTGAAGCACGGCCGACTCCAAGTGCTTCTTACCTGCAGGGGGAGAATAACAAAGCGTGGCGTCAGAGCCGTCACACACATACACACTCTCATTCTCCGAGAGCAGCAGCAGCATATGTTCTCTCACCAGGGAAGGGTGCGTAGGTGTCCAGCTGGCGTACACCCTCCTCCAGCAGGCTGAGGCAGAGCGCCAGCATGGGCGAGTCGTTAAGCAGGTGGAACATGATGCTGTGGCCGGGGGGCTTGTGAGCAGGGACCTGCTCCCCCTGCAGCTCCACCATCTCCTGCACGAAGTCTGACGGCTGGGGCTCGTAGTCCCGCAGCAGCTTGTGGAACACCTCCAGCACAGCATCTGCGACCTCCCACTGAGGACGGCAGAGGAGTAAACAGCAAAGACATTAACAAATACATTTTTAATGCAAAGGGTGCACATGCACGGAGCAGCTGCACGTTTTAATCATGTAAAGAAAGAGCAGAAAATGGTAGCTGACCTTCTCTGCTGGGCGGCGGTACGCTCTGGTCGGGAAGGGCAGGAACACAGAGTCACGAAGGAAGTTCAGGTAGGGCTGAAAGCCTGGCACACGTAGCCCCGCCCCCAAATTGACAGGCATGCTGCTCTCCACCAATGTGCTTGTCAGATGACAGAAGCCACGTGTCAGGGGATACTCCTCGCAGCTGGATTCGATCTCATTCAACTCCACCTGAGGGCCAAAGTAATCATCAGAAAGTTTGAGATGCAAATGTTCACCTGATTATCTCATAAATGGTTATATAGCTTCAAGACAGAAAACATTTCACTTGAAGGGGATTAAGTCACTCATTTTGGGGTCGCAGGGGGCTGGAGCCAATTCCAGCTGTCATTGGGTGAGAGGCGGGGTTACACCCTGGACTGTTTGCCAGTCAATCACAGGGCTGACATATAGCTATATACCTAACGAGCATGTCTTTGGACTGTGGGAGGAAGCCGGAGTACCCGGAGAGAACCCACACATGCACGAGGAGAACATGTAAACTCCACACAGAGAGGCTCCTCACAGACGGGGAACCTCCTCGCTGTGAGACAACAGCGCTAACCACTGCACCACCATGCAGCCCTGACTTGATCTGATTGTTACAAATTGATAATTTTAGCAAAAAGTGACATTAAAAGAGAGAGAGCTCCCTCTTTATTTTGCATCACAACACATTTGGTTTTTTAAATAATCCCGTTCAGTCAAAGTAATGTTACTACAAACCAACTAGAAGAGGATCCTGGCAGACTCAAGTGCAATGTAACAGTCTTCTCATCTGTCTATCATGAATCTTAAAAACAAGATAAATCTGCAGGTTGAGTAATTAGAATCCAGTATCACCTCCATCAAACAGAGAAACTCACCTCGATCCCAGCGGCCTGTCTCTGTCCTGGGGCTCTAACTGTCTGAAGGATCTGAGGTGAAAGAACAAAAAGGTACAAAACTTTAAATCTAAACATTATGTACCACTAGACAATAACAAACAATAACAGCTGGAATGATTATATGCCTTCACAGATTCTGTGGTGAAATGATGGATTAAGCAGGCTGACCTGTGTGTACTCCAGTGACTGCCAGAGAGAAGCAGCGATCTCTGGCGACTTCCCAAACGCAGCCAGGCAGTGCAGGACCTCAGCCTTCAGAACGGGAGGAACGCTGCACTGAAGCAGCCCCAACATCACAACCACCGGGGTCCACTGAGGATGCTCACACAACGCCAGGCGAGCATTCTCACTCTGGGGGAAAAATCAAATTGCATTTAGTCAAGAACAACGTAAGCAACCTGAACAGTAGACGTGCGTTTACATCACACCCCCCTCACCTCCTGCTACACTGTCTTCCAGAGGTAAAAAATTACTTTGACAGAAAAAAGAAACTCCCAACAGATCGAACGAACAGCTTAAAGGAACGGTGAAAAATAAAATGTTTGATGTCACGAGGTGGATATGACTTTTGACTCGTCAACTTGGCAGTCAGGGAGTTTTTTAAGTGATATAAATTATTCAAAAAGCCGCTGCGGTATCTCTATTTTCCATCATGGCGGCTGCAGGAAGACGCAGTGGTGGCTTAACCACAGTGTGACAAACAAGATGAAATAACAAGCAACTAATGCATGACCTTAATTTGTTAATGCTGACAGCCCTAAAGTGATATTCCACATTCATAGTGTTTATATTTGACATATTAAAAGCATAAAACCAAGGCGCTTGTGACCTAGTGGTTGGTGCGCAAGCCACCATGTAAGGAGGCAACAGTCTGTCAGTGGGGAGGCTGGGGGTTGAGTCTGACATGTGGCTTCTTTCCTGCATGTCGTTCCTCTCTCTCTCTCTCTCTCTCTCTCTCTCTCTCTCTCTAAGTTCTGACTCCATCCACAGTCCTGTCTCTCAGTGAAGGCATGACATGCCCAAAAATACATTTTAATAAAAACATTTAAAAATATATGTTTTTAAAAGCTGTCCAGGTAGTGAATGTTGTTTCATACCCAGGTAATAATGGTGGTGAGCAGCTCCAGAAATGAGGTGAGTCCCTCCAGCTCTCTCTGCGTGATGCCCCTCAGTGGCGGATGTCGGTACTGTGAAGCGTCTGGATTTGGGAAGTCTCGTCGCAGGTTCTCGTGGTAGAGCATGAGGGAGTGAAAGAAATGTTCCCAAGACACCGGGCTGCCGGAAACTCCCTGGATGTTGTCACCTGATCGCAGATACAGAAAGTTAATTTGCAGTCGTTCAGATACTACAGAATATTCAGCTGAAGGCTTTCAGAGTCTGATGTTCCAATACCGCAGCGCTGTCTGTGTGTGTGCTACATGTCTGACTGTGTGTGTGTGTGCGTGTGTGTGTATGTGGAGCTCCTGCTGTGCCGTGCTTCACACCAATATCACGCCGTCGCTGAATCAATACCAACGTACAAAGACGTGATGACAGCTGAGCTTAGTTGCGGCATTACAACAGACTGAAAAGGGCTATATGGCTAATTTGTATAGTGTAATGTAAACAGACATTAATCCAACTAGAGAGCCACAAAAAAACAGTCCAATACTCTAATGGAGGAAATTCCCAATCCAGATCAAGGCTTAACTGCACATCAAATGTTTGTTCTAATATCATAAATCAATCTGAAAATATGTTTACTGAATCCCAGAGATTAAAAAAAGCTTTCACGTTATGACAGCAGTCTGCCCTTACTGTGTGTGGCTCCGTTGGTTTTCAACAGGCTGAAGCAGTAGTGAGCACACTGAGGACCGTTAGCGAGGCCTTTCAGCATACGCAGATAGGAGATGTAGAGCGTGGAGGGCAGAAGGTCTCCCATCTGACGCACAAACTTTGACAAAACCACCTGCAGAAATAAAGAAAGCGATTCATCTTCAACATTTCAGGATTTTTGTACTTTTCTATACAACTCTCAGAGGTATGTGATTTGAACTCTGAGTGCAGAAACGGCTCTCACCTGTTTGTGTGGAGGCCTCTGCAGGGCCATTCCCAGGTAGGATCCCTGCAGAGAGGTGTGCTGAAGGGACTCTGTGGGACACCAGAACTCCAGACCCAACTCCAGCCCAAAAGAGTCCTTACTGTAAAACTCTCCTATCTGGAAAAGAAAAGCACAAAACAACACCGTAAAAAAAAAAAAACTGAAACAAACTACCCGCAGCATGTTTCCACACACAGTTTAACTGCTGTTTACTCTCATAGACACTTTTGTAAGCTAGTAGCAGTAAGCACCAGTGAGAAACGCTCTGTTCTACATAAATAAATACATAAATAAGGGGTTATGATTAATGATACGTGTATGTATGTGTGTAAATGTGTTCTGAAAATAGGCTCACAAGGGTCATGAGGTGGTCTAAGTCCTTGCGTAATGACGCTGGGAGCTCACTGTCCATCTGCAGCGACATGTGCACCAGACGAGCATCCTCATCAGCCCGGTTACGAAGCTGCTTCACCTACAAGGACAGAAAAAGGAATAGAAACATAGAAATAAAACCATTAGAGCAGACGACATCCTGTATCCTCACACCCATAGTGGTCCCTCCAAATCAACCTGATACTCAAGTATTAATTGTGGACACCTTTGGCCTCTCTCACCTTCATCGGCATCAGTGCCAGGAAGTCTGTGATTAGTGAATGGAGGCGGCGGATGTAAAACTCCTCCTGGGAAAAACTCTCACAGCCCAGCATGCCCTCCTTCATAAACAAGAAGACATCTCCGAGCAGCGCCAAGTCAGCTAGAGCCTCGTCCCCCTCTGTGAACTCCACCAGGGCTGCAAAGAACACATACAACAATATCTCACATTAAGGCTCCATGTTTGAGCTCCACTTATCTTGAATCTTAAATTCAGTCTTAAAAAGGTTTCCTTCAAACAACTGGAAGGCATATTTGATGTCATTTAAGGAGACCTTACCGGATCCCTGTGGTAGCTGAGAGAGGACCCTCAGAGAAAGAGCCCAGGCCATGCGACACACCGCCTGAAGGCCTGGAAGCTTCCACGGCTGACAGTCCATCAGACGACTGTGCACCGCAGACACATACTGCCTCTCAGTCAGCAACGGAAGAGCCTGGAGCAGATCTGAAATATCACAACATAGGGTTAATACTTCACTAACTTTAAAACAATAACAGTGAAACTAAGAGCTGCCCTGTGAACAGGAATAGGAGGTTTTACTGAATTTAAAGAGATAGATATAGTCCATATTTTAAAATAATCTCACCTTCTCTGTCTTCTGTTCCCTGTTCTATGAAGCTGACGTCCAAGCAGTACAGCAGAGCCATCACCAGGGCCAGGTTCACACTGTCCAATGAGCCGTCAGCTTGAGCTGTGACCGTCTCCAGGTGGCCAATCAGAGCCAGCGTGTCATCTTTAGTCAGCGGTGATTGGCAGGTCCAGGAGAAGAGGCTGTCTGCCAGAGCCTGTCTGCATTCTTTGATGAGGTCTGACACCTGAGAACAAGTGACAAGAGTTAAATCGACGTCTGTGTTTGTAGATTCTTTTCATAAAAATTTCTACATGACTCACAACACATTACCTCCTTTCTGTGCTTCTCGTTTCCTAGGCCGCGCTCCTTCTGCAGGCGTTCAAACTCACGCGTCACACTTATCTCTGACACCAAGGTGAGGATGCGTTTGGTTAAGCCTTGGCTCATCAGTTCGTCTGTGAAACATGTCGTGTAAGCCACCAGCTCCCCACTGAGTGAGAAAACAGACAACAGGGCGGCTCAATAACAAGAACAAGACGGTGTAAGACAATGAAACAACAAGATGAGCATTTATGTCAGTATACGGACAATTAACAGAACCTGTCTAGAAACTAAAATTATAACTTCAATTTGATACTTCTAAAACAATATCGATACCTGTTTCTATAAAAGAAAAAGAAGACTTAGTCCTTTGTTTGTGGTCTGCATAAGTCTTACAACACAGAGAAAAATGCTCTGTTTCAAATTTGCTCTCCTTGTGACGTCACAGTGGGATTCTGGTATAAAAAAAAAAAAAATCCCCTCCCCTCCCCTGGTATCTTGCACCCATGGACTCCACCCCGAGCCTAGAGCTAAACTTTTTCGCAGGTCCGCCATTTTTATTCTCACTACAGAGGAGTGATGTCTACGGGGAAAACTCGGGAGGGGGGGGGGGGGGGGGTTCATTACATTTAAAGAGACACACACACCAAAACAGAGCACACAGCGAACACGGAATGAAGCGTGAAATTTTCAAGGCGCTGACTTGTTTTATAGGTTCTTAATGGTTACACGGTTTTCTACACTTCCTCTCTATGTCACTTGACCAACACGTCCCTCTCTCTTTAGAAAATTTGATAGTAGATTTTTGTTGTTTTTCCCATAAAGCTTTGGTTCTTAAAAGAATACTACCAAACGTATAAAACCTTTGTAAGATTGTATCATTCGAAAGCATGTGGTATCAAAAAGTACAGAAGTATTCAAACTTTTGACAACCTTACATGTTAGTGCTTCAATATTACTTCAAGGCAGCTTGTTACCTCAGGTCCAGGGTGAAGGTCTTTCCCTGGCGTGACTGGATGAGTGTGCGCAGGGAGTTTGCCACACAACGCTTTCCATCCCAGTAGAGCAGCACGGCTACTAGTCCTCGTGTCAGACCCGGAAAATGTGGCTGCTGCTGCTCACCTGGAGACAGAAGCATATATTCAGGAAACTGGTTGAGTTCATTAAACTAGCTGGCTGTAGCGATAACATCTTCAAAATATGTTGTGTTATCATGTCCGTCATGTCTAGTTTACCTGCCAACAGAAGCTCCAAAGCTGCCAATTCTCCAATATCAAACAAATCACTGAGGATGAAGGCCTCTTTGAGAAGCTGCTCTGGAAGAAGACGAGACCCCTGCTGACCTTGGATGGGGATACCTTCTGTGCTCGCTTTACGCACCTTTTCTCTCTGCTCGGCACTCTTTGGCTGAAAGGGAAGACGATAACAAATAAATGTCCCAGTTTGTAGAATACTGTCACATTCAGATATGAGCTAACACTTATTTCAATATTTGTATATGCGCAGCGTCTTACGGGTTCTTGAAGAGTGAGAGAAAGTTGGCTTTGTGTTTCTTCAGCTGAAGGTCCAGGAGGTGGACGCTCTCGGGCTGCCTCCTCAACACCGCCCCGTCCACCGTCTCCCACAACTCCTTCAGCGGCCCCCACAGACTGGCTCCTAGGGTGGTGAGAGAAATGTTGAAGTTCATGCCTCATCACACCTCTACAGAACTGATCTGCACCACTCCAGATGATTTATTTATTTAATCTGTGATTCTTTGGTACAACTGATCAAAATCCTCCCGCGTCTCTCTGTGAGATCAAACAGCAGCTCCGGATGCTGTTGGATGCTCCGCTCGGATCACACCCCACGGTTCAGGATCTCACATAAAGCATGCTGTATTTCATTATGTAGGATTACTTTTTCTCTGTTTCATCTCACCATATCTGTGTTTATCATGTAGGTACCAACTGGTGGTTAATGGTGACCACAATTAGAAATGTATCATCAGCAGCGTAACAGCCTGCTGTAGTGTGTAGCTGCAAACTTAAGACAAAGGAACTCTGTTAAAGAGCGCTTTGTGTTCAGTCCAAAAACTAGATATAGCCCCTAAACGCACACTTCTACTTCGATGTCAGAGTACCCAGCATGCACTGCAGCCAGTCTCACACACACACACACACGCACACGTCTGCTAAATGAACCGTGTGTTAAAACTAGGGATGTAAATATTAATCGTGAGGCAGTTAAAAATTGATTCAAAGGAGTCAAGGTTTACATGGGTACTCTGAAAAAATAATCACAATAATATCTTGAGCGTAAGCAGCTGTAGAGCAAGATTTTGAAATTAAGGACGCACCACTGTCTTTTAAATTGGAGGTGTGGAAGCATTTTCGCTTCCCCATGACAGAAAATGAAAGAGGTGAGAAGATGACAGACGAGACAAAACTGTGTGCAAATATTACAAGAAGACAGAGAACTACACAAACAGCACGACCAACATGATGCAGCGTTTAATCCACACTAAGGCCAAACCCCACTGACAAGCGGGTTTGCAGCCCCGCTCACCCAAACGAGCGCAAGAGCCAAAGAGATTACTGGGTGCTTTGGTGTTTTCATGAAAACATGAAAGGAATCTTTTTCAGTCATCTTATACTTTGTCTTCATTTTGTAAAATAAATTGTGTGAGAATCGTATCGTGAATCATATCGTATTGTGAGTTGAGTGAATCGTTACATCCCCAGCAAGAAGTTATGGTGGGGGGGTCCACAACAGTGAAACCATAACTCTCCTGGCAGCTTTTTATCTCCAAACAGTGTTCAGCAACCAACATTTTCCTTTCAGAAATTATATCATAGAATTGTTTCACATCTCCAACTTTCAAATTTCACTTCCAAAACTCCATAGTGCACCTTTAATGAAATACACATGTTAAGGGTATGTAGGTTTAAGTTTATCACTGGAGAAGAAACACTAAGGTCATTTATTGCTCGCTGTAACTCCTGCCTACTTTTTAGAAAGCACAGATAATATTGACAACTCTCCAGTACTGAAACATATCAATGTATTTAAGTAATGTGTTGCTGTGGTATCGAAACAGTTATGGATTTAGTCTGGTTTTTGTAGTATCATATCGACGTTTAAAGATCTGGTATCTTGACAACCTTAGAAATAAAAACATCACAATGAACAAACACATCGATGTCAAACATTTCTCTACTTCACTCAGTTAGTTTCAGTTTTGTTTCCTACAAAATAAACTAATCTGCTGCTCATGTGATAAGTGTCGTGTTGTCCTTATGACATTAGGGAACCTCCAATGTTATCAACGCTGTTTGAAAACGTGTCTGCACCTTCAACTAAATCACCTGTTTAACCACATTAGCAGTACATTAACGTGTACGCTTAAGCTAGGGTAATTTAGCCTAGCATGAGTGCCTGAACTTGAGTGAACCATCACCATGGCGACAAATCACGACCTGCGACAAACCTGTCGTCATGAAGCGAACATGTGTGTGTTTATGTGCAGGGTAAAAACTACCTGCAACTGATAAAACCGACCACATAGTACTAACTTAATGAAAGAAATGTGATTCATACCCGAATTTACCGCCATCTGCGCCGCCATGATACGCTGCTCGGAAAGTCGGACAGGAGAGTCTAAGTATTCGCCGGTGTCAAATTTAAAATTATAAACTCGCTTAACACGGTGATGTCAGGAATGATAAACAATGAATAGCCACCATACTTAATATATGTATAAAGTGTGTTCTTTAAAGTCTATATGAAATTTATATGTATATGATTAATTTGAAACTTCCAGGCGGGGTCCTTACACCTTTTCAGACGCGCAAAGCTACATGGGAGTTGTAGTATTCCTGTGAAAATGGCCCAAAGACGCATTTTAACAAGATTTTGTTGGATTTCGTGTGGATTTTATTCCATATCGGCAACCAAACATCATTATTTCACATTAATTTTGACAAGTAAATGCTTGTGTGTCGCGGAAATCATCGCAGTAATGATCAACATGTCACAACATTGGTTCCGCCCTGTGTTGGTGCGGGCTGTTTTGACGTTACACCAAAATGTCCACGCTCTCTTGACAGCTGTAGAGCGGTGACCGCTGATATGGAAATCTGTCTTTCGTGACTATAAAACGTCTGCGTTGACGTACACGTTACACCTTCATATAAAGATTTGTGGACATTTTAATCTAAACCATGGCTCGGGTCGTGAAAGTGTTTCGGACTCTGCGGAATCACTGGAAGAAGTCCACGTTTGCTGTGTGCGTGCTGTCTTATGGGGGCCACTGGCTGTATGGGAAACACTGGTGAGTACCTCCTCAGGTTATTATGGATTGAATAGAGAATATAGTACAGGTGTTATGCCGAGAAATGCACCCCTGCCGAGAATTGCAGAAGTGTTTGAAAACGGTCTAAATGTTATATCTGGGGGCAGGTATGTTATGACAAAGTATGTGAAGTTTATATTTTATAAATAAAATAGTGTCCTTATTGTTCTGCTGACTCGTAGAAGACGCATTTTCTTCGCAAACAGTGTGTGGCTATAAAGTGTCTGTAGAGGGAGTTTAGGGTTTGATGCAAAATACGTCAACATAATATTTTTAGGGTGGAAGACAAAGTAGGCAGTGTAGAAATTGTCCTGCAAGGTGCATGCAATTGTCGGCATTACACCAGGCTTGTCTAATGTTTCACATTTCTTGTCTTCTATATTCTCAGTGACAATCTTCTGCGGAGAGAGGCGTGTCTCATGGCCAGGGTGAGAACAAGACATCTCTTATTTTTGCACATACACTGCCAGTTAAAGACACCTTCAAACCCTCCTTCTGCTTTTTACATGTTATCATTGTCTCTTTCAGGAATTTGGGCGTCAACAGATAGAGCCACATGCACGCCTGAGGAAAGCAACAGTGGTTTTAAACCCAGCAGCTTGTAGTGGGTAAGACGACAGAGATGTTACAAAACCTCTCATTGACACCAGTTTTATCAGACTACAGTATGGATGTAACTATACACTCAACTCACAAGATGATACGTATATGATTTTATCGAAGTTTTCTCATTTTTATGAAGAATTTAGATTTTATTGGAAATTTGCTGATGATGAAAATACAAGTCATCGAGTCATCTTCCTGCCCCCTGTGTGCTGGGAGAGGATCCCAGCTCCTCAGCAGCTGCCCCAAATCCTTGGCCGATTGTCCGTCACCACTGGCAACTTGTGGAAACATTAAACACCACACCAGGAACAAAACCATCCTCAATGCTGGAGAGAAGCCCCATTCCCGAGTCCCGACCACAGACCGTGCCGGCTGTCCACAGCCCCCAGACCGGCAGCTGTCAAGTCCCTTGATCACATCATGCACACGAGGCACCGCCCGAGTCTTGATCATCTCCTCAGACTCCACCGAGCAGGTGATCATGTGGGAGTTGACCGTCCCCTGAGAAGAACATGTAGAGAAGGCTTACGAGAGGAGGCTAACAGGAGATAGAGGGGCAGTGCAGAAGCCGAGGCTGGCGGGGCTCGAGCAGATTGAAGTGGGCTGCTGGCGGGTTTGGTTGTTGCTCTGTCAGGGATTGAAGTAACTGGAGCAACAAAGGCTGGATTGCTGTTGCTGGGATACAATCCGGGACTTGATCAACTCCAGATGGGTCATCTGGGTGAGTGGGTCTGATGTTAAAAGACCTGAAACTCCTAATGACCCCAGGAACATCACGTCATAATGTTGAATGGTTTGTTTTTATTTTGACTGGAGATGCAAGCCGCATCCCCACACGCCCGTCATTTTGTCTCATCAGTTTAATTTGTCCATATTTGTATTGTTTTTATTGTTTCATCAGAAGACTAAAGTTCCTGCCTTTGTGTTCCCCAGGAAAGCCAACAACCTGTTTGAAAAGAATGCAGCCCCCATATTACACCTGGCTGGAGTGGAGATTACAATAGTGAAGGTACACTGAACCTTTTATTTAAGAAAACTATCGATGGCATAAGAGATTGTGATAGCGTGATTATATGTCCGCTGTTTCTCTACAGACGGATTACGAAGGCCAGGCGAAGAAACTGATGGAGTTCATGGAGCAGACTGACATGCTGATCGTTGCCGGGGGAGACGGCACCCTGCAGGAGGTCGTCACAGGTTTACTTCGGAGGCCGGATCAGGTGAGTGTCGAACACTTATCATGTTAACCTGTTATCAAGCTTCAGTTCAGTGCTTATCCAAAAAGATATCTGTTGCCAACGCATTTGTACAATTTAGACATGTGCATGAGTTTACTTACAAATTGTTGTTAAAGGGGACATATTCTGAATAATCCACTTCTACAGTGTTGTTGAACATATATTTGGGTAACCTGAGTGTCTACTGACCCACAAAATGTGAAATAAACCCATCCAGTCCTTTGTTTGTGGTCTGCATAAGTCTTACAACAGAGAAAAATGCTCTGTTTCAAATTTGCTCTCCTTGTGATGTCACAGTGGGATTCTGGTAAAAAAAAAAACTCAGGGGGGGGCTCATTGCATTTAAAGAGACACACGGAGCGTTCTGAGAGAGCTGGTTTATACAGGGTCACAAACCTCCTCTGGTGCTTGATTCATGTTATATTTTGACCAAAGCACAGCACAGATGTTTCACTTAGACCACAGGGGACTGTTTGAAAAGGTGCAGAAGGTGTTTAATATGTCATCTTTAAATAAAAAGAAAAAATCAACTTAGGACTTTTATTTTTGTCACCTTGGTATCACACAGGTTTAAATACTGTAAATACTCACTTTGCATATCAAAGCTTAAAATGGTGGCATCGTGATAACTGCCTTTGTGTCTGTGATTCACTGACGAATGCTTTGTGACCACAGGACACGTTCAGCTGCACTCCAATAGGATTCATCCCTCTGGGCGCTCACAACTCTCTGAGTCCCAGTCTCCATCTTCTCAGTGACAACAAGGTCAAGTAAGTACCTCGTCGATATCATACATCCAGATTTAAATCAAACACAACATCATGACGAACCACCTCCTTCCATTTTCCAGAGACATTACATCAGCAACACTCTCCATACTGAGGGGAGAAACGGTTCCCCTGGACGTGCTACAAATCCAAGTGAGTTACTCTTTCTCAAAGTTACAAACCTTCTGTGTTTCTTACATGTGTACACCTATATTAGACATCAGTGCGGAAGTATGCTGGAATAAATGTGTGTTTATTTTGACGGTTATGTGTTTTCGTTTTTTCCCTAGGGGGAGAAAGAGCAGCCGGTCTTTGCTCTGATGGGACTACGTTGGGGTGCTTTCAGAGATGTGGCTGCAACAATCAGCAAGTAAGATCTCCCTTCTTTAGGTGAATCCTGACATGTTCCCTCGAACAAATGACTGATTAAGAGTTTCTCTCCGTAGGTATTGGTACCTCGGACCACTGAAGACAAATGCAGCACATTGGTTAAGCAGTCTACGGGTAAGACTATGTTTGTTGTTTCCTGGACTAATAGATAAGTATTTAAAACAATGTGAGCTTGTCATAAAATGTCTGATATTGCAAAGAGGCCATGTCAGCCACCGGGGTGAAAGACAGACATTTCTTTTTCAACCTTCTGACTTCATCACTCTTTCAGAGGGTTGCATCATGAGCACTCCTGGAAAATTATACAAAATTGACAACAGCGTGCCCCGTAAATCTGGCTCAGTTGCAGTTTCACACACGTGCCTCACAGCATGAAGTTTTCCCCGTCAATCAGGAGGGGGGGGGGGTCTGAGGAGGCGGGACGTGTGGTTAAAAAGACATGCTGCAGAAATCCAAGATGGCAGATGAAGCTATATAGATGACTCTGTTGCTTCATCTGCTACTTTTTTGTGTCTTTTTTTTTTTAACGTCACATCTTACCTCAGGAGACCCCCCCGCCCCACCTCCGGTCTGACAGGGGTAGTCTATCTCTGTGAGGTTCATATTTGAACAGTCAGGTCAGGAGAATCTCCGGAGCAGTCCTCCTAAAATTATCTAGATATTTTCAGGAGTTCAGGTGTGAAAACGGCTCAAGTCTCATTTTTAATATCACTTATAAAACACATCACACTGAATGTTCTTTAGATTTCTACATGAGGTAGTTTCTGTTTTTCATATCTCCCTCTTTATTCTTTGTTACCTGTGTCCGCCTGCAGCTTTATTTTAATCTTCCACTGTCTTTATTCCCATCAGGAGTGGCCCCTGGTCAGAGACGTGGTCGTGTCTTTCACCGCTCCCAGCCTCCGGCCCCCTGATCTGCCCCCTCAGAAACCCACCAGACCCAACCTGCTCTACCGCATCAAGCGGCGGCTGCAAAACTACTGGAACCCTCCTGTTGAAGGTAGAAGAGTGTGTTACAGTACAGACACAGCGACGGGGGGGAAATGAGAGCTCACTGCAATTATCGGTTTTGCTCTGGTTCTAATTAAGGGAAAGGCAGATTTAGTCTCGCTGTGTACAACATTTCTCTAGACATGCAAATAAGATTTCTCATTCAGGCCTTTCATATGTAGCTAACAGCTCCGTTCAGACGGCCGCTTCAAGCCGCAATATTTACGCTCCTGTAACGTTTCATCTTCAATCTAAATGTAGCGAAGGGGTATAATGTATAATGTGAATTCACAGACTGGGAAACCGATTGCGTATAAAGACGTGATGCCGGAGGAGCTTAGTTACGACACTTTTGCTGGAAAAATCTGAATCTAAATTTGGTGGAGGAATGCGTCTTTGCATTCTCTCCAACAGGATTGAACATTGCTGTTAGGTGACATAATGACACTCTTTGTCCAAAAAACGTAAACATGCAATTACTTCTTGATCACACAAAGTAGAATGAGGTAATAGATTGGCTTCCATGCACGTAGAGATGAGATCCACCATGAGGAGCTGGTCCCTTCATACAACATATATTCTCTTGTTTTTGAAAAGTCTGACACACACAGTATCGTTTTGTCCTCTTAACCTGTTGTCTTTCCCTGCAGAAATCACACCCTAAATGAGAATATTTAACTTGACAGTTTTGGAGAAATGTGGAGACAAGGAGACAGACATGTTTCCTTTTTTTTTTTTTAAACACAAACCTTTAAAGAGAACCAGATCAGATTCTAGCTGTGCAGAAGTCTCTTTGTTGTTTCTGGAGACGTTATCGGCAGAGTCACACCGGATCCTGACGATGGAGTTTTGGTTGTTTGGTTTGTGTGTTTGCTCAGAGCCTCCAAAAGTGGAAGAGCCGGAGGAGTGGAAGGAGCAGCAGCTGTCGACGCTGGAGCTGTTTGTTCAAACGCACAACAAAAACCCCGTGCAGAGGGTCAGTGCAGAAACCACTCGTACTATTTAAAACATTGTATTTGTCCTGATGAACATTGAATAATTATAAAATCATATTTCTGTTTTTTATTTCAATTCTCAGCGGCTCAATGACTCCCTGATGATCTGTGCAGAACCAGATGACTTCACCGTGGGCGAGTTCATCACAGTCGGGTTAGTGCTTCATTGTTTTTATTCGCCTGCTGCACACAGAGGAGGATTTAGAGGCTTTATGGATGCAATGAAAGTTCATGTTTCATAAATTCAAGACGAATAGTGAATGTTCTTTACTTCAGAAAAAAAAAGGAAGAGGACCCCACTGTGTTCACCAAAAACGCCACAATACTAGAAGCCAGCGCTTGTCACCTGCAGCTCCCAGAGGTGAGAAACATTTCAAATGTATTTTTACTGTCACAAATCAAAGCTTTCGCAGCATTATGCCGTTATAGTTTTTGACACCTAACATGAACCCGGACCTTGCAGGGTGCCGGGGGTTTTTACAACATCGACAACGAGGAGTATGAGGCCATGCCTGTAGAGGTAAGGCTGTTGCCACGGAAACTACAGTTCTTCATCAGTGCAGAGCGGAGGGAGCAGCTCCTCTCGCAGACACAGTGATGGAAAAGAAGAAAACATCAGATCTGAAAAAGGAGACACGAACAGCGGGACAAACACTGACTTCAGGATCCCGAAACTCTGATGAGGAGTTAAAGAATCTGTTTCTGAACATCGAAGAATCGCAGAAATATTCAGTTGAAGTTACTTAAAACAGTAACGAGGAGGATTACATGATATTTTATTATATATATATGAAAGGACCAAGGCTTTGTTTCCACGTGCATGTTGTCTTAAAATGGACTTTACGTTGACTGGATGGTTCGCTGTCATTACATCTGAACTTGGTAAATAAAATAACAGCTGTCCAATCAAACACGTTACAGTCTTATGTTTGTATTAAGTATGTTAGCCTGTAGCAGCTGGTTTAGAGGAGTGCAGGAGTTTATTCTTTGTTTTGAAGGTTTATTTTGGGGGTTTTGTACCTTTATTTTAGAGATAGGACAGAGTCAAAAGTCAGGGAGAGAGAGAGTGGGGAAGGAGCCACAGGCCCCCCCCCTGTACATGGGGCATGCACACTAACCACTAGGCCACCGGCTCATTGAGTGCAAGGGCTTGCTGTATGCGTGGAGTAAAGTGATGGATAAGTCGGGAGCATTTCTCATTTTCTTTAAACTTAGATATGATACAAGTAAAAATAAAACATTGGTTTGTTTGGATACCATGGCAACAGAAACAGAAGTCCTAATCGCCCCAATATTGAGCCATTTCTTGTTTTTTAATCAACCTCATCCACATTGATAAGAAAGAGAAATATGGTCTCGTGTTTCTTACTCAGTGAGGACGTATTAACACCATGACTATGAGGTGCAGAGTGTGGAGATGTTGGACGGATTAGATGTTGGAGATGTTGGAGATGGGACTGTAGCTCAGTTGTCGAGTTGGCCGACCCTCAACAAGCAGGTCAGGGCACAGGTTTAATCCCCAGCTCCTGCAGCCACATGTAGGATGTGTCCTCAGGCAAGACACTTAACCACCCCACGTTGCTCCCGCTGTTTCGTCTGCGGTGTGTGAATGTGCATGAATGGACGAGTTAATTCTGATGGACTCTTAACACAGCAGCCTCTACCATCAGTGTGTCAATGTGTAGGTGTGACCTGCGGAGGATTTCGATACCATAGCGACAAAACTAGAAGTCCAGGGAACCCATTTTGGGTAGTTTTTTTGTTCTTAATTACTCCTGCAGTTTAAATTGCACAAATGCATTGGCAACATTTGTGCAATTTAGACTGTGCTCTCTCTCTCTTACTCTGGCAGCAGCTTTTGTTGAAAAACATGACTGAAGCTCTGCTGCTTTAAATATTATCAATCATTCAAATAAGGGTGATTGTCTCCCTTAAAAACGTGATATCAAAGTATTGAACATTTTGACGACTCGAGGAGGGATAGAGCTGAACGACTGTGGAAGAACAGAGAGATGCCGGCTGCAGGCAGCGCTCTGACTGTGCTCCAAATGCTCATAATCTCAGATGAGGAGTTTGGCAGACTCCCTGGAGGGGCTGGCTCTGATCTGACAGATGGTGCAGACAGAAAATCTGCAGGATTAAATTTGAAAGCTGCGTTGCCTCATATTTGGCTGTTAAGGAAAAAACACAGGACAGCCCTTGGTTTTATTAATTTAATGGAAAAAAGGTTTTAAAAAACAAGTTATTTTTACTCCTATGCAGTTATTTATTTCTGTTGAGGTCATCAAAATGTTCTATACTTCAATACCGTTTGATACCAAATGTTTTAAAATATAAACTGCTATTTGAATGACCCATAATATCATGGAGTAATGAAGCTTTAAAAAAAAAAACTACAGGTCTTCAGTCATATTTTAAAGGAGAAATCAGTAAGTGAGTGAAATGATAAAGTGACCTTACTATATGATCAGACATTAAGAAAACATGCTATGTTGAAGTGTTGGCTTCTCTGACAACAATGCAGCAGCCAGTATGTCCTCCTCCTAACTTTAGATTCTGCTCCTGAATGCTCTGGATTTGTTTAGACCAGAGAAGGTAGGCGGTTTTAAGGTGCCCCCACACGGCCATTTTGGACGCCCCTCAGTTTGTCAGATATGAGAGCAGTTATCAGGTCAAACCAACAGGTGTTGCAGTGATGGAAGCAGTAAGAGAAGTGGTTCAGATATAGTGATAGTGATTGTACCCGACCTAAAAAGCCTCTGCATGTTTCTAATAAGCTCCACGAGCAGAAACGTGCTCAAACTAGGATCAATATTGGAGATGCTTTTGAAAAATGGAGAGAGGTTAGAACACAGAAAGGTTTACAGACCGATGCAGAGCTGGATAAACACTGAAGCTTCAGTGTCCACTACATGGCAACCTGCATGAGTATTGACTCTAGAGAAGAGGGGGCGGGGGGGAGACAGCTCTTTGTAATGTTTTGAATTTAGACTGCAGTACCCATTTGAAACACTAGGTGTCTAAACTCAAGCCACCCAAGCCCTTCCAGAGAGGGGGCGTGGTCAGACAGAGCTTATTTACATTTTTAAAGGTACAGACACAGAAACAGCCTGTTCTGAGCAGGGCTGAAATAGAGGGGTTTATAGACATGATCAAATACAGCATCAGAGTGGATTTAGAACAAGACACTTCACACACATTTTGAGGAGCTCTGAGACTCGGATAAAAAGCAGTGATGCAGAGGATGACAGAACAGCTGACTGTATCGATGTTTTATTGTTTAACAATGGCAGTACAGTGGAAGTAACAGTTGCTCATGCTATTGAGTTCATGGGTACATTACTGACATCTGGTACAGTGTTTCACATTATTAAGGTGGAGACGTATCGGTTATTAGGGTGAAAGCTCTTGATGTACAATCCAGAAGAAGAACGTTACTCGCCCGTGTGTCTGCATGTGTGCAATACTTTTTGCTGTCTTTGACATTCAGTAGAGAGTGACAGGCTGTACAAACAACTCACATAGCTAATGCTGGTACACGACTGTGGACGGCTTAACAAAGAAGGCATTTTATACAGTGGTGTGTGTGTGTACGTTCTCTTTTTCACTTAACATACACCTGTAAAGCAAACACCATCAGAGGCATGAGCGTTAAAGATTCAACCGTCAAAGAGGACGAGGCTCTAAATCTTTCTGCAAACACTGCTGACATGCAGAGAAAGAGCCGGACACTTCGCTGTGGGAAGAATGAGAACATCACGTTTCCTTAAGGCCCCGCTGAAACAACTAAAGCTCGAGTGCCCTTTTCTTTAAAATACAATACTTTGTGCACTTTTCTCTACTTCTTAAAACCGTCCTAGAAAACCTCTTACAGGGGTCCAATCAAAGTCCAGCACAGGCTTTAAAACCATCAGCAGTGCTCGGCCCCCCTTCAGAGCGTCGTATCACCAAACGTGACAGTTTTAAAAAAAAGTGACTTGAAAAGACGTGTTACAAAAAAAGAGTTGGTATTTAAGCTTGCATGTTTGAGAACAGCTCAGTCTACTTTTTTTTTTTTTTTTTTGGGAGGCCAGCATCGGCCTCGTGTGTTCCAACATGGAACAAATTACCTCTCTGATTGGCAACATGACGGAGCGACCAAACCAGTCCTGCCAGGCAAATTGAAAAGACACAGTTGGCCTCCGTCTCTGGAGCTGGATTCACTCAATGGGGCTGTGATGAAAAGGCGGAGAGAACCCCTCAGCTGGAACAGACAGCGGGTGGGGTGGGGGTGGGGGGGGCTCTCAGGGCTCCAACGTTAGATTCCCCAAAACGCACAAAGAGATCTTTGTGGAGGACACGGATAAACAGAGAGGATCTCTTTGACGCTGATCGACAAATAAACTACAAACGGCTCCATCAGGGACTCGTCCTCAAACTGGAGCACAGAGGACATGAAATAACGGGTTGTGCTGGTAGACCAGCCTCTGGTTCAAGTAAAAAAAGAACAATGACAGCCTGTGCGCACAGACTAAAAGTCATTCATGTCGTTTTTTTTTTTTTTTAGCATGATCACTGTGTGCAACAAGAAATGGTCCAGTGTTGTTACAAAGTGCAGCATTCATGGTAAGTTAGTGATAAAGTCACATTCAGCGACCTCGGCGTTTGAAGGTGACACAACGGAGAGTCTCCAGAAACGCCCTCCGTCACACAGAAACACACGATAACATCCACGTTGTGTTAAAAGGTGCATAAAAAGGTGAACAACAGCTCGTTCCCTCCACATTCTGCGACATCAGCTTCATAATTATTAACAATCCTCTTCATAAAAAAAACATATTTATAACAAACGGCTCGATGCTCTCTTTCATCTGAGAGAAACCGAAACGGTGGCTGATGATTTCAAACCACAAACAGACTCCTATTGCTTCTTTGTCCTCTCTGAAAGGTGAATCAAGCACAGAGCAATAAAGCAGCTCCCTCGGTAACAGAGCCACATAATCATCCATGTTATTGTTTTTGTTTTTTTTGCACACTATGAAGGCTAGAATCTGAAATGTTATTTAAAGCACTAAAGTTCATTTCCAGCAGTGAAAACTCACCCACATAATGAGACTCTTCAGGGAGCCTAAGTGTCTCCAAAGTATCAGGAGCGAGAAAGTTTCAGGGATTTCTTCTCTGTGAGAGGAGAACGAACAGTCATCACCCAGAACAAGATGGGTGTATCCAGTGCTTCAGCAGTCAAAAAAAAAAACACAAACAGGTGAACACATGATGAAGGGCGTGAATGAAATTAAGGGCACACTGCTGCCCCGGGCTTCCCCTTGTACAGGGGAAAAACAGAGACCCACGAGGGGACGGACAGATGTCCCAAGGTGAAGGCAGTGTCTTCAGTGTCTTGGTGTGTGTGGGAGTGGGAGTGGGAGTGGGAGTGGGCCTTGAAGGCACAGATATCCAGTGGTAATTTAAGTTCCTCAGGCTGAAGAGGGGCTCAGGGGCAGCAAAGAGTGTCAATGACCAGCGTGACGTCGATGCCGTACACCTCCAGCAGGTCGAGCAGGAAGGAGCGATCGCTCTGGGGGTCCAGCCCCATGGCGCTCATGTGCTCCTCGGTGAGGACGGGTTCAGCGCTCCCTGCTACCTCCGACAGGGTCTGGAAGATGCGGTTGTTCAGCTCCATGAAGAACCTGGGAGGACAAGATGAAAGACAGCTCTGTCATACTCCGTCAAAGTGATTCAACTTACATAACGGCACCACTCTCCTTAACCTAAGAGCCTCAGTATTCACTTTTCAAGGACTCACAGAATAAAAAGATCCTCTTCATTTGAAGTGCAGTCTCCGTCAACCTCCTGAGAGTACAGCAACATTTGCCTGGAAACAGAAATGAACCATCTGTCATTCTAAAACCTAAAGCATTGGATCCTTGTGCTTCTAGTTTTGTTGATCATCTTCATAATCTACCCTGAAATAAGAACTCACATGCCGGTGTTTATAAGCCACATTTCATCAGTCCAACCAGGTTTTCGCTGACGTTTTCTGTGTTTGTTGCAGCCTAAAAATGCCTGATTTTGCAGCTGCTTTTTGAAAAAGTTGCAATGCAAGCTGTGATGTTTGAGGGTCAATTTTTGGCTGTAGCACATTACAGAGGGACTGTAAGCAACTGGGAGAAACGTTTCAATAAAAGTAGAGAAAAGGATTTTCTTCTGACATCCCTTTGGGTCTATTTCAGGGTCAAGCTGCCAAAGAAAATGTGCAAAGCCTCGTTCACATTTGCACAAAACTCCTGAAAGTTTTCGGAGCGAGCTGCATGTGTGAACGCAAACAGCTGAATTTTTTACACTCAGACTTTATCCAGAGTTTCTCCTGCCAGCCTGAGCTGATGTTTGAACTCAGCAGGATACAATCAGGAAAATTCTCCAGGAGGAGGTGTTGACGTTAATCTCCTGCAATGTGTGCATGACCATAGATGGTATACAGATGTTGTTGCTACGTCTGCCACTTCTGTGTCAATCTTTTTTATGTCAGGTCTTGCCTCAGGAGAGGCTCCCGCTGTGAGGTGCAGGTGTGAACAACCAGATCAGGGTTTCAGGAGCAGTCCTCCTCATATTTACTAGAAACTTCCAGGATCGCATATGTGATGTGAATATCAGTTTAAAGGCAGGGTTGGTAACATTTTTGAAAGTAGCATTCCCTCAGTGCTCCGTCTACACCCCCCCCCCCACCCACCTCTGTGCGCCCGTAAAAGGACATAAGGTTGATGGAAAGATTAGAAAAAAAAGCCTCTGATTGGTCAATAGACTCATTAGTTAATTGGCTGACATACACGTCGACGGCTGTGGGGGAAAATATGGTGATGGGTCAAATTTAGGAAAAAGTTGTAGAGATTTGCAAAGAGATTGAACTTTTAATCGAATCGCTACATGGCAACTTCCTGGTTGAACTGATTTCATGCTTCTGTATTATCACAATGTTTCCAATTCATAAATCAGATTAAACAAACGAGCTGTGATTGATTTAAAATGTGACTTAGTTTTTACCTCTGCTCGCTCAGTTTCCTGTACTTCTCCTTGTCTGCTGCGTTCACTCGGAGCAGCGAGTGCAAATGGGTTTTGTGAGTTTTCACGTTCTGGTTATCAACGTAAACGTCGTACAGCTCCTTCTTCTCCTCGAAGATCTTCTCTGTGGTGCCTTAAAGACGACAAAACACATGCCCGCACATGAGGGACCACTTCTTATAAACCAGAAATCAACTGACCGTGTTGTAGAGTAAGGCTTCACTCACAGGCCACGTATGACAGCTCCGTTTCCAGGGTGGTGATGTCGGCGATGTTGACGTAGAAGAAAGGACGTAACTCAGGCACGGTGACACCGACTCCGGGTAACGAGACGTTAGCCAGGCAGCAACAGCAATACACTGAACAAGCACAAGAACGCAGAGAGTGTTTTATGGTAAACTGAATTTTACTGCTAACAAAGTATATTGTATATTATTAAACATGTGGTTTGTTCAGTGGTAAGTTAGGGTGTGTGCAGACTCAGCGGTTTCATGTCCTTCTTTGAGAGCACCGACCTCCATTTGTGGAGCGGCTGAAGCATGAGAGTTTCCTTCGACCAAACAATAATGTCATTTCAGTGTTTGTGTGTGTGTGTGTGTGTGTGTGTGTGTGTGTGTGTGTGTGTGTGTGTGTGTGTGTGTGTGGTTGAGCGACTCACCCCTGTAGCAGACCACGCCTACAGGAGGGGGCGAGAAAATGAGGATACGTTTTCTGAGGAGTGCAAACTTCCACAGCACCATTATCTGCTCCCCGAAGAACTGGATGAACTGAGACATGCAGCCAGCCGGGTGGGTGATCTGCAGAGAGGGGGGGGGGGGAGAGAGAGAGAAAAACAAAGGTCACACACCGTGGAGGAAACCTGCTTTCACTCACAGTAATATCAGCGTGTTTGCTCGCAGACCTTCATTTCTGGGTGCATGCAGCGGTTGATGGTGGTAACGCTCCAGGTTGGGCAGGCGGTGACCAGACCGTTTCCTGCAGGGGGCAGCACGGCCTTCTTATCGTCATAGAAGGCCTCCAGTGGAGAATACTGGCCCGGACACTGCAACTGATGTCTGCAAGGAAACAGCAACAGGAGGAGAAAAAATTAGGAAGGTGAGTCACAGGTTATCTACATAAATCTGACATAACTGGATTTACTTTAGTTTTGGAAATGCACTTGTAAGAGTTTTAAAACAAATGTGCACATTTTAATACCATCCAGAATATAAGCACATAGTGGAGAAGACGTGACCTCATTTCAGTTTCTGGAAGCTTCATTTTCTTAAATAAGAGGAGTAGGACATGTGTCATGTAACCATAGTAACTAAATCACTCCTGCTTGAACAGAGGGCAGCGAAAAGAGCTGCTGTGCTGCAGAATCAGCCCGCACAGACATTCATGACACCGTCCTGATTATACAAGTTAAATAAGACCGACTTTTTATTAACAACCTCGTGGACATAATGACATCATCTCCTCCCTCCGTTTCACCGTCAACAATAGACATCAGAATAAATCCAGAAGAACTGCATCCCTGTTGGATAGTTAAGTGGATAAAGCGCGCCAAATTTGTGCTGCAAGAAAAATAAGTAAAAACTTTAAAAGGTGGAGTTAGTAGAAATGTTTGTTGCAGTTTGTAAACACAACATTCAAACTAGCCCCTCCTCCTCCTGGGCTCATCGCCCCCTGAAGCTCACCCTCACTGCAGGACGTAGTGTGTACATTTACTGCTTGTACCTACACTGCAAGCTAACTCATGCTAGCACAAGCTAACCGCCAGTGTTTGTCACCTGCCTGTCCAACAGGAAGTAGACCAACTCCACATCCACGGGTAAACACCAACACAAGGTTCACTCTCGTTTTAGAACGAGCTTTATCCACTTGGTGTTTCTCCTCACTGTGATTATATTTTCTCTTTGCTGCTACGACCACGTCTGTTTGTTTGAATTGCGTCCAATCTCTGAATTGCATCCACTTCCTAAACTCACTTGCTGCGCTGTCATTGGCTGGAGGAAACACACCAGCTCCGCCCAGAAACGTACAGAGTCGACCAGAATAAAACAGAGCAGTAAAATCCAGTCAGAGGACAGAGTCTCTGCAGACACAGTCACCACCTCACATGTATGGAGGCCTAGAAGAGACGATGGAGCAGCTCTACTTTAGGAGAAGTCTGTATTTTATTTTTTAGGTAAAAGCTGCTGCGTCTGCCTGCGTAGGGCTTCTATAATTTAGTAGTCTTGCTTTACTTATTTCATTTCAACACCATCAGAGGCGTCTTCTGTGACAAGCCACATCAGCAGAGATCGACTGTAGCTTTCATTTTAATTAATTCAGGCGGCAACCTGAGCCATCTGTACATGTAACCTGATCATATTTTTATACATAGTCAATGAGGAGGTAAGGTTTCTGTGAGGGCTCTGAAGAGCAGCAGAGAGAGGCTGTCAAGGCGTCTTCCACTTCCGTACTTACGCTTCATACTAAAAAACTACATGTCAACGGGCTCCAGGAGCAGGGACTCAGAGCTCATGTTTAATAAATGAGGAAGAAATTTAACAAAGCAGCAAGGAGAGGAAGCAGACAAGTCAAGAGAAACCCGTAAACACAGCTGGGCGGGAAATAAATAAACGCAGAATACAAAGAAAGATATGAACAACACAAAAGTGGACGGCTTACCTGACTTGGTTCTCCAGGAAGTGCATGTAGCGGTAGAGCAGAGTGTAGGAGGGAGACAGGATTCCCACAGACTTCATCCGGGCTCCTCGCTCCAGCTCACTCTCCACAGGCATGTTCGCAAAGCAGGCCAGCCCAAAGTAACAGCCTTTACGGAAATATCTAGCCCAAGGCAAAAAACAAAGGGAAAACAAGAGACGAGGAGTAAACACGGAGACAGATTTCCTGCAGGGATTGAAGAGACCTGTTTTTAGTCCCATGACAGATTTCCTGTTCCTAACTTTACATACATGAAGTCGTTTGTGATCCGATGGGAACCGCTGGCCATCGATTTGAATTCGACGCCATCTAGGTTGATGTCGTGAGGCAGGCACCACTCGACCATATTCCCTGCAATTCACATACAAGCAAAGAGAAAAAAATGACTTCCCATATTCAGTACTTTCATCCTTAACACTTCCCCTTGCTCTGTTTGTGAGTCATGTGGAGTCAGGAGGTCAGAGACGGTAAGAAAGCGCTGACTCAGCGACTGTAAACATCCATACTCTGACCTCTTCTTTACATGAAGCCAAGTGTCACATCCCGGCTGTGTTTTCACTTTTGTCCTGACTTACTGAAGGTCATCCTTTATAGATGTCAAAATGTTTCCATACTTTTTGATACCACTACTTTTAAAATGATACACTCTCCATTATTTCATAAGACGGGTGTGCAGGAGAGGAATGGATGCATCAAAACACACTCGTGCACACTGTCTACATTGCACAAATACGTTGGCAACATTTCTGTACCGGAACGCTTTGGTAAGCTATCCATCAGTCATTGAGATAAACCAGATTTTATCGTAGTGATTCCATCCATCCATTATCTTTTGATATCTGGGGCCGGGTTGCGGTTGCAGCAGTCTAATCAAGTTGCCCCAAACTTCCCTTTCCCCAGCAGCGTTTTCCCACTACTCCTGGGGGATCCCAAGGCGCTACCAGGCCAGATGGGATATAATCCCTCCAGCGAGCTCTGGGTCTACCACAGGGTCTCCTCCCAGTTGGGCATGCCCGGAAAACCTCCAGAGGAAACTCATTTCAGCCGCTTGTATCCTCGATCTCATTCTCAGAGAGAATCACTCCCATGAGTCCCGGCTAGCTATGTTATTGTATTGATTGAGAGCCCCCTGGTGGTGGAATCTACATACTATGCCTTTAAGTTCTTTATATGAGGTATTATCAGACTCACTTTTTATTAAAGAAATATTCATTTAAATGAGTTACTATACAAACCTCATCACTTACATTTATAAAGACAATTAATGATTTGAAGAGAATTTAAAATATGGGAATCATTTTTATTCATTAATAGAATTTTATGTTGTGTCTTTATGCAAACAAAAATAAATAATGAAGAAATGGTATAAAAAAGAGTTAGGTGTATCATTACATCCCAATGAAGCATGTAGGCTATAAACTCTAATAATAATAATAATAATAATAATAATAATAATAATACATTTAATTCTATTGACGTTGAAAGTTTGTTTTTCTCGCTAATGAAACTGTTGTTTTTGTTTTTTTTAAAGCTATTTTTGGACCTTTTTGGCAGACAGGACGGCTGAAGAGAAACAGGAAGTGTTGGGAGGAGAGAGTAGGGGACGACATGCAGCAAAGAGCTGAGGCCGGATTCGAACCCACAGCCTCGGCGCTGAGGACCATTGCCTCCGTGCTGCCATCATAACCACCAGACTATCGACGTCCCTGAAATCTGTTTTCATTCACTATTAGGGATGTAATGATTCATCACAAGGCAGTAAAAAATCGATTCAAAGGTGTCAAGGTTCACATCAGAAAAAATGAATCGCAATACTTTTCTTAAACAGCCGAGGACACTTTCTATTTATGCTTCCCTTGTTTGGCGTCCTACGTCACTCGCATCAGACATGAGCGTCAGGAGAGGCGGTTGGTTGTAACAAGCAGGTGTTGTCATGGCAACTGCTGAGCAAGATTTTGAAATTAAGGACGCACCACTGTCTTTTAAATCGGAGGTGTGGAAGCATTTTGGCTTCCCCATGACAGAAAATGAAAGATGAGAAGATGACAGACGAGACAACAACTGTGTGCAAATACTGTGAGAAGACAGAGAACTACACAAACAGCACGACCAACATGATGCAGCATTTAATCAACACCACAATGACAAGCTCCAATCACCTCCCCTTGTTGAGAAAACAAACATTAAAAGGCCAAAGCACACTGACAGCCCCGCTCGCCCAATCGAGTGCAAGAGCCAAAGAGATTATGAGGTGATTTGGTGTTTTCATGAAAAAACTAAAGGAATCTTTTTCAGTCATAATTTATCTTCAGACTCATTTTGTAAAATAAATCGGGAGAGAATCGTATAGTGAACCCAATATTGTATGGTGACTGAATCGTTACATCCCGAGTTCACCGACAGTCGGTTTGTCAGCTTGGGAACCGGCTCAGGAAGAAAGGTTTACTGCTGCTTAATGATTTGAGAATTTGTTTAGTCGACCTTTGACATTAGAAATGTTTGACAGTCCCTCCTGAACTGAACAAACTCAAATCATAGCAAATATCTCATTAATTATACACTTCAAACCTCATTCTTACCTGAGAAGTCCAGATAAACATCTTATTTTAAAAAGGTATAAAAAGCAAATAAAATAAGCACATTATTTGTTGTGATCAGTAAAAATAATATTTGTTTTTTTACATGTTTAATGTCTTGAAATGAGATGTACAGTTGGGAATGAGCTGCAACATCTCATAAACACATATTGATCCTGCTTTGACTGATATTTTAACTTTTTAAAGATAATGCAGGCCTTATTTTTGCTTCTTGTATGTCGAATTAAGATGTTTATCCGGACTTATAAGGCAGATAATAAGTGTAATGAGAAATAAGACTTGAGTTTTGCTGTGTGGCCTTAAAGCAGACATCCTTGGCCCTTCACAGTAACTTAACTGAGCTCATTAGACAGATGAGACTGACATTAAAAGATAACAAGACTTCTTAGGATGATCTTCTCTGGAAATTTTGTCTTTTCCAGAACCGTGAATTTTAATTAAAGGAGATAAAAGATTAAAAAAAATTTTTTACAATCTGATGGCTTACCTGATCTGGTATCAAAGGTGACCACAAACACAGCCACGATCTGGTCCTTCTCCTCCCACTGATCCCTCGCGGAGAGGCCGGGGAAGAGAACATTACGCTCCGTACCGGGAGGCTCCGGACGATCCCAGCCGTGCCCGGTGAGCACAGTCCGCGGTCGGCCCGGACTTCCGTTCCTGCTGGCAACAACAGCTGTCACACTCTTCGTCGGGCTGCAGGTGATGGCGACGGTGCTGTTCCCGTTACTGTTCCCGTTACTGTTCCCGTTACTGCTCCACCCAGTGCCAGCCGCGGTGCCTGCGGGTGTCCCTCGACCGGCTGGCTGCGAACTTTTCTCCGCCGGTGCGTCAGGCTGCGGCGGGGCCGTTTGGATCGCATCGGGCGGTGGGGTCTCCTCCCAGTCCAGCAGAGGGGCTCGGTCCGACTTCTTCACCATGGTGCTGCTGCCAAGAACAAGGGAGAAAAATATCAGCAAAAGTCCCGGTTTCCTAACGAGTCGAGCGGACTAGACTCTCCGCTGGAGCCGGATCATGGTTTCCTGCTGCTCTCGGGTTGTTTTCTGTGTATTTGTAAGCGTGTCACATCCACTGACGGACTACTTTCCCTCCGCCCGTCTCACTGTTTTGATGACGTCGCGGACTTCCGCCCACGTGTCTTTATTACTATTTAATACAATGACCTAATTTTGGTTTGAGGCCATTTATATTGCGAATAAAAATTCGTCCTTTTCGTTTCCAGCCTTTTATCCTCTTATCCTTTTACTGCTGACATTTGGCTTTGAGCAGTCTTGTGCTCACACCTTTGGATACAAATTAAGGTTGTCAAAACTTTCCCAAACGTTATTTTAATTATCTATCGTACCAAATTATAATCTACAAATCTTTAGCTGCAGCTATTTTAACCCAAAGCTGCAACAAGAGAAAAAGTCTGTGTGAATAAATGTGTCAATCATAAACAATAAATGTCTCGTTTTTGGCTATAGGCCTACCTATGATTAATATTTCTGTTGCCATGGTATCGAAAAAGGTATCGTTTATCATCTGAGCTTTACTAGTAGGCTTTCCTGTCAAAGTTTAAAATTCAGGCATCCTAATAACCCGTACACAAACACTTCTTCAATTAAGTTTGTTTTGGTAATATGGTCACCTGTTCAAATTATTTTGCGCAGCGTTACAATCCAGGTGCGCAGAGGCAGCTTTCAGCCAATCAGAGAGCTAGGTGTGCCAACCTGGCAGCAAAGGTAATTTAAACAGGAAGTAATTAGCATACAGGGCGCGGGATTCAAACGTGGTAGTAGTGGCTTTAGTAGGGGACGCGAATTTTTCTGTGAGTATAAACATGAAAAAGTCCCTCAAACGTCAAAGTGACGTGATGCTCAACATGTGAGGATTGAGATAGGTCAGGAAGTTACTTCACAGCTGCACTGGTTCTGCTTTTCAGGTGTTAGTTTGCAAAAACGTCTTAAAGTAAGTCAGTGAAATGTGAAATGGACTTATTGATGACGAGTGTGAAGCTTGTGTTGTGTGCAGTGGAAGATGACTGAATTTAAATTTGTGTGTGAAAGATTTAATGATGACTGATTATTTTCTATTCTCTAACATTTTTAAATGTTGTCATGCAAACGTTTTCAAAACCCTTTTTTCTTTTCAGTGTGTTTTGTAATCTCTTTGCAGTTCTTGTGTAATGTTGGCAGCAGAAATAGTTGCATCCTGGTTGTGGGGAGCCGGTGGGAGCCATGTGGTAGGAAGGTAGTATCAGTGTTGTCACTGCCTGGAGCTTGCATGTACGGAGCCTGGGTCTGCTTTTTGGGCTGTGTTGACCATTGTTGTAGGTTAGTTAAGAAATAGAAGCCCTTTGGTGGGTGTGGTGGGCGATGAGAGCTAGACTTGATGAGTGGCTTTGGGACGCCGTGGGACTAACTGGGAGAAACAGCGGTGATGGAAGGTTCCTGCTTGACAACCTGCTGATGTCCTGGCTCTTGCTGCCCATCGGTTGAGTTGTGGGGGCCATAAGGGGCCATGTGGTAGGGTAGGTGGTTTTGGGGTTAGGGTTTCTATTTTTGTTGCATTGGTATCAAAACAGGCAGCGATATTGTTTGAGTTTCTAAGTTTTAAATTGTGGTATCCTGACAACCCTTTTGCTAGTTCCTGGACTTAAACAGACTTTAATGTGTGCATTTTAATCTAATGTAAAACATAATTTCCAAGTTTAAAACCCCTCTGTTTATTATGTTGATTTATTTTTGCTCTCTAAGGGGAGTCTACAGCAGGATTGAGTCTGTGAAAAATCTCAAAGAAACCTCTGTCAAACACAGGCCCGAAGCATGGCGACGGTGTTTGACGGGATCAGCCAGCAGCTGGACTTCTCGAGCTGTGGAGAGGAGGGCAGCAGCAGTGACAACAGCTCCGACGACTGCACCTTCAGGATCAAGAGCCCCAGGGTCCACAGTCCCAGGGTCCGCACTCCCAGGGTCCGCACTCCCAGGGTCCATACTCCCAGCTCTGCTTGCATGACCCCCAGGGTGCAACGCCACCGCAGCATGAGCATCACCATACCGTCCCCTGTGCAGTGCACCAGCCCCATCCCGTACGCTTCCTGGAGCAAACTGAGGCTCTGTGACTCTCCAAGCACGCCGAAGGTGGGGAATAATTCAACATAACAACAAAAGTCACTGCTCAGTGTGACCTCCCTGTACACGCAGCACTTCTTGAACTCTTTGTGGGAGAATGATCATAGAGTTTGATAGGGCTGTAAGAATACCAGAATTTCAAACATTGACATGATACATGTTAAAAATCGAATGATATCCAGACTGTGTCAATATCATTGCAACCAAAAAGAAGTCCTAGGCATCCAATATTGGCTACTTTTCTGTTTTTAATTTCCAGAAAATTGCAGGCAAGCTTCTACGCACTGTCTAAACTAGAGCCCGACTGATTTATCAACCAGCCGATATTAGCATATCCAGTGACTGTCGGCTAATTCTATCTCTGATCTGTGATATTTCTAGATTTATTCACCAGTCATAAAGCATTTCATTTGAGTTTCATTGTTTTACACTAGCAGTTCTCTGTCACCAGCAGAGGGCGCTATATGGCTCACAACAAGCATCATCACTCTGCAGAGTGTCAAGCAGTGATGCACGTACATGCTCAGTTACTCTCCAGCTGAGTGACCATGTTGTCCTCATTATAAATCTTTTCCATAAGTATTTGATGACTGCGTTTGAGTGATCAACCAGATAAATGTATTTAGACAACATCTGTCTTTACAGATGGAAGAAAGATATCGGCCGATGTATTGGAATCGAATATTTTTCTCTCCCTAAAATCAATATCGCCCCAAAAATCTCATATCGGTCGGTCTAAACTGCACAAACACATTTTGAAACATTGTGAAATTATGACGGTGAGCGGCAGTTATTGCGCAGTCTTTGATGGATTCATTTCCCTGTCTGTACTTGAGTTTTTTAAGTAACAGACCTTGTATCGCAATTGAACACGTGCTGTCGAAAAAAGTTTCACAGATTGAACAGCCTTGCTGTGCATATTCTCGTTTTGGTGCATTTTGTTGTGTGCACCTGTTTTCATGAGCCTTGTATGTCCTGTTTCTTCACTTTATTATAGAGCCCTTTGGACCTCTCCACCTGTATAAAAAGATGCTATATAAACATATAAATTATCGTCATAACACCTTCTGTTCCCTGACTGTATTTCTGCAGAGTCTGCTCTCCAAGGCGTCCCAGCCTTACTCCAGCACTAAGATAAGTCGTCATCAGAGGACTCTGTGTTTTGTCTCAGCCGCTGCCAACCACGTCCAGGCCCCATCTGTCAACGTCAACCCTTTCACCCCCGACACGGTCCGCAGGAACAGCGAGCAGCAGCAGCAGCAGCGGAGGACCTGTTTTAGGAGCGATGACGATGACGACTATGGACGCAGGTGATGACTGCTGTGAGGTTTTAGTGTATCTGAAAAAAGCTGAAAGAGCAGATAGTTTTTAGTGCCCTTACTATCAGATGTGACTTTTTAATCCCTTACTAACTCAGAGAGTGTTAAGGTCTAAAAGCCGTTTTCTCATCTTTGGCAGGTTGAAACACAGTTTAACGTCATCTGAGGAGGATGATGAAGCCTTTCTCCCACCAAAGGTACGTCTATTTTTATCAGTGCTTTCTGGTGGATGTAACCCTCCCTTTCAGATGCCTCTGAAATGGTTTCATCATCAGGCTTTGTCATCTTCTGCCGCCGCCTCCTCACTCGTTGTTCTGTCCAAAATTAAATGCTGCCAGTCCGACTTCCGGGATATCTCTGAGGAATCTCCAGCGGAAAAGCTCCGTCAGAGGCCCCACTGATCCTTTTCCTCGTGGAAGTGTAACCATATTTGGGTGCAGCACAGAAGAAAAGCGCGTGGATCTCCGGGGCTGTGATCAAACTCCTGCCTCAGCTCTGTGACGTTTTGTTTCTTCTTTTAGACATGTCTTTACCACGAAGCCCCTCTTGTCTGTTTTCTCTGGCAGAGACGAGCTGTCCAGGCCTTCATGCTGTCACGCTATGAGAGCGAGTTCCTGGAGCTGGAGTGCATCGGCGTGGGCGAGTTTGGGGCAGTTTACAAGTGTGTGAAGAGGCTGGACGGCTGCTTGTACGCCATTAAACGCTCCCGCCGACCCCTGGCAGGCTCGGCCAATGAGTGAGTGAGAAGCAGGTCAGCCGATCCATGTTTTTTCTTGTAAATTCATGATTTGATCAAATGTTTTGCTTTTTTTGAATGTCCTCTCAGACAGCTGGCCCTAAAGGAAGTTTATGCACATGCTGTTCTCGGACACCACCCACATGTTGTTCGCTATTATTCAGCATGGGCAGAAGACCATCACATGATCATTCAGAATGAATACTGTGATGGTAGGTTTCCTCCTCCTTCAAAGACTTTCATTCAGTTCTGGATGTTATGAAATACACAGAATAATTACGTTTTGATACTGGGTGTGTGTGTGTGTCAGGTGGAAGTCTGAACGACGCCATCCTGAAGAAGGAGGTGCAGGGCGAGCTGTTTTCAGAGGCCGAGCTGAAGGATCTCCTCTTACAGGTGTCAATGGGACTCAAATACATCCACAGCTTAGGCCTCGTCCACCTGGACATCAAACCAAGTACGTCTCATTCAGCAGTTTGTACATGATGCTTTGTTTAAGTGTGCACCCTCTGGAGTTGAGTTTTTTTTTTTTTTTTTACCTGTCACTTCACAGTCGCTGTTTTGCAAAAGCGACTCACATCCGAGATTATAAAGCGGTGAGATGGCTTACTCCTCAGCAACTCAGATAAATCGCTGCACCCCTAATATCAAATTATATCAGACATTGCTTCTAAGTGTGAGGAGGCCTGACCTGTAACCTGCAGTTTGTTGCACCCGATCTCGATTGCAGGTTTCACAAAAAAGCTTAAAGATTTAGAATTTCATTAAATATTAAAAAAATTACTAATAATGCACTCGTTTGTGTTTGCCTGTTACCTGAATAAAATCTTCTTTCTCGTGACATCATATGGAAACTCTACCTATGTCAACTCTCTGCAGGTAACATTTTTATCTGCCAGCGCTCCAGCTCTAGGGCCTCAGGCGAGGGAGAGAGTGAGGAGGAGGAGGAGGAGGAGGAGGAGGAGGAGGAGGATGGAGGCACTTCAGCTGGAGTCATTTACAAAATAGGTATTGTTTTTACTATTTTGGTGAAGACAAATATCTACCTTCTTTTTTTAAAATGCTTTTCATTTAACTCATGTCGGTCTCCTGCAGGGGATCTGGGTCATGTGACATCAACAAACAGTCCTCAAGTTGAGGAAGGAGACAGCCGCTTTCTGGCCAGCGAGGTCCTGCAGGAGGTAAAAAAGTTGCAAACCTGTTAAAAATCATTTCCAGGGGCTTGAATAAAAGAGAGGACCTGTTGTATTTGCAGGGGTTGTTGTTATTTCTATTGATCATTTCAGCTGTTTTGACGCCCTGCAGGATTACAGCCAACTCCCAAAGGCAGACATTTTTGCTCTGGGCCTGACGCTGCTGCTGGCAGCGGGTGCGCCCCCTCTTCCCCAAAATGGAGACGAGTGGCACAGCCTCAGACGGGGAGAGCTCCCCAAACTGCCACAGGAGCTATCGCCTCCCTTCAAACGCCTACTTCAGGTACTCTTTATCGATAGGATGATCAAGTATTTGTAAACTTCTTTTTGATTGGTGCTGTCTGGCAACGACTTCAAGATCTAAACGTCATTAATCACAGTCTAGGATGTGATTAATTGTTTTTTTCTTTCTTCTTTGTGTCAGTTGTTACTGGATCCAGATCTGACAAAGCGGCCGTCTGCCAGAGAGCTGTGCAAGCACACAGTCTTAAGGGACGAGCGGACTGGGAGGCTGGCTGCTCAGCTACGCAGAGAGCTCAATGTGGAGAAGTTCAGGACGGCCATGCTTGAAAAGTAAGATGACACAATGTCTGCTCTTTGGTATCGGCACCTTATGTCACAGTTTCTAGTAAATTAATTAAGTGATACAATTTTCTTTCTGGAGACAGATTGCTCTCAAATCACATTTAAAAACTGGCAATGAGATCTAAATATAGAATAGAATTACTTTATTGATCCCAAACTGGGAAATTGTGGAAATGTTCTTTGCTGATGCCAGACAATGCCTCCGTTCCCACGTCATTCCCAATCCCCACTTTCTCTCTCCCTTGTTTCCAACTGTCAGCTGTCCTGTCTCTCCAATAAAGTCATAAATCTTTTAAAAAGTATGACATTCTGAGAACCTTGGACTCCAGTGTAAAAGCATTCATTTATTATTTTCTCCACAGGGAGCTCCAGGAGGCTCGTCAGGCCGCGTTGTCACCCAGGCAGAACCTCTCCCTTGGGCTGAAACCCTCTAAGATGGGGTCTCTGCCCAGACCGGGGAGGAGGCTTGTTGGTATGAAGACGGCTCGCTCCATGAGTTTCGGTTGTTAAGATAAGGAAGTCCCACATGCTGCAACCAGGTTGTGTTAAAAATGCACCATGTATATATGAGAAGACATAACTTAAACATGAGCTGTGTGGAGGATCCTCAGGGAGTCTTTCCATGTAAAGGCCTTGAAATCAGCGATGATTTTGAAGAAGAAATTTAGACAACAACCCGAGAAGTGATTTGCTTGTTCTGCTGCATGCCTATAAACTTAAACCAATGCATGGACTTGTTTTTTTAATTGTAAATAAACTTTTAAAGCCTTTTTATCAAATTAATTCTTGTTTTATTTTCTCTGAGAACCACGTCTAAAAAAAAAAAAAAAAAAAGCCCTTATGCAATCTGTTTTTTTTTTTTTTTTAATGGTTGAGGGTAGTGTTGTAGTACTCAAATCATTCTCAGACCAATCTTTAAAGGTCTCATCTTGGAATAGAAAGCAATTTGTCTCTGACTGGACGGACTCTGGATTTTAGAGTCAACACTGTGATCAGAAGGAAAACACCTCTTTCCAAAAGAGCAAATAACTTCAATTCATTTGTAATTTCATGTTCAATCATCCCCCGGTTATGGCAGCAACCATCCCGGTGTTACGGTCTAAGTCAGTGACACGCCCCCTGCAAATAAGATAATTCATTTTCAGTGATATTTATGATCTTGTCTCGGTCTCGCCCTGCCTTGTTCTTGGTCTTCATCCCTGAATGTCTTGGTCCTGTCTCGACTCGGAGCCCTCTGGTCTTGGTTTGTGGGGTCTTGACTCCAACACTAGTTGATGGTATTGAAAAGTGCAGAGGCTTTGAATAAACATCTCTTTCATAAGACGGGCGCATGTGAGAGGAATGAGTCCATTGAAAGCTGCAAGATAACTCCTGCACAGTCTTGGATGGCACAACAACATTGAAGCGTTGCCAACGTGTTTGTGCGATTTAGACTGGACAGGAGTTTTCTTGCAATGTTGGACAATTTAAGAAACCGTTTCCCAAATACTCGTCATCAAGAACTTTTATTTTTGTCATCTGGTATCGAAACAGGTTTGTGGAGTTTGATTTTTGCTAGAATCATATTAAAGTTCACAGTTCTGGTTCCATGATGGCCTTTCTGAGTAATCCAATATGCTTCTTTATTTTTTTTTTTAAACCACAGCAGGGACTTTCCAGTGCCCTTGATGCTCCTCTTATCTTTACCAGCAGCCAACTGTGTCACTGTATGTGGTTCAGTAACTTGGAATCAACCAGGAAGTAGGAGCTGACTTGGCGTGGATTGTAAGTTTTATTTTCCTCGCAGCTGGTCGGTTGATGACACTGTTCATTGTTAAACATTTGTATTCAGTTTCACCTGCAGTGAAATAGTTTTATTTATTTAAAGAGGAAAACAGATTATCCCCCTCCTCCACCTTTTCAAACAGTCCCCCTGTGGTCTAAATGAAACATCTGTGCTGTGATTTGGTCAAAATATAACATGAATCAAGCACCAGAGGAGGTTTGTGACCCTGTATAAACCAGCTCTCTCAGAACACTCCGTTTTGGTGTGTGTGTCTCTTTAAATGCCATGAGCCCCCCCTGAGTTTTCCCAGTAGACATCACTCCTTTGCTAGTGAGATTAAAAATGGCAGACCTGCTCAAAAGTTTTGCACAATAGGCCAGGGATGGAGTCCATGGGTGGAGATACCAGTGGAGGGGAGGGGAGGGGAGGGGATTTTTCGACCAGAATCCCACTGTGACATCACATGGAGAGCACATTTGAAACAGAGCATTTTTCTCTGTGTTGTAAGACTTATGCAGACCACAAACAAAGGACAGGATTGGTTTGTTTTACATTTTGTGGGTCGGTAAACATTCAGGTTACACAAACATCTGTTCAAAAACACTGTAAAAGTGGATTTTTCATAATAGGTCCCCTTTAAATCAAAATAACTTCTAGAACATCAACCCAAAGGGACCTGGCTAACCATCAGTCACAGGACTTGGTTCATTAAGTAAAAAATGTATAGGTAGATTAATTAAAGATGCACTAGCTCTTCTAATCGGCCTGTCTTTACATCTACAGCATTTTATTTGCATCTCTGTTTCAACTCATGTTATGTGGTTATTTGGTGCCTTGGTTTCCATTGGACTCTCCTCAGTGAATTTTCTGTCATTAAAATAAAAAAAATATTTATTTTGGAATAGTTTACTGATTTCTGATGGTGTTCAAAAGCATTGCTGGTGCATTTAGGGACCCACCCCGTGGTCTAAAGTCAGAAACATGCGCACGGCACAGTTTGATTTTGTTTATCTCTTGTGCTTTTGGCTGCGTTCATGTGCTGTCTTAATTATCGGAACTTTTTGTTTCCGAAAGAGAAAAGTCACGTAAAGTCGCCGTAAGCAAGAGTTAGCCTGCAATTTTAGATAATTGACAACGATAATTTACCCAGTATATAAATTCTGATAATGACAAACCCATGTCGATTTCAGTTCCAGTTTTCGGTTTAATTTTGGAGCAATCTGGCACTAGAAAGTCCTTCAGGTGTCAAAAAACTATCTAATTGTATCCGTTTATAATTATTTATCAGAAACTGTTAACTTGATGTCGTCACTCGTCATTAGCCGAAAGCCCACAGGCAGATTTGCATTTTTCTTATTTTGCTGTGGTACCGAAACTGAAAGGCCTATCCTCATTTGATTTTTACTCGTATCTTATCAAAGTAGGGGAAGTTCGACTGATTTCCGACGCAATTGAACGCATCCCGTTAGTCCCCTCATACGATGAAGCTGATCAGAAGTGTGCAGTCTGTCTCACTTGATGGAGCATCACTAACTTATCTGAAGCTGAACTTTAAACTCCAAGGGACTAAATAAACGAATGTAAGTACAACATATGATTTAAAAACGTTAGTAGTTTATACGCTGTTGTGTTAATTAAATTTTTATTTGATAACCTAATCGAAAGTTAACTGTAACAGAAGTTAGCATTAGCATTTAGTTAGCATACAATAAGACGTCACTATCCGAATATTATTATAAAGTTATTTCCTGTTTTAAGCAGTTCCTTGCAAACACACTGGATCTGGTCTTTGCTGAAACTAACGTGTATTTTTCTTGTTGTTCGGTACTAATGTCTCTCATTAGGCTAATAAGGATAAGTTAAATTGATTAAAGGTCAAGTGTGATTTCTCGATGGATAACCTGGGGAGCCTGAACGGAGGGCCAAACGCCGCCCTGCTCGTTTTGACCTTCCTGCAGGCGGATTGTAGGAACTCAGAGTGCGTGAAAGAGCTTCACTCTCTGGGGCAGGAGCTTCACCTCCGTCTGGAGGATGGAGACCTGGAAACTGACGGTCACCTGCCCGTCTTCATTAGAGCCTCCCTGGATGATATTCAGCCTTCAGTGGAGCTGCAGAACAGGGCGAGTGAGTAACCATCAGTGACTTTAAATATACCACAATATAAAGATTAATAGATGTTAGGAGGTAGGTGTCCTTATGTGTTTGTTTGTAGGACACCAACACTGGCAACTTTCTAATGTTGTGATTTGTAAATGTGAACCACTGCAACTGAATTCTTTGGTGTCTTATGAGCCCATGAGGGTTGGGCATCAAATCATATACAGATGCAGTGGGTCAACAAGTCTTTATAAGGGTCACGCTCCTTTTACTGCTCAGCCTTAATTAGTGTTCTAGATTAGATTAGAAAACTGAATTAATCCTCAGAGGAGAAACATACACACAACTAACGATCTCGACAAGAGATACATGGTTCCCCTTTTTTTTCAGGCGAAGTAAATGCATCTGAATATGTCTTCTTCTGTCTTCACATACAAACAGGAAGCAGCAACAGCTGTAAGGTGGTGGTAGTCTGGTCTGAATGTTGTCATGGAGACGATTTGTGGTCATCTCTTGCAGTTCAGTCTAAACGTCTTCAAAGCGAGAGTGCGAGCTGAGAGTGTTTAAAGAGCTCAACGATCTTTCTTTGATCGGTGACGTGCGTCAGCCCGATATGTACATGACGTCAATATGGGTCCTATCCTGTCATCGCCATCAGTGCTCCAAAACATTTTTTCTGACTTTGAGCATCCTTTTCATTAATCAAAGGTGTTCTTAACTCGTCATGAAAAGGAGGATGAAAAGAGATTAATTCTGGACGTCTCTCACAGTCTGAGTTCTTCCGGGTTGTTTTTAAATCTGCTGATTTGAAGAACCAGAGAAAGGAACTCATCTTGTTCAGAGTGAAAGCAGGAAGTGGACAGTCATCTGTTTACATTATATGAGCCTCAGGATGCAAATTTAATTTTACACTTACACTTCTCTCACTTGGTTGCTGTTTGTTTTGTCTACAATCAGATATTCAATTTAATAAAAAAAACTTTAGTCATCCCCGGGGGGCAATTCAAATTCAAAGACATGTGTGACCGCTGCAGTAGATGATTGGAAACAGTCTTCTTCCTCGAGTCCTTCCAGCTGAAAATAGAAACAAACACACAGTGCGTTACATGTTAAAGTGTGCTTAAGTTGTGGTTATCCTGTTTCTCTGCAGGAAACGGTGACGATGCAGAATATGTGCGTTTTGCACTGGAGCTGAGAGAAATCGCAGCGCAGCTGGAGCACAACATCGTGGCTCAGGCGACCCAGAACCTCAACGGGAAAATATCAAACTCCCCTTTCCATGTAAGTCTGTGTGTCTACAGGTTCTTTTTACTAAATGTTAGAAATGAGAAAAACACTGAGCTTATCTTTTACTCAGTATTACGGTGGCTGGGAAGTGCAAAACAAAATCACAAATTTACAAACGACAGAATCTTGACGGAAAGGGAATGAACCAAATGGCGGAAGGGATTGAGTGAGGGGTCATTTTCTTTGTTTTAGTGGAAAGATTTGGCGTTTACAGTCTGAGTGATACAGAGTTTGTGGTGACATAAAGATGTTTTGTATGCAAGTCTATGTTATTGCGATGATTTCAGACTTTTTTGATGGTTGTTTTGAAGCTCATATTGCAAATACAATGATATTGCAGCCCTTTCTTTACACCATGTGCTGAAAGAAAACGTCAAAGTAAATGTTAAGTAATAAGGTGCATCAAGTTGTGCCTTCACAGTTTCCATAAACAGTGTCTTAACTTTCTTTGCAGCAGTGGAAAGACCACCTGAGCCGGGAGGTGGAGCGAGTGATGAGGCAGGGTGTGGGTCTGGAGCATTTGGCCCGGGAGAGGGTGATCATGGCCCTGACTCTGACCCTGGTGAAGGGAGTATGTGAGCAGGCGCCGCGGCTGCTGAGGAACCTCTTCAACATCGCACTGCAGTACGTGAGCGGCGGGGGGAACAGGTGACCGCCAAGCCACTGCCTGAGAGGAAATAAGTGAAGGACATGCGGAGGAAGTCGACTCATTCAGAGAGAGGATGTGTCTGTGCCTACTGACTGACAGAAGCAGAGCAGGTTTCAGAGTCAAATAAACTAAGGAAAGGGAGAATATCACTCTAAACTTTTAGTATTTTGATTTAAAAAACTTGAATATTTTTCTTACTAAATGTACTCTTTTCATTTGCCTCCGTTTACTTCAACAGATTGCATCTCTTCAGTTTGACGCCGAAGTACATGATTTGATGTTGTTGAATGATTCCACTTTTGTAATGAACAACTAGTACATTGTTACTTGAATAAATCTATTTTTCTTGGATTAGAGTTTTATTTCACGCTTCAATACTGCAAGTTATTTTTCTTTGTGTGTGATGGTCAAAGAAGTAACAAACGTTTCAACAAACCACAAGCGACATCTCAAATATTTCAATCTTTTATTCTCATCTCAAACAGAGCTGTAGGAAACTCAGGGTACAAAATGTCATGTTTGGGACCTTCTCACATCTGTCCTGCTCTGAACTGTTCCCCTTTAAAGCAGGAACAGAGTCCTCGTGTGTCACTACCTCTACATGGAAACATCCCTTCTGCATCAAATATTTTCATGAATTTTCACGGTGATGCATCCCCACGTTCCTCAAAACATAATACAAATATTGAAGTGGTGAGGCGGTTTTTAATTACTAACTCATACGGATAAACTCCGGGAGATGATTCCTTAAACGGGAGAAAAACACACTTTAAAAAAATCTAATTTAATGTGGGGAAGGCCGGGGGAAATTCCAGTGAGGGGTTTTCATTCTGTGGAAACTAAACGGCTGCTCCCTGATGATTTGCTTGATGGTGAATGCTGAAGTTTATGCAGCTGGGAGATGTAGTCATGCATAAATGTAGTTTTAATCCTCAAGAGGTTTTCAAAATGTTTGATACTCTGATACCATGTGGTGCGTTGGAGATGAATTCATCAAAATGGCAGGCACACTGTCTAAATTGCACAAATAAGATTGTTGCCAACATATTTTTGTGCAATTTAAACCATAGTTTTTCAAAAACAATAAATAACAGAGTATTCAGACTTCGGTTTTTGTTGCCGTGGTATTGAAATCGTATTGTATTTAAGTTTAAAATCTGGCATCATGACATCCCTAATATGAACCGTTCTTGCTGGAGCGACTCTAAAAAACAGTTCTTATAACATCTTCATTCATGAAGGTATACAAAATGTGAGGCCTGAAAAGTGAAGACTCAGTGGGTTGAAACTGAAAGCAGTTCTGTGAATGGGGAACAGACATTGATTGCATCATGACTAGACTCCTGGTTACTGTTTTGAAGAGCTGTGTTGGACCTAACAAGTGTTTAAAGATTTATGTGTGACGATTGCAAAGATCATCTCAGGACATTAACATACATCATTTCTTCAAATTAAAACTCAAATATGTTGCATGAAAAGGGACACGAATCACTTGTGCAGTAAAGAATAATCTTATTTTAATGATTTATCGTTAAAGTACCAACACAGCTAAAGCGCTGAGCTGAAACAATACATTTAAGTTTCTCGAGGTAAAGACTCATTAAAACCTTTTTTTTTGAGATATGAAGAAGTTAAGTCGTTATTAAGGGAAAAGCAACGTTTAGTCCTCGAGATAGTGTCCGAGATAACGGATAAGTAAGTCCAAATCTCCAGAAAACAACCGAAACTCACTCGATGTCATTGGAAAACGGAGTTAAATAAAGTGTATGGATGTTTGTCTGCTCAGGACGTCTGTACCAAAAGTTAAAGTACGTCGAATTCAGAAGACAGGAGCCGAATGAAGCATCAAAAACAGCGGGCAAACTGTCTGAACTGCACACATTCGTTGGAAAAGTTTCATTGAATTAGTGCAATTTAGACAGTGTGCAGGAGTTTGCCTGCTTAATTTGATTACCCTGCTGTAGTTTCTTTAGATTTTTATTAGTATCATATTCAAGTTTAAAATTTTACAACCCTGAGGTAATATCCCTCTTAGAGTCAGAAGTCTGACTCATGAAATCAAATCACAGGATTCATCAGCAGACGACACATTGGGTTTTGTTTATCAGAGTTTTTGATTATCATCACAGTGAGAGAGGAGGGAGGGAGGGGGAGAAAGAAAACATAACTGCAAAGGAGACAGAGCAACAGTTAATGTGGACTTTAGACTTTAGCTGAGGGAGGGGTTGTCCAGTTTGTTTGAATCACTTCACCTACGTTTGAAATCTGAACAGAGAGCCACTGACACAACCAAAACCGAAACCAGCAGAGGCGGGATTAAAGTCCACGCTCTTCTTAGCAGTTGGTAATGGTGAGCTGCAGTTTTTAAGAATTCAAACACATGAAAGTTAACCCAAAACATTTAGAAGAGAAGACATCAAAAGTGAGGAGAACTGTGGAGTGTGTCCCCTCGTTCTGTGTCTGCAGCCGGTGCACTGAAGCAGCCTGGACTCCCTGCTGTGATGTCGTGTTTTCACAGATTTAAAAAAAAAATAATTGCAGCCTTGTATGATATCCAACATAATTTGTAAAGAGAGTCCCACCATGTGTGTACTGGTACTTTTATTTTCTATCTTAACCTCATGTTTTCTGCTTTCCCTCTCTTGAGTAGGATGCTTTTCTACTTCCTCCTGTAGCTTATGACTCCGTACGCCACAACAGCGAAGATGGCCACCAGAGCAGCTCCTCCGTACAGCAGCCCCTGGAGCTCTGCGTCTGGCTCTGACGCCGCTGGGGGCTCCTCTGCAGGGGCCTCTGGGACAGGAGGTTCAGCCTGCAGGCCCTCTGGCCCTGCTGCAGTGTCTGGTTCTGGCTGAGGAGGCACTGTGACAGGCTCTGGCTCCGGCTCTGGTTCAGGAGCTGGTTCTGAGGTGACTTCAAGCTCTGCTGGTACAACGGGGGTTTCCTTGGCTAGAGACGGGGGCGCTACCTCAGCGAGCACTGGGGCAGCGGCAGCAGCTGGTTCTGGCTCAGGCTCTGGTTCTACTGCAGGAACAGATAAAGGTGCTGCTGGTTCTGGCTCAGAGGTAGGGGGGGCTGCAGATTCTTGGACTGGAGGGAGCAGCTCTGGTTCTGAGGAGGTGAGGGAGGGCTCTGCCGACAAGATTGTAGGGGTCTCTATGACGACCGGCTCCTCTAATGAAAGCAGGGAAGCCGGGGCGGTGGAGTCCAGCTCGGCTGGCTCTGGAACTGGAGGAGTCTGGTCCCTGAATTCTTCCCTGAGCTCGGCCAGATCGCTCTCTGTGCCTAAAACGCTCATCATGCTGTCATCTATCGCTCCCACTTCTCCGCCTTCCTCCAGGAGCTCGGCCTCCTCGCGCTCCACGTGGACAATGTCCGAGTTGGACGAGTTGTTCTCGCTGCGCTCCTCGGCCAGAGCGACGCCCTCGTTGCTGTCCAGGCTCTTCACGTCTTCGGGGTCCATCGCAACGACCTGTGCCCACGACTCGTGGCCGGCCAGAGACACAGGTAAGCTTTCCGTCTGCCAGGAGCTCTGCCCGCTGCTGTTGTCTCCTGTGCAGAGCAGCGAGGAGGGGGGGCTGAGCTGGTCGGGATGCTGCTCTCCTGAGAGGATGTAAATGTCGTTGCTGTCTTCAGCGATGGTCACACCTCGCGCCTCCTCCGACTCGAGGCTGAATATTTCCCCCTGTGGCAGACAGAGACAGATTAGTTATCAACATGTTGTAAGCGAAATCACTTACAAGTCTCAACCCTGCCTGCATCACCCCACCTGACCCTGCCACACCTCAGCAACCCGCTCAGGAAGCTGTGTCTACAGGCATTATGACTCAGAGTGAGACACATGAGAGCAACTGTAGGGGAACCAACGTGATGTTTATAGGCACTCGTCTGCTACCGTCTCTGTCCCTGCTGGTGAAACAGGACAGGAGAGGAGTGGGTAGGTATGTGGAAGGGGGCGCTTGGTAGAGAGCATTTGTTTGGATCTGAAAGTCGCATAGTAAGTGTTCAATAAGAGAACTGCACTGCTTTTATACCTAAAGTTAGCCTTATATGCCACCTAGTGGTTTAAAGCTGCAAACCGACAATGGATCAGGAGCCATCTGCAGAGCTCTGATGATCATATGATATGACTGTTACATAATCAGAGTGTTAGAGGCCGACACAGAGGTCAGCTTACTGAAGCAGAATGTGTTGGAATAAATCCAACAGTGGAGTCTGCAGAAATAAACTCACATTCATCCTCAAAATATCAAAAAGGTCAAACTCTTCTTCTCAGTCGACGGTAACCCAAAAAACAATGCTCATCTTTTCTTATTGTGCTCATCTCTGCACCCTGTGTGCAGTGTTGGAATGCAGGATCTACAGTATGTGACTCAGAAATAGGTCAGTGAGTGTTTACAATGAGCCCACAGTACTGACATGCTCACCGACCTGAGGGCAAACATGGTAACAACACTGGAAGGATTAAAGGGTTCATAAGATGATGTGGTGGTGAATCGCAGTTTACTAAGGCTTGAATCAAGTTGACTTTAAAGCACCCCACGCTGCTGTTTTGGACGCCCCTCGGTTTGTCAGATATGAGAGCAGTTATCAGGTCAACAGGTGTTGCAGTGATGGAAGCGGGCAAGAGAAGTGGTTCAGATAGAAGTGATTGTACCCGACCTAAAAAGCCTCTGCATGTTTCTAATAAGCTCCACGAGCAGAAACGTGCTCAAACTAGGATCAATATTGGAGATGCTTTTGAAAAATGGAGAGAGGTTAGAACACAGAAAGGTTTACAGACCCATGCAGAGCTGGATAAACACTGAAGCTTCAGAGTTGAATTTGGAGTGCAGTACCCATTTTAAACACTAGGTGTCAGTTACATATTGCTCTTTCAACAGTCTGCTGACATGCTAGCAGTTTGTGAGGCTGTACTTTGGCCCTGTAGTGCATTGAGCTAAATGCTACTTCAGCATGCTACCATTCTCCAAATGGCAATAATAATGTGAATGTTTAGCACCTCAGCATGCTAGCATTGCAAATGGTAAGATATTTGTTAATCAAGCAAAATATTGGACCTGTTTACGTGTGTCGACCTCGATGTAAAGTGATTTCCAAAGATAACCTCTTGTCCTCGAAGCAACAGAAATGTGCCATCAAACGTCACATAATAACAGATTTGGTATTTTTCGCTCAAAACTAACTCTGTGACCATCATGATCGTGGTTAAGAAAAAAATAAATCATCCTCTGGTAGGAATTTTGTGTAAAATGTCTTTACGACCCATCTGATACTCGCACGTCCATGCAAACACATCGCTCCATGGATGGTGATCGGTGGTCACATCTGTCTGAGCAGGTGCACAACGCAGACAAAGAAGACGTTAAAAAAGCTGCTTCGTTGTTAAATAACTGTTCAGAGTTCACAGGTTAGGAACCAAGCGTGACTGGGCTGTGGTTAAATTTGGACGTGTCACTCAATTGTCACCAAGGTGTGAGCTGAACACAAGAGATTCAAACAGACAGTGGGCACTGAGGTGTTTGTCTTAAAGGGAGGGTGTGTGTTTGTGTGTGTGTGTTCAGCAGACAAACAGGTTCTGACAGTGGAGACCAGCTCCCACAGCTACACTTTCTCATCTTAGCACATGATAACATGTCATTAACCTCTGCATCGTGTTAATGACCGATTTGCATCCGATCAGCGCAGCATTTAGCTGAACAAGCTCGCAGTATGTGAGACATTCTTGACCCATGTAAATGTGTTTTTTTAAACGACATGGCTGTCAAGGTTATTTGCCTTACAAGGACACTCTGGGTCGTGCACGGCAGCTGCATCGAGGGAGGCAGCAGAGAGATTAAATTGAACAGCGGTCCATCGTTATCCAACATTTGCTTCCTCTGTAAGCTGATTTACATGTGAGAGAGAAAACCCTGGTCCTCAGGAGGCTGCTCCACAGGCGTGACCGGGATAGCATGTGATGTCAGACATTGCTGATGGTCAAGATTTAGGACTAATGTCGTCAAAAATGTTCAATACATTTTGATACCACGTGTTTTAGAACAATATATCAGGGCACAAACACTACAGATCTGTAGTCATATTTCAGAGAGAGAGAGCAGTGGTGGTCCACATAAATTCACAGGTCGTCCAAATCCTGAGGTTTCTCAAGTCCTCATGGCGTCTCATAAAGATGAAAAAGTTACCTTTATGTCTCTTACAGAGAGCAGAGGAGGTGTCTAAATTGCACAAATACATCGGTGACGCTTTGGTACTGAAATGTTTCCGATGTTTTTGTGCAATTCAGACGATGTGCAGGAGTCCGCCTGCAGTTTCTGATAACTAAAACAAGAAATTAAGCTGTGTGGGGCTTCTTTTGTTGCTGCGGTATCTAAACAGGTCTTGATATAGTTAGATTTGAAATAGTATCGTATGGATGTTTAAATTCTGATATCATGACAACCCTGTTCAGGTACAATAAAGATCCTCCCCTCTCATGTCGCTTCTTGCTTCAAATTTCTGTTACAACAAACACGCTGATCTGATTAACTTTAACAGGAGGTTAAACAGTGGTAGTTATGGCAACAAATAAAAAGAAAACAGAGCCAAAGAGCAGCTTGGAGGTGGTCGTTTAACAATACAGCTTTCAGTATCACACTGAGTAGTCCACGTCTATAGGCACTGAACACATATACAGTTTAAGAACAAAGAAACATAAACAAAACATTTAAACCTGCAACCAGGGTCGAACAATTCCAAAGAACACACACACACCTGAGGAGACGCTCCACTCTGAAGCTCCTGCACGCTTGAAGCTGGGAAACACTTTAATTTTTCACGAGTCGTTCTTTCTGAAGGTGTGATCCGCTGCACTCCGCCCTCGCCCCGAGACAAACAAAGTCTATAAACACCAGCGGGACACATTCCTGCTGCGGAGCCAACAGTAAACGCTGAGTCTAACCTGTCGCTGATTTGCATGTTCTCACTCTCTCTGCTTCAGAACATTTCCCTGATCTGATGTTAAATACTGAATCCAGTGCACCAGAGACGACCTTTAAATTGAAATACCTCGACACACTTTGTTTGACCTTAACAAGCACTTCCTACATTAACACTCAACTGTCACAAACCGTCCACATTCTGCATCCTCCTGCACATACAAACAAAAAAAAAAACTCCCTCCACATGGAACAAAAACTTAAAAGCCCAGAGGATACATTAAAACTGAGTCATATCGAAAGGTTCACTATCCAGATTACCAATATTCACTTGCTCTTAAGTGCTGACATTTCTGAGGGTTATGTAATCACTGAAACGGCTCCGTAAGAGGTTACACAGCAGCTTGAGGGAAGTCAAACCAGGACTTAAAAAGGACTGATATTTAAACACAATTGGAGGAAAAAGTTAACGATGCCTGTTTCAATATCACGGCAACGAAAATAGAAGTCCTAGGCACCTGATATTGTATATTTTCTTCTTTTTTAATTAACAAAAATGGAGGCTTAATCCTGCAAACTGTCTAAATGGTGCAAATTTATTGGCAACGTTAAACTGGCAAGATACTTTTGTAACGCTTCTGTACTTTTTAAGGTCCTTGGGTTGGACACCGGAGGATCGCCAGTATGGACCAAGTCTTGGTCTGCTGGCTGTAGAGGCGCCAGTTCACTTCCTGACCACTGCAGAGGTGCCATTGAGCAAGGCACTGACATCCTTAATATGGTCGTTATCAAGGTCGTAGGTGTTCATAAAGAGCTGGGTCTTTAGAGCTTTTCATTTAAAGGTGCAAAGGGACTCTACAGATCGAATGGAGATTGGAAGTTCGTTCCACCAACGGGGCGCGACAGAGAAGAAGAGAGGGCAGGTTGAAGACCAGTCGTTGCTGCTCAGTTTTGGATCATACAAATGAGTGAGAAATACTGGAGTTCAGGTCAGAGTTTGTCTGCATCTTTTGGTAAGGAATAACAAGAAATTACCCAATATTGTGTGCCTAGTAATTTCTTGTTTTTGTTTCTTTGGTATCGGACGAGGTAACAATATTGTTTTTATTTACCAGAATGGTATCACAGTTTAAAAATTGTGTGTTTTGAATACTTTATTCTGCAGTGTTTATGTTCTGTGATCATGTTTAGACCCAACATATCACCTGAATGTTCAAACTGAAGTGCTACAGAGTGGATGTGTTCGCTCAATGTGACATCTTTATGAGAGCCTCAGGGTGATCCCTTTTCAAGCCGGCTGTTAGGGCACAGCTAGACAGTTTGCATCAGTAAATATTGGTTTTTGTCTAGTCATCGTTACAGTGTTGTGGCAGCACTGAGGCTGATGTGTGGAGGAGCGAGGATGGAGGGACGATTGGGTGCCCTGTTTAAACCGTGGCACTCGGCCAGAGCATCACTGCTGTACCGAGGCCTTCAGCATGCCACAAGTGGGCCAGTCGAGCCCCTGGTGCTGATGTTCTTAGGGGATTATGGGAGTTATTTTTGGGCCCTTCCTCAGCCTGCATAGGCACTCCAATAAAGAAGTCCAGTTTTATGTAGAAGCAGTGGCACAGGGATGCTCACATCTTCCCTGGAGCCGAGGAGACAGGCTGCTTACATAACAAAGGGGGGAGCACTGTTACACTGTGCAGGGTGATGTGCCCCGACACGGCCCCCGGCTGGAGACCCTCACAGCACCCTGTCCTAAAATATCATCACTGCTACATCACTGTTCCTACGCAGCATTAGCGTCAGTACTAGTATTAGTACTAGTATTAGTTCAGAACTGAGAGCCTTTAGAAGTACCTCGACTGTCTCTCAAGGTACGCTGCTTTGACTATCAGTGATCTGCAGTAAAACAAAGCGTCTTTATGATCTCTCTCTCTCGGTGCGGAGAGGTCAGGTGCAATCATCAGTGTGCCACTTTGAAACCACAGGAGTCACATTACGTGGCGCTCACAAGGACGGTAATCTGAAATGGCTGTTGTGCAAACTCACGCAGCAGTTTTCACTGTCTCTGACTCTGACTCTGGAGGACATTTGTCAGAGGACTCGAGGGGAACGAGAGGGAAACAGAACGCGAGCATCAAGACTGACGGACGGGAGAGACGACCCAGAGTCATTCACTGTACACAATCAGCATAAATCCTGCTTTCCACGTTCATCAGACATCTCCTTTATTTCAGAGTTTGACTGTGTGGATGCCATTTTTTTTGTTCTTCTCACCCCTCCTCCTCGTCACCCCCAGATCAAGTCCCCCCCCCATCTCTCCTACGGCCCCAGGCTGTACTGTCTGAGGGTTTTGTCCCTGCCAAATGAAGTGTGCACCACATTAAGGTCATAATAATCCTCATTGTATTCGTATGTAACTAACAAAAGGCATTAGGAGGGGCACCCAAAGCTCACGTGGGGTGTCACTTGAGTTACAGTCACAACAATGTCCAGAAGAGGCGAGGACACACGGAATATCTCTGATTTTTAACAATATGTCACAAAAACAAAAGCCGCATTCCACCGTGCAAAGACCTCTTCCTTTTGTTTGTTGTAGCCGATTAATACCAAAACAGATAAATGTCGTGTTCAGAATTGATTGTTTTGCGTTTGTAATAAAAGTGAACATTGAATTAAATAAGATTCTGTGCAGAAGGATGGCGTGCAACTTCTCCACAACGACAAAAACCAAAGAGCGACATGCACACAGAGAGTTTGTCACAGCTGCACACTCTCTCTCTCTCTCTGAGTAAACACTCGCACGCATATATTCATCTGAGGCCGCTCATCACAAGTAAAACGTCCTACCTCAGTGTGAAGACGGGAGAATCCCCTGGTTTCACCTGAACACACTAAACAGGAGGAGATGGAGCGGATGCAGAGAGAGCTGGCTGAAGAGACGCGTGAACACCGGCAGATGTCAAACTAATGGAGATTTCACTTTGCCCCTACTGGCTCGTCATGTCCAACCCCTTTTCTCCTACACCCCTCCCTCTTTCCTATTCCCTCCCTTTCTATCACCACGCAAACTCTCTCCTCTGCTCCCCCTTCATCCCTCATGCGCTCATCCCTCCGTTCATCCCCTCTGACGTAACACAGGGTAATAATGTAGCTTTGTTTGGATGCTATGTTCACGACACATTACACTGCAAAACACCGGGAGAGAAGAGCAGAGCGTCATTATGATGAGGTAATGGCGACCAGAGCAGTGACCCTCCATCAGCATGACCTCGTTCATAGGGAGCCATCTGTGACGCAGTGTTCCACTTTTTCTACTTACAGCATCGCCAAAGACAAGCTGACTGTCGCTTAATCCAACTTTTTTTATTTTTTTTAAACTACAAGTTCAGAGAGGGCGTGACGACAGGTTAACAAGACAGAGACGACTCAGCTCGTCTGATATATGAGTGACTGAGGACACAAGATGAACTGCAGAGATTACTTTCAGCAGCAGACTGAAAACGAGCAGAGGTCATAATGTGAAAGCTTTTTATCTCATTTAAGGGAGGGGGGGGCAACGTCTTGTGTAACAGAAATACAATCACTTTATTGTTCTAAACTTTGAACAGAGGGATGTTTAATAGATTATATGTTGCTTAGGTCAGACAGATCGCAGACTCTGACAGATGATGGTAATGTCACACTGAAAACATTTCTCTTTGGGGCTGCAGGTTATTTATGTAGATAATCTGTTAAGGGTTTATCCTCATACATTGTACAGTATGATGCATATTTTAATCTCTGATGGGGATGTGGTTGTTGTAGATCACTACACGATCAGGGGCTCTGGAGAAGAGAACATCTGTACAGGCAGCTCACTGACGCCCTCATCTGGCTAGTTTGAGTTATGAGCATGATAGGCTGTGAGTCTCTCAAACCGCTCCCTCCACAGTCACACACCGGCACGGACTCTGACGTCACGCCCACAGCTGAATGAAGCACCCTGCGTTAGCGTGGAGGTGATAAATACAACAGAAAGCTTTGGGATGAACTATCCTCACACCCACGGAAACAGGAACTCTAAGTAACCATGATTTTATTTTAGTTTTTTAATCTGAGGACTCTTTTAATCAAACCAGCAATCCTTGTGCTTACATGCTTTATTAACTGAACCGTAAGCCACCGTTTTCTTTAAATGCATCATGTGACCTCATGTTAAAAAGTGGCGCCACCAGCCTGGTCTGCGTCGCTATGTATCCCGGCACAGAATGCCACACACAGTGAAAGGAGGAGAATTTTCAATCCTGTCAGGTCGCATGCAGAGTGGACTGTAGCAGCTGCACTTGCGGTTATGACGTGCATGTTCCAGCATTTTACACTGGTATATTAGTCACACCCAGACTGCGAAATACAGTCTGACCCCTTGATTGACGGGGGGGGGGGGGGTCTCTGGGAAAATACAATTTCACCTGCAATTGTCACGAAAAATATTGTATTTTAAATGCTAAAGATATGAAGATATTAATTTCATATTTTGTCATATTACAAAACGGCTTGGCTTGACTGAGGATGGAAAGTTAGGATGCCTTGTATGTAGGAAAGCAAAAGCTTGCTGCTCTCAGAAAATGACCAGGTATACACCTCGCAGAGGAGTGGATCAATAGTGAAGTTACGGGCCCTGATGCAGGGAGGCTACGGAACAAAATCTACAAACACAGGCATTGTGGCTGGTGCTCAGGCCTATATCACAGCAGTGGTGTGTGCCCGTGTGGGAGAGGCGCGAGTGTGCTGAGTGGATTCTGTTGCGGGGTTGTGTAGTTGTGAGAATGGCCGTACTGTTAATTATGTTAGTCTTTGCGTTGTGTATAGACTGTTATTGATTTATTTGGCTTGCATCCATGAAATCTTGAATATTGCGTACTATTGAATCCGTGTAAGACTTCAGCATAATGTTGGGGCACTAGGTAGGCGGACCCCCGGTATTTCGCACCCTGGTCACACCGGTATAAAACAGCCAACAACTCAAAATCTGAAATAATGGGGTTTAGCCATACTCCAACTTCCTGTCACATCCCTGCTGCCTTTGCACATTTTACATTTTATTAATCTGTATGAAAAATAGCTGCATTTATGTGCAGCTCAAATGTTGGAGGAAAGAAAGTATTTACCACCTGACATAATTTATCACTTCTATGATTAAGTGAAGCTGCTGGGAGCTTTGGCTGTCGCTCTCAAAGGTCGTGTCATCGTCAGACGATACTCGATGGGTTCTGAGACCAGGGACATGCCGATCAGAAAGTCACATCTCGCCTTATTTAATTTTAATGTAACCTTTGTATAAATATGAGTGTATTTGGCATTTATGTTTTCCTCTTTATTGTGTGCTTTAAAACTCACCCATCCCCCCTGCTGGATGATGAAGCCAGCTTCATCTTCCTCCAGGAAGCGAACCCGAGATCTAACAGAGTTGTAAGTGAATGTCCCTCGCTTTGTAAAGCCTGGAGCAATACCAAAGGTACTAACACCTGGAGAGAGAGAGAGAGAGAGAGAGAGAGAGAGAGAGAGAGAGAGAGAGAGAGAGGTTAAGGGAGAGGGAAAGAAGGTACACAGGTAGAATACATTAGGAGGACAAGAGGACACACATGTATGAAAAAAGGTGATGGACATATCAAACTGTCGGCTGGCTCACCTTGCTCCAGCCTCCCTGTGTGTGTGCTGAGAGATCAAATGTTGTGTCTCTGAATCTCTGGAAGTTCAGGCTTCTGTAAAACACAAATATATAATCACTAGTATCAAACACGAGCTCTACATATGGAAGCTGTGATACATAATAATAATATATATGAGAATCATAATCATAGTCAATGGTCCATACCCAGAATCTCAATTTAAATATTGTGTCCACCTACTACGAGTATTTTGTTTCATAGAATAAACTAAATATCTGACTGCAGCTTTAAAATGTTTTAAAGGTCACATATGATACAGGATCAGAGTGGATTCAGAACAAGAAACTTCACACACATGTTTTGGGGAGATCTGGTTGAAGAGGAGGAGAATATGTCACCTTTAAAGTTAAAATGTGAGATCTAAGCTTTCTATTGTGTGATGAGAGGCCATAAGATTCACAAACCTGAAAACTGAAATTATTTTGTTTTGTGTTAAGAGCTGAATACAGTTGGAGGTTGCCCAGTACACACCCAGTTCAGTCTTATCTGGTGACCACAGAGAGACTCTACTGGAAGCAGTATCAGTTGTTTCATTGAGTGCATTACATGGACTTCCGTTTCGGTTTTGATCGGGTTTTCATATCCTCTTTTTGTGTTACCCCAGTTTCTGACAGTGCCGTTGACGCATCAGCAAAACAAACTGGAAGTGAAGATGATCTATTCAAGTCTGTGATGAACAGGCTACCAACTACGCCGGTTTACCAACTAGTACGGTTGCCGCTGTTTGCGATGTAAAAAATAAAACATCACAGGCGCCTGCACAAATAAGACGCAGTAATCATAAAGCAGGATACTAGTATTGATCTAGTATACAGAGATATGAAGAACCAGGTTTCTCTGTGTGTATGTAAACGCCATACACTGAATATAATCAAAACTGGGATCATGTCCAAGTAATATATCCTGTGTAAATGTGTCTCTGAGTCATGACTCTCTACAATGAGTGAGAAGCTCGAGTCCTGCTGGCTGTGTTGTTCTCAGAGCCGTGTTTACATGGACAGGACGGCCGGCTCCTCCCCTTGTGAATAAAAGTTGTTTTAGTCAAGGACTAGAGAGAAGAAGAACATACTCACTGATTATTTGGAAGTAACGTTAATGTTTTTAGATCACATTGATAAATGTTCATGCAATGTGAAGCTAAAAGCTAACTAAAGAGCGCTAACATTAGCATGCTAACACAACAATGCAGGCCACAGGCAGCAGCTCTAGCAAAGGAGAATTTTGTCTGCAGCTTGTGCTAAACTTCTTCGTGTGACTGCGAGTGGAGAGGAGTTGGAGGTGTGTCTGGAAGAGAGCGGAGGCTTCAGAGGAGGTGTGGACAAACAGCAGTTTATTTTGTTTTCATGCTGGGGCTCAAGGAAGAAATCTAATGGATCAAAAAGTTGCACATTCTTCCTTTCAATATCGTTATTTGTCATCTCACTTTTTAATTCTTTAAAGATTCTGGATAGTTTAAAGTTATTTCTATAATCTGAGCCGTCTCAACACAATACAAAGTGTCTTTCACACATTTCAAGCACAAAGAGCCGCTGAGATTGTCAAACGCTGAGTTACAGTTGTTGGATTGAGTTGTTTGGTTTAGATAAGCAGAGGTGAAAGTAAGAGAGAGCCAGAAGGCGTATTGCTTCATTAAATATGTACTGGGCATAAGCGATGTTGCCACAATGCCACATTTTTAAACTTCGATATAATTTTTAGTAAAAATCAAACAATATTGGTACCTGTTTCGATACTAGTGCAACAAAAATAGAAGTCCTAGACACCAAATGTTTAAAAATGTTGTTTTGATTGACAGGCAAACTCCTGCAAACTGTCTAAATGTACTATTGTGCTTGTGGCAGCTTTGGTTAAAAATAAGACTTAAGATCTGTCCTTCTTTTAAAACTCCAGTACTTGAGGATACCATCGATGATTAATAAAAAGATTTTATTGTTTTAAAAGTCGGGGAATCAAAAAGTATCAAACTACGGAAACATTTGAAAACCTTATGTGTGATTGTGTCGATGATGGAGGGCTACGACGTGCATTTTATCAAACAAAATGTGCCTCTAAACCAGTGCTTCTCAAACTGTGGGGCGTCCCCGACATGAAAGGGGCTTATGGGATGCCTATGCAGGGGTGTGGCCAAATTAAATCTGATAGGCTACCCCAGGTTCCAAGCCAAAATCCTAAACTCTGATTGCCTTGTCCAATACGGGGTTTATGTTAAAATGTACTAGTTTAGCTGTGCTACACATCAGCTCCTAATAGCTTTCTTTGTATTTTAATCTGGCACATTTTGCTTTGCTTTGAAATTATGACTTTGAACGAACATCTCAGCCCTAAAAAAAAAAAAAAAGCAGACAAGATTAAACTGTTGTCAATCTGAATCTGTCAATCTCAATAGTGCTATTATTTAAATTAAGATTAATATTAATGTGAATTTAAAATCTTTAAGACACTCTAATATTAGTTATTTAGTGGACATGAAAGGGTAAATAAATACTTAAAGGTCCAACCAGTAAGATGTGTAATGAGTGAAATGATAAAGTGACCTTACTATATGATCAGACATTAAGGAAACATGCTATGTTGAAGTGCTGGCTTCTCTGACAACAATGCAGCAGTCAGTATGTCCTCCTTCTAACTTTAGATTCTGCTCCTGAATGCTCTGGATTTGTTTGGACCAGAGAAGGTAGGGGCACCATACGGCCGTTTTGGACGCCCCTCGGTTTGCAAGATATGAGAGCAGTTATCAGGTCAAACCAACAGGTGTTGCAGTGATGGAAGCGGTCAAGAGAAGTGGTTGAGATAGAAAATGAGGGGGCGGGGGGAGACAGCTCTCTCCAATGTTTAGAATTTGGACTACAGTACCCATTTTAAACACTAGGTGTCACAGTTACATATTACTCCTTTAATGGGGAAACAATGTTCACAATCTTGATGTTATTTTAACATGGGGGGGGGGGGTTTCCCTCGTAGGAAAGCATGAAAGTAAAAGTGTGAACTCCTTCTCTGAATAGTTTAGGACTGAATCTCTGATAAAGTTCAAGAGTTCATGGAGAAAATGAAGAAAACAGCAGTTTAGAAAGTCAACATTGACTTTATCATTCCTCTGATTGTTACTCTCAGCCGGTGGGCTCACACTGGATGAATACAGTGTTTAAATATTATCAGGAGTAAGACATTGAACAGTGTTGTTCCCACACTGACCCCTGCATTTCTGTTTCCATGATTACGATTGAGTCCATGATTTTATGATTACGGCTTTTGTTAGGAGTCATGAAATGCAGTGTTCCTGTCATACGAGGTTCAAGTCAGAAAGCTGCACACTGACCCTGCCAGGAGTGTGTGTACGGCTGCTGCCAGGTGTGTGTCGAGGTCTCTGGCCACCCGGTCTCCCACTGCAGCCAGACAGTCTTCAATCGAGGTCTCAGGGTTGACAGGATAGAACACTGGAGATGTGTGCTGGTCGAAGCCTGTTGTGGAAACGGCTGCAGAACACAAAGACAGAGACAAAAACAGTCTGTTCATTCAACAGAAAAAAATGTATGAGACTGAACAAAGGAAAGACAAACTGATCAAATTAACAAAGACAGCACTGATGAAGCAGATCAAAACTTGTACAAAATGTATTACACATTCATAAATAAAGGTGCTCGCTCAGGGAATCCTGACAAGTTTATCCCTCACACTGCACAGAAAGTGTGAGAAAGTCTCCATTAGGCTGTCCTGAAAGTTTCTGTGGCATCGGTTTTTAAATGTGTCACACATTAGGACCAAAGATGAGCGAAGAGTGCAGTCTTTAACTCCTGAACCGTGGTTATGTAAAGGAACCAAAGTTCTCCTTCAGAGCATACATTCCATGTTTTACATTGTCAAATATTGACTTCTGGATTCTAACTGTCTGAATGGCCCTATTTACACCAAGCGGTCCGGTTTGGTTCAGTACAGTTTGGTAGGTAGACCCTGATCTTGCTTGCATTTTCACAGCCAGCAGAAAGTCAGCTAGGTTATAGCATGACATCATGGCAGCACGACACATGGTTTGTTATTATCATGATGATTTTGTTTAAGTGTTCGTCTTTCTAAGTTGTTTGTTTTTTTAATCGATATATAAAAAAAAAAAGAGCAGCTGCAACGTCACGGCCAACAGCTCTGTCGACGAGGAAGGTGCCTTGCAGTGTTCTAGACCGGATAAGCAGAGTGGAGGAGGAAAGGCGAGAGGAGTGTCTGATTCACCCAGACTGTACCGTTCTCAGGGAAGTCCAACGTGTGCTGCGGTAAGCTCAAGGGGCGTTCCCTAGTTTGAACAATGAATTTCCTTTCTGCGCCTGTCCATCGTAATGTACAGTCTATTTTGTGTGTGTGTGTGTGTGTGTGTGTGTGTGTACTTACAGGCAGCGATTTCATCTTCCAGTTGTCTCAGTTGGTCCTCTATCTGCTCCTTTATCACTGATGTCCTCTCTCTCTCCGTCTGGGCTTCTCCTGATGAAGATAACCACGTCACTGAAACAACCATCTCTCACTCTCTGTAAACATTTCTTTGACTAAATATTAAGTCGTCGTATATTCACAAGAATATGACACTTACATGATTACATGATGTGTGTACACAGTTTGACAATTGAACCAGGTATGTGTCGTGTGTGTGTGTGCAGGTAAACAGCACCGGAGCAGTCACAGAAATGACGCCCTTTACTTTCAGGTCATTCTCTCGCTCCTCTGCACGTGATTTGCTGAACCCAAACGAGAAGAAAAACTTTGTTCTCTCATCGCGTGCATAAAAGGCATGTGAATTATTAACGAGATTCAGTCTACACCGCAGGGGGCAAAATGAAGCATGCAAGAGTCCAAAACTGACACAAAGGCTGCCTCAGGGGTTTGACTCCGAGCGTTCTCTTTCACACAGAAGATCTTCTGAGTGCAGCCTTTCAGATTGGTAAAGACGCAGCGCCATCTGATTAAAAAAAACTGAGAATTTATCTGCAGTCCACTCACTCAACAAATGCCATCTTGTTATTTCCATGTGGGCGCTGTTAGCTCTGTTTGAAAACAGCTGAAGCGGGCAGCCAGAAGAAGAGAAACACTTTTATTCTTTATGGTTTAACAGCTCACAGGCACAACACACAGGAAGGAAACTGACGCACAGATCCCCCTCTTTTCTTTTCTGTTTGTGCCCCTGCAGCTCATACATGAACTCTCTGAGGATCACTGTTGGTTTTTCTGGGCCTGGATGCTGTTTCAGCATCGAGCCAGACAGACAGCCGGCCAACTATCCTGTATTGGTCCACCAGCGTGTGAGTAATCCTGCGGTGATTACACATGACAGGCTGTCAGAAATTGGACCGGGTCAAGCGGAAAGCAGGGATCAGCCACTCCTCTGCCTTTCTCCGCCCATTGCAAGCATGCGCACAACATAGAAGAAGACCAGAAATAGCACTATCAGCATACCAGAATTTAAACTTTGATGTACTAGAATAATTGAAAGACATCAATACCTGATTCTAAAGGGACAGAAGTCCTAGACCCCCAAATTTAGACCAATGTTTGCACAATGCACATGGCCTGGGTAACCTGCACATTTATGAAGGCTCCATTCATTCAGAACCATAGAAACAGGTTTTAGAGCTGCCAGAGAGACGACTTCTTTTTGAGAGGAGGCCTTGATTATTGCAGCAGGATAATGTCAGACAACATTAATCTGCACGTATTAAAACAGCACGGCTCTGTAGAGAAAGAGTCCGGGTCATAAACTGACCTTCCTAAAGTCCTGACTTGTCACCCACTGAAAATGTTCAGAGCATTATGAAATGTAAAATAAGACAAAGGAGAATCAGGACTGTTGAACAGCTAAAATCCTTCATCAAGCACAAATTGGACAAGTTACATTTCACTCTGTCAGTCACAGAGACTTGTCTCCTCAGCTCCTAGAATACTTACAGCGAGTTGTTAAAGGAGAGGTGACACTACAGAGGGGTGAACATGACCCTGTCCCATCTGTATTCAAACCTGTTGCCGGCATCATCTTTGAAATGAGCACTGTTACAGAAAAACTCTGTTGTGCGTTTATTTGGTGTGACAGACACATACTGAACAAAATCGAAAACAGACATCCTGAAGCCTGGAGCTGCTTTGGACACCACACTGAAGGAATTTAATTTGTGCTCACATGACATCTGTTTGTTACTCTCATAAAATGTCTCCATTGGACGCGAACACAAGTCTCTCTCTCTCTCTGCATGTGTGTGTGTGTGCCAGAGTGAGAGATGGCTAAACTGAGCGGGTGAACAGGTGGCAACCTGCAAACACACACCCTGAACATTTGTTGTTGCCGCTGCCATGAGTGCATGTGCACACAACTCTATTTGTGTGCTGTGTGAATTCACAAAGTGTGACGTTTTCCCTGACATGCGTGTCCTGCACTGCTCAACATGGAGAGCACTGAAACAGGGCGTCCTTCAATTAAGTTGCACTGTAATAAAGAGCAGGGGAGGAAGGCTTCCTGTGGCGTAATGTCTGATAAAAAGCTGAAAATGGCGCTGGTGTTGTCAGCCCTTGGTCCTTTAGTGGAAAAAGAAGGGATGGAGGCGACAAATAAGGAGAAACCGCACTAATGGGTGAAAGCAGGGATACTACAGCGGCATGCTCAAGGGGCTTTACAGAACCTGTGACAAGAGATGGAGTTAAATGAAAGCTCAGCCAAGCAGAGAGATTCCTCTCACCGACGCCGATTCAAATGGTCGAATCAGCCAAAAAAGGCAGACAGGGGCCAACAGAGCAGGACACACCGCAAAAACTAGGACAACGACCGCTCACCGATGGTCAAACTAGGACCAACGGCCGATGATCTCCTTGGTGTGTCAGGGCCTTAAGACTAAATTATATGAAGATCAAGAGGAAATAGAGTCGCTCATTTGAAGCTGTTCTTCTCACCTTCACTTGCTGTTTGTGCCTGTGATCTACCAACAGGCAGCATTCCCAGGTAGTTGAGCACAATAAACTTGGTTTCATAATGGAAACCCTCAGGCACGGTGGCGGCGGTGGAGGCAGAAAAGGTGGAGCCTGAGGTAGCCATCGAACAGACGTGGGTCAGACTCTCAGGCACATACAGGTAAAGCTGGACGTCTCACCTGAGGAAAAACGATAGCAAGAGGAGGAATTAATTTGAAGGTTAGGTGAAAATGTTCTGATACTTCTTCAATACCACGTGTTTAAAAATGGGAGAGAAAGCGCCGGTGTCCTGCTCAAATTCAAAGGTCGACAATCCGGAGGTTTCTTGAGTCCATTTGGAGTCTCGTAAAGATGCAAAAGTTACGTTTACGTCTCTTAAAAACACACAGAGAGGCGGTGACACTGAAAAGTTGCCAATTTAGACAGTGTGCAGGAGTTTGCTTGCAAGTTTTGTTGAGCCTATGACTTTTATTTTAGTTGCCATGTAAAGGTATCATATTGTAGTTTAACTGATGGTATCATGGCACTCAAATTACCTTTAAACCAGGTAGATAGGATTGCATGCCCATCTTGCACAGGTATAAAGAGGCTGCACATGATCAATATAATATTTGTAAGTGAAAAGGAGATAACCCCACAACACGTCAATCTTATGCATGGGTACGTTTTGTACCTACATCACACATGATGACACAATGCAACTTACATAACCCACGTGGTGGACAAAGGGGCGTGAAAGGTCCTTCAGCCTTTGCTATAGAGCAAATACTTCTCCTTTATTGCTTCTTTAGGGGGGTTTAGGACGTTAGACTACCGTTATTTAAGTCAATGCTTTGTGAAATAAATCGTCGCTGTCTGAAGTTTGCATCGCCTTCATGGAAGTTCAGAAACACCATGCGGAGCTAAGATTACATCAATCAAGTCAAGCTGCAGGAAGAACAGAAAACGTCCGGTTTGAGCTGTCAAAATACAACCTCTGGCTCATTGTTTAACTTACAATAACGATACATTTACTCCAGGGCTGAGAACACATATAAAACTAATGGCTGTAATTAAGTTTTAAGCAAATCCATTATTGATCAAAATGCATTTAAAAGACATATCAACATACCTAATTAATAATCAGACATGCAGTTCTTTGGATAACCTGACTTAATTCAAACGTGTGCTGCACTGGAGAGTCTGTTTTTACAAAGATCAGAGGTTTCCTGAACACATCAGCACACCTACAAGCTGCAGCTAGCTTAAAGGTTCACCTTTTATTTTAAAGACGCAGAACTTACTTTGAATATAAATTAAGCTTAATTGAAGGTTTCTCACCGTCCTCGTCCAAAGGCCACCAGGTGCTGACAAACGACAGGCTGAAAGGGGATTATTCACGACCCCAGACCCGGGCAGAAGTGAGAGAGGAGGGCAGACCACCGCTGGCAGACAGGAGTTAGCACTAGCACACTGTGTGCTTTGAAAAGCTACACAAGTTAGCGACAACCATGGCAACAACACATGAACGAGCTTCCGGTCGATACCTTCAAAGTAAAACTTCACAACAGTTATTTTTCTCGAGTCGTTAATAACAAAGTAAAAGTGACTTTTAAGTGGAAGCGCACGATTGTTTGACGGATTAACGTCAATTATTAGCTCCAGTGTCCTAGCAACGGAACATGGAGGGCGAAATGTGAGACTTCCTGTTCAACAAATTAATTTAAATAATACTTAAAGAGGATCAGGGACAGACATGAGATATAAATAAAGATAGGAGGAATATATTCTTTCATAATGCACAAGGTATGCACGAAAATAAGAGAAATGTAAAGAAAATAAATGTCAAAAGTCGGGAATGAAGCCAAAATATAGAGAAAAAAAAGTTTAATATGTCAAGAATAAAGTTGAAATGTTTAGAAAGAAAATGTAATGTCTAAGATAAAATTGTAATAAATTACGGGAATAAAGTCGAAATATGGAAAAATGTTAACAAAAAAAAGTGAAATGTTGAGAATAAAGTAAAAATATCTAGAATTTAAGCAGAAATGCGGGACAAATCTTTAATTTCAAGAAATCTTTTGTTTTTTTTATTTGCAGCTTTATCCTCGAAATTGTATTTTCATTTTATTCTTGACATATGGACTTTTTTTCTCTACATCTAGACTTTATTCTCGACTTTTCAATTTTTTTCTCTTAGTACATAATGAATGAAAAAATCTTTCTCCTTTTTATTCTCAATGCCTGGCCCTAATCGTCTTCCGTAAAATAACGAAAGTAAACATTTACATTTATGTCCCTAAACGTATGAACCGTATATAAAGAGGGAACCGTGACATTTATAACCTGTAAAAAAGTAATTATAGACCTGAAGGACGCGCCCCCTTAGTAGTCCTGTACTATGAGCTCTGTCAGTGCACTTGTCATTTTAATCGTTGTTAAAAACTGATAGTATTTGGGTTTCTCTGCGATCTGCTAAAATAATCCTGGCGGTATTGATATATTCAAGTGCTACTCGGAGTTTCCCATTTAGGTGACCGTTCATCCAACTGCGGCATGTTAAAGGATTTACATCGTAATCTGAATACAACACGCACGCTCCTCTAAAAGGTCATGTTTAACTGCTTAAAACTAAAATAGACCGCTCTGAATTTTCTAGATCAAAAACTCACCTTTCTGATATTTCAGTCACCTTGACGTGAATTTTCCAGTTGAAATATCACTTTTCCGATTATTGAGACAACACCTGAATGCAGCGTGTGTTTTATTTTGAACATAGTGAGCGGACGTGGTGAAGCTAGCTTGACGTGCTCTTCCTATAGTTTCTTTTCTGTTTACTGGGCTGTGAAAGAGGTCGAAAAGAAGATTTGTTTACTGACTTTTACATTAACAAAGAAGATCGAGGAACAGCCATGGCTCTCACCGATGCTGACGTTCAAAAACAGGTAAAGACTACAACGTTAGACCCGTAATGGTTAAGTTTAGTCAGCTGCGTAATCTGCTACCAACACGAACTATTTTACACTTTTTACATATTTATATTCATCTTAAAGTTATTATACATGTATTAATGGATCCTGTTATTTCATATGTGTGTTTAAAGTTGAAAATAATCTGCACTTTTACGTTAATGTTACAGTAATGTTATTTTAAAGGGGACATTATGAACAATCCACTTCTCGAGTGTTTTTGAACATATATTTGGGTAACCTGAGTGTCTGCTGACCCACAAAATGTGAAATAAATCCATCCAGTCCTTTGTTTGTGGTCTGCATAAGTCTTACAACACAGAGAAAAATGCTCTGTTTCAAATGTGCTGTCCTTGTGATGTCACAGTGGGATTCCTTTCACTATCCACTTTACCTTAACCCCGGGGAAACATCATGAGGTTAAGAAAGATGTTAGGAGAATTCATAAAGGACTTAGGGAAAGGAGATCTCGTTGACAATCCGACCACATTTCCACTAGGCGACGTCATGAAATGCGACGGGTTAATGACGTGGGTCCGCCGTGTTGAAACTACAATGTTCAGAAAATGGACTACTAAAAGATCATCTAAAAAACTTTCCCCTGTGCCTTCTTACCGGTGAAATAATCCTTAATTACCACAAGGTTGGGATTGAAATAAAATAAATATAGACCACCAGGCTACAAATAAGAAAAGTGAAACCATCAGCTTCCGGTCCACTCAGAAATCAACATCAAACTAAATATGATTGTATGAAATTAATTGTTACATTTATATAAGATATAACCTACACATAATGTTTTAATCATACAAATGTACAACTGCACAGCATTCTCAAGTGAATGAAATATGTTGAATGAAACATCATCTGGATAAAAATGTATTTTATCTTTTTATCTTTTACATGATCTGTGTCACTTTACGATCATCGTTCATTTCCGTGAGCGGTCAGATGCGCGACTCGCTTTAAATGTTGCGGTCGCAAGGAATTGAGGGGCGGCATATCTCATCTCCTTTGGTAAAGGATGGTCCAGTGTATCCTATGCTAAAGGAGGTTATGAAGGAAGCATTAACCCACCTTTCCTTAACTTTTAGAGACAGCTCTTATCATGGCCGCCACTTAAATGCTTCCGGGTCATTTCACTCGGTTAGGAACCTTCCTAAGCAAAAATGACAATTCGAACGCACCCCAAAACTTTTCAGCAGGTCTGCCATTTTTATTCTCGCTAGCGAAGGAGTGATGTCTAACGGGAAAACTCGGGGGGGGGGGGGGAGCGGGTCATTACATTTAAAGAGACACACACCAAAACGGAGCGTTCTGAGAGAGCTGGTTTATACAGGGTCACAAACCTCCTCTGGTGCTTGATTCATGTTATATTTTGACCACAGCACAGCACAGATGTTTCATCTGGACCATATGAGTCTTGTTGTTTTCATTACTTCAGCAGAACTGGGCTCCCATAGTTTCAGTAAGAAAATGCCTGTTTTAAATCTTTCTAATTGCTTGGTGTTTGCTTGTTTCAAGTTGACATTATTTCATGGTTAAAGTTTGGACTAACTATTTAGTCTCCTGTGGCAGATCAAGCACATGATGGGCTTCATCGAGCAGGAGGCCAAAGAGAAGGTGGAGGAAATTGATGCAAAGGTAATTGAAGTCCGTCCGTCTGCTGTCTTGTGATTCTCCGTTGCATTGAGCAGTCATAGGCTTTTGTGAAAACACTGGTCTATTTACAGGCGGAGGAGGAGTTCAACATCGAGAAAGGTCGCCTGGTGCAGACTCAGCGAGTGAAAATCATGCAATACTACGAGAAGAAAGAGAAGCAGATCGAACAACATAAGAAAATGTAAGTTTTTACTTATTTATCAGTGTTTCCCCTAAGTTTACAGCGTTGGGGGGGTGGGGACAAACCGACACGACAACACAAACACTTGAAGGAATCTCGGTGTTCATGTGTTACTTTTGTAACGTGAGGGTCCGATGTGTGGTGGATGGATCACTCTAGTTCAGAGAAACAGAAGGATGGAGACGGATAACTTTCTCAGCAGCACTTTACTGTCATCCACATTGTTCTGCTACACAACAACAGCACTTCCTTGTTCCTCATCACATGTCCCGTCATTAGCCAATCAGAGGTTAGGATGATTAAACTCAAGGCAAACATTATGACGATCACAGAAGTTGATTCAATATCATTTGGTCACAGTTACTAGATGCTACTGCAAACATTAAAACATGTAAATATATCAATATTAACTTTGTAAACTCAAATATGTAAATAGTTCACTGTATAAATGTTAACTTATTTTTAACTTAAACTTAAATACATGGATTAACTCAAATATATTAATTTACTTCACTTTTAAATCTTACACTTTTAATGACAGGAAAGGTATCCTTAAATGACTTTTTTCCCTGATTTCTGACTCTATCCACTATCCTATCCCTACAATAAAGGCACAAAAAGCCCAAAAATAAATCTTTTTTTTTTACTTGGCCTTCAGGGGCGGCAGGGGGAGGGGGGGGTCCAATATAATGGTAGGGGAAACACTGTTTATGGTCAGTTTAGGAAAGAATGCAAGCAGCAATGTGGAGTCATAGCATAAACAGTGCCAGCAATGTATAGGGCTGCACGATATATCGTTTCAGCATCGTCATCGTGATGTGCGCAATAGTCACACCACAAGGACATGCGATGTGAAGAAGAAGAAAAAAATCTGTCTGGAGCCGAAAAATATAGGCTAGTTGAGCCTTTCAGTTAAGTTTATGTAGCCTTTCTACGCCCATTCACATTACTAATATATCTAAATAAGCATACATTTATATATTTTACCACATTACATGCAACAACTCGCATAGTTAGAACACCTTCTCAGCGCTCTTGTCATCTCACCTGCTGTTATCAGGGTCGGTCAGAGCGCCGTGCAGCGTGAGTGGTCGAGCGACTGAGAGAGAGGGAGCGGTGAATGTGAGCGGAGCAGATCTGTGCGTTCAAATTTGTCTTCAGTCAGACCGGGCTCTCGGTTTTGTTTTTGAGGTCTAAGTTTCGATCTTCTGACCCCGGGGTAGACCCAAAGCTCACTTGAGGGATATATATCCCTTATGGATTGGGAACGCCTCGAAAATCCTCCAGGGGGAGCTGGAAAACATTGCTGGGGAGAGGGAAGTCTGGGACAACTTGATTAGCCTGCTGCCACCGCGACCCGGTCTGGGATAAGAAGAAGAAAATAGATGGATGGATGGACAACAAAAAGGATGACACGGCCCACAATACTGCTGACGCTGCAACAATTCACATGTCAATCTCGCAATCCATTTTACTGTCACTCGTGAACAAGACTCGAGATGCTTGAATTCCTTCGCTTGAGGCAGAGATCCTCCCCCGGGTTGGGAGTGAGTCTCCTTTTGTTGTCTGTATGAATTTCACAAATCATTTAAATTTAGTCTTGATAGTTGACTTTATTACAACCCTGGTAATTTACTACTTTAAGTCATATTGTGGAGTCTGCTGTAGACTCTCACCTGGCAGGTAGCTCAAAAAGGTGATGACTTGTTTGTCATGCAGAGTGAACTCTTCAAACATTGAGCTGTGTGGATTAGAAACACAAAGCTCATCCTTGTCTAAATGCCTCCTCTTCACTCTCTCCTTGAAGCGACCTTCATTTATTTATTGACTTTTCTTTACTCTCCTGCAGACAGATGTCCAACCTGTTGAACCAGGCGAGGCTGAGGGTGCTGAAGGCCCGAGAAGACATGATCATGGTGAGAGGTCAAAGCTCGTACCGAACACATATTCACACATCACTTTCATGTTACATGGACACATATGCCATCTATTACGATCCAATCAGAAGTGATACCGTGAAGTGTTCCTTATATGAACATCTGTTATGACCAGCGTAGGGGAAACCAGCCGGAGCACAAAAGTGACCCTCTTCTTCCTCACTCCAAATGATAAAACGCAATCAAACATATTTATAGTCCACAATATTCTATTTATTTACAGAATTCACAAAATGAATCAAACTTCAGGGAGAGCACCGGTAAAATGATAAACATGAAGTTGAAACCCAAACTATCCTACCTCAAATAAAGCAAAGCAAAAAAGAAAATAGAGGCATCTTGCCGAACTCCCTAACAGGAAAACAGGAGAAAATATGAATCAAAAGACAAAAGGCTACTCTCCCCTTCAACACAATCAGGACTGAACATAGTTATCACAACATCTTAATCTAACGAACACACAAAGTTTTCTCTATTCACTCAACGTCTCTCATTTGAGGTGAGGTAGAAGGAGCGCAGCGTTGAACTTCCGCCTCTACTTTTTAGAATCGGGCGCCCTCGGCTGTGCTCCAATAAAGCTCTCGCACGCAGCACCGGCCTCGGTCCAATCACTGGCCGGCACACACCGCCAGCTTTTCCTAAAGCTTGAAGTGTACTGCGAGGAACAAGCAGCAGACCCTGATCAGAAGACCTCAGAGTCCTGCTGGTGTAGTGTGGCTCTGAAAGTTCTTTGATATAAGCGGGCGCTCGACCATGCAGGTCTCGATACACAACCACAAGAGTTTAAAACTGGATTCTGAAATGAATGAGAAGCCTGTGCAAAGACTTGAGGATGGGTGTGACATGACGCCTTTTAGGAGATTTTGTTACCAGCTTATCAACTGTCCTATCTCTAAAATAAAGGCTTAAAAAAGTTGTCTAATGTATGGAAGGCTTTAATAAATAAATATAAGGTAGAATAATCTTTATAAATATTTTCTAATTTGATCTAGCTCCACAATCTCTCAGTTCCAATATTTCTGGGAAAACTCAGGCTTTATCTTCTGTTTCCTGTGATGTTGCTGTGTTCATGTCTCAGGACTTGTTGAACGAGGCTCGTCAAAAACTCACAGAGACTGTCAAGGATCCTGTGAGGTACTCGGCCCTGTTGGAAGGCCTGGTGCTTCAGGTAACATATCCCACCTCTCACATGTTACCGTACAGTTCCTGAGTTCCTCAGTTCCTGAGTTTCTGCTTTCACTTTTCAGGGATTTTATCAACTGCTGGAACCAAAGGTGACGGTTCGCTGCAGACAGCAGGATGTAGAGATGGTTCAGGTGAGGCCCAGCTGACTGATGTGTTGTTTGTTGTGATTATTTATTACAAAGGACGAACAGGAAATGAAAGAGCCCGTGTGTCCTGATATGATGTATTATTTCTGGACAGGCTGCAATCGATAAGAACATCCCGATCTATAAAGACGCAGTGAAGAGCAACATCGTGGTCAGGATCGACCCAGAGCGTTTTCTCTCTTCAGAGATGTAAGATTATTTAATTTACTTCAACATGAACACTTTATGTTTTCTGTAAATCTTTGACAAAGGTGAGGACTTTTGTTTTTACAGCTGCGGAGGAGTTGAAGTGTACAACGCTAACGGGAAGATCAAAGTTTCAAACACGTTGGAGAACAGGCTGGAACTGATAGCTCAACAGGTAAACTACCTTTCATCAACTATCCAAAATCTTCATCCACTAACTTGATAACAAACTAAATGTAGTTTCACCTCTTGGCCTGTAGAGGGCAGCAGTGAGCTGTATTACAGATAGAACAATGATGCTGAACTCAAGTTAACAAACTTTAATGATCTTTATTTTAATCTTGTGAGTACTGATTAGATTTTATAAGAATATTAATTTAACAAACATGAACTTTAAGTTTTAAAAAATCTCAGAGTGAGTCTTAGAGGGAGGAATTAGTATAAAGTGTGAAATGTTTTTTGCTTTGTTCACACCGCTGTAGATGCAGATAGTTTCACTTAAATGGCATCAAATAAAGAGTAAACTTTTATATTTTCACACATTAACTAAGACATGATAACATACTTCCTGGATAGTTTATACAGAGGTCTTTAGGTAAGAACAAACGTCCTCTTGAGTTTTTATTCATAAAAACAATTCAAATATTTGTCATTTTTTATACTAATGCATCACTTTTTCGTACGTGTGCTTTGTGCGGGGCTCAAAGGAGTAAATGTTTGGAACCACTTGTCTATGCAGAAGTTATTTAAAGTGAATTATAAGATGAGTAACTCTGGACAAAGGATGTAATTAATATGTACACAGATAGCATGCTCGTCAAAGGCTGTGTGACTTCAACTTCAAATAACTTAATTCATCCGTTAGGAACTTCAGTTGTGTAAAAGAGCATCAGTGTGCACACAGCTGAGCACAAACAACAAACACACACATATCTACACCCACCGTGCATCAAAAGGGCGCGGAGTGAGTGAAGCTTGTTGGCCGTCACAAATGATGCGTACCAGATCAGAAATAAAGAATTCTAATATGAGTTAAAAAAGAATAAACACTCAAGTTATCTTGTGAAATGTATTAAAAGCATGATATGTAGGTCATGAATAATTGTTATGAGAGTAACCGGTCAGCTGACTTTAAGGTGTAGTTTGTATTGTTTCCTACAGAGAGGCTGCTTGTTTGTAGGATTCAGTAAAATCAGTAAATCTCCCTTTATGTCCAGAAATAAAGAAGAGTATCTTCTGCTTCTGCTTTTGATATTTGATATTTATTTTCTTCCTTCTGCATGTTCTTCTGTTGTGTCCTCACCTCACACCTGACAGATGATGCCTGAAATCAGAGTGAACTTGTTTGGTGCCAACCCCAACCGCAGGTTCATGGATTAACGGCGGCTTTGCAGAAAGGATACAGGCGTGCACAGGTGGTGCATTTCAGGTGACACGAGACCATCTTCATCACAGTGAGCGAGAGTTAGTTTCAATCACCCACCAATCAGGAGGAGGCTCAAAGAGAGCCCTGAATTACTTGTGTTTTTATTTGTGTACTAATGGGCTGAGTCTTCAACAGGTTCTCTTTTTATTTGAACCTCTCGGGGTTTTCCAAAGGACTGCTTTGGATTTTAGATGAAATGCGTTTCATTATAGGAAGTCTGTTGCAATTAAGTTCTTAATAAGAGTAATCAAAGTTAAGGTCACCAAAGACACATTCGTTACATGTTTTCTATATTTTTGTAAACTGACTCAATTCTCTTGTATGTTTGCATATATTTTTTATAAGTATGTGTGCGTGTGTGTGTTGTTCTAAGGCACTTAAAAAAAACAGAGAAATAAATGTGTGACACGGACAAATCCACATGTATGAGATATCTTTATTTACAGCTTGTAAACAAACATTGACTCTCTGTTCTGTCTACGATGAGGAAGATGTAGTAGCCTAGATAAACTAGCCACTAGTCAAAATTTGTCTTGCATTAGAAATGTAAAAAAAAAAAACTTTTAGTGCCACCCAGTGGACTTAAGAAATGGCAAACAGCTGGCGAGCTGCCATACTCCCTCCATGGGTCTTACACATCAAATTGTCCTCGCTGAATCGGACTCAAGAACCAGATCTTTGACTTAACCCCAACGATTCCAGGAAATCTCCTTTAAAAACTATCAGCAATAATAAGGCTTGAATTGCGTTTTTTTTTTTTTTTTTTAAGTTGTTGTGCGCACATCATTTGAAGCAACAAACGTTTTTTCTTTCTTTTAAATGTAACTAAAGCAGTAAATGAGCTTCTCCTGGTTTAGTTCTCTGAGCTGTGGAGAAGAGGAAGGCAAGGCTTCGAGACAGAGGCACAGCAGTGTAACCTGTGGCCTCTAGGCAGGAAGTGAGCTGTGTGTTAGGGTATATTGTGCTGCTAATACGGGGATTAAAGCATTACCGTCAGATTATCGAATGACCTTAGAGACTCTGGCAGGCAGCACCTCCCAATCCAGTGAAGGCATCCAAGATTACACCTCAGACCTCACGTATGGAGTGGGAGGAATGCATAACAGGATAGGCAGAAGGAGATTGAGATGCTCTCGCAAAGAAACACGTTTAAAGTTGAAATGATTGACATTTGAAGTCGAGTCAAATACCACGTTTGGACTCTGACATCATGGGTTGTGCAGTTTGATTGAATGGGTAATTGTCACTTACAGTACAGGAGGATGCAGAGGTCTTCGTCATTACTGTATAAAAAAACGATCCGATTGGAAGGCATTTAAATCATGCAGCAGCCCTCTCAGAATAATCCCTCAGAGCCAAGATATATGTTACAGTAACATGCTGGGACAAGACAGCTTGGGACACACACCCAAAGATTAGTCACACTCGTGAACAGGACCCTGTTTGACCTATGGAACCCTGCAGACAGCATGTCAAAACCTACAGAAAGTTGATTAGAGTGAACCCACAGATCCACAAATTAGTAAAAAGAGCCTCTCTTCAAACCTCCCATCATCCTTCCTCCTTTGGTTAGCAGGTCGTGGCCGAGTTTCTCACCCTCTCAGTAGTCACCGTTCACCTAGATGCTGCAGATTAAAGCAGCAAATTATCTGTACAGAGACAACAGAGCCACCGCCACCAATGCCAAAGCTCCGCTATCCCAGCAACCCTAGCGCCGCCTCCCCCACCCCGAGAAAGTAGACACCCTGTGCAATGCCAAAGAGGGGAGCGATGACCAGAGCTCGACACGTTGCACCCTTGAGGAATGCTGATGGGCCCTCCCGCGTCATGATGCGCCTGCAAAAGTGCACCGACAGGAACACGCCAGGAAAGAGAAGAAAAGAGAGGAAACGTTAGAAGGATCTTAAAGTTGTCAAACTTCGATGCCTTGTGTTTCATAATGATACAATCTCAGTTTTGTTTTTTAGTCGATTGTATGCAAAAGTAGGGAAGTAAAAAAAAAAAAAAGTCAGGTCCTCAGTTTGAACCCAGAGCTGCCACAAGCGAGAGGTAGAGAGCAGGTTTGCAAATGCTGACAGTTCCTTTTGGTGTCTTACAAAGACACAAAGAGAGTAGAGGAGGCGACTGGCCATGATGCACACACACATTGGCAATGTTGCCAGTGTGCAGGAATTTTACTGCAATTTGTGGTAATCATAAACAACTAGCCAGTATTTACTGCCTAGAACTTCTATTTTTGTTGCCAAGGTATTAATTCAGGTATCGATATCACTTCATTTTTAAAAGTATCATACTAAAGTCACCATATTTAGATTATTAGTTGACACATTTTTGACAACAATCTTACCGTGTGCAGTCAACAATTCCTCTGTAGGTGTCCTCCCCCTCGCCCTTTTGCAACGTCTGCAGACGAGTCTTTATGACTGAACAGAGAAGCGAGGAGGTTGTTAAATCAGGCAGAGGCGAAAAAATGACATCATAACAAAATGTAAGGTGGTTACAACTCAAATAGAGAAGTCACAAACTGAATTAGTTTGGTAAAAATATTGCAGCTACTGTTTGCTGTCCAACATGTAATCCCAGTGTTTACATTTCTTTCTGATTTAGTGCACCAAAGAATTCCTCAATGTTTCAAAGAGAAGAAAGATTCAGAATTGTTGGTACTTTCACAGATGCACAAACCTCCTGAAAACTTCCTGGAGTTTTTATCAGGTCGAGCTGGAAGTGTGAACACAAAAACAGCCAAATTTTTCTCTCTTGACTTTATCTGAGATTTGTCCTTCCTGTCTCCTTGTACATTTTCCTGAAGTCGGGGTGAGCTGATGTGAGAACGCAGCTGGAAATATTCAGAAAAGTTCACCGCGAGCGAGTGGGAGGGGATGAAGACAGCCAGTGTGATTGCACTGCTTCATTATGTTTTCTTTTTCACTCTTTAGTTGATAACGTGAACATCTTAAACTTCACATAACGCTGATATACTTGGATATAAGGGTAAGAGTTCATATCATAGTGTTGGACTGTGTTACTCCATCCACCTAATCTGTGTCATTCTTTTTACATCATGCCTCTTGTGACTCTCCCACCTGACGGGGGCAGTCTCCCACCGTGAGGTGCATGTGTTAACGTGTGAACGAGCAAGAGGGATATATTTCAGGGACAGCCTGTCTGAAATTTGCAAGACATTTTCAGGAGTGTACATGTGAAAACAGCTTCAGTGAGTTTTATATTTGCCGGTTAAAAGAGAGCAGGATGAGATTTTTAACTTCTTTACTGCTTACACTCGTACAGGACAAAATCAGCAGAGAGATCAGACTAACTGCTTTGTCCACAGCAAAGAAAAAGTTCCTCACAGGAGCTTTGAGACGATACTGACGACGTCGTATCGTATCAAACATCAACATTTGTTCCTTTCAGAACACGTGGGGTTTAGTGACCAAACCTTTGAAGAAAAGTTTGATTGCATTGAACTTAGGAAGAGGTCGTTTCTACTTTGGAAAGGTGCGTAGTTAAACTTTAAATAAAGTGATGGACGCAAACACACTGTTTATCTTTACTAACAGCGGAGTCCCTGTAATCATCGTTCTTAACCTGCCTGTTATTTGTCCAACTCACCATCCAGTGGTGTCACAGCCACAGCTGCCACAGAGCCCGCGCTGCAGCCCGCCAAAAAGGACTGCCAGAACGGCGCCCGGGCATGCACATCCCCCCGACCTGGCACACTTTCCCGGCCCAGAGAGTTTAGGTTGGCAAACAGCGGGAAGTATATCATTGAGAAGGGGACATCCCTGAAAATATAGTTTGAATAAACGTCAGATTAAATGAGCTGGAAAGGAAACAGAGGGAGAGAGGTTGCATAGATGTTCTGGACTGAAAACAAAGTGGGAGGAGTCACAAGAGAAAACATACATGGCCCCATTCAATGCAGCACAGTTGCAGACATAGCTGCAGGAAGCTATTGATCAGTGTTGATTGTATTAGGTGTCAGGAAATACAACAAACGCTGTATGAGTTATGCAATGAAATAACAAAAGCTCATTGAATCAGCGATGACAGAGAGAAAGAACCAGAGAGCATCACGTCAGCGGTCGGGCGTGGTTTTAAACTTCATGGACTAAGTGACATGAGGAAGATCAAAGAGACAAGTGATGTGTAACAGATGTGTAATAATGTCATAGAAAGCACTGATAGTATGCCCCCACAGTGAGCCGCTTAAGTTAGCAGTAAAAACGACTTTCACTCATGTATTGTCGTTTTGTGGTTACCTCATTAAGGTGGCTCCGGCCCCCCGGTACAGGCCCGCCAGTCCTCGAGTCTTCAGCAGCTCCACAGTGATGCTCGTGGCTGAGGATCGAGGTGGAGGGTTCCGTCGTGCTGGTGGGGGGGCCACCAACGATGGAACTGGACCAGGAGCGGCAGCCTGAGCGGGAGTTTGAACCGGCCTCTGGGCGGCTGAGGGTTAAACACAGACGGAGCCAGGTTAGACAAACACACACAGGCTGATGATTTACTTAGAGAGGATGGACGATGGGTGGTCTCTAGACAGGAAGTGTGAAAAGACTTTAGTGCACTGCGTCCTTTTGCACAGACTCTGAAGGTCAACACACTGCGTCTTCATAAGTGCACAACGACAACAAATAGAAACTCTGAGGACAAGCTTACCGAGCCGTCCAGCGTCCTGCAGCTGGATCTTCAGCATCTCCATGGGAGTGGTAACTACCACCTGACAGGTCCCCGCCCCGCAACCCGCCAGTACCTCCCCCCACAGGGGCAAATGGCTGCGAACACAAAAGAGTCACAAAGCATTAACAACACAACAGGATTAGTTTTCTTAGCAACGTGCTATACGCCCATATAGGGATTTTTCATACCTCAAAAACTGAAATCTTACCACCTGTATCCGTCCTATTTTTATTAGAAATCTCATTACTCTTTTCACCTGACAAGTCCAGATAAACACATTTTTTGAAGATGTAAAAAGCACAAATGAGGCTTTAAATATGCAAAGAATTTGGACTTGTTGAGAGTTGAAATGAGAAGTCACTTCACAAGGTGTCTTGCTCCATTTGCAGATATGTTTTACTAATTACAGGTAATTCATGCCTTCTTTTTGGCCTTTAATATCTCCATTGAGATGTGTACCTGGACTTCTCAGCTGAATGTGGCTTATATTAAGTGTACTGAGATATATCTGATTAGATATGAGACAAGTACACTTCAATTTTTTAGGAAAACCAATGTGCCCAAGATTGAGACAAAGTGTGCTGGAAGGAGTTTGTTTACTAGTGAAGTTTAAAGACACATCAACATTCTTCAACTTTTGTGTTAACTTTGATGTTTGACTGAAATTTAAAAGAAAACTTAACACTGAAGAACGAGTTGGACGAACTCGATCTACTTAGGTTGCTTATTATAACAAACATGCTTTAGGTTTGTCAGGTTAGCAGAATTTTAATGGTCACATATTATGCAAAATCCACTTCACCATGTTTCTCTAACTCTAATATGTGTCTCTAGTCTGTCTTCAAACCCCCATGATGAGAAAAGTCCATCCTCTCCGTCTTCTGCCTGCTCCACTTTTCAGAAAATATGTGCTCAAACAGGCTGTTTGGAGATTTTCCCTTCATGACATCACAAAGGGCAGTAACCCCTCCCCCAGGTGGGTGACACTCCCACAGCTAGGTGTTTGTTCTGCCCCCTGAGTCTGCCTTCTCAATAGGGCATGGAGCGAGAAAGCCAGAGACACCCAAGCCCTTCCAGAGAGGGGCGTGGTCAGACACAGCTCATTTACATATTTAAAGGTACAGACACAGAAACAGCCTGTTCTGAGCAGGGCTGAAATAGAGGGGTTTATAGGCATGATCAAATACAGGATCAGAGTGGATTTAGAACAAGAAACTTCACACACATGTTTTGAGGAGCTCTGAGACTTATTTACACACATTTTCTGAAAAGTGGAGCAGGCAAAAAATGGAGAGGATGGACTTTTCTCTTCATTTGTAGACGGACTAGAGACACATATTAGTGTTAGAGAAACATGGTGAAGTTAGAAGTTAAAAAAGCAGGAACGTTGAGGGATTAGTTGCTATTGATCGACGTCAACAACAGCTCTAAAAACTGAGTATGAAGACATCCAGACAAAATCCTTTAGCTGCCTGTGACCTTGTAAATCTTGCTCACCTTTGAGAAGGGATGTACAAAATCCAAAGTTTGATTGAACCCATGTTATTGCACACCCCTTTTCTGACAGAAAATGGCAGATTATCTCATTTGTGTTAAACCAAGTCTGAAGTGTAATGAACTAAATGTAATAACCTGGACCCCTCACTGAGCTGTAGATTATTTTCATGTAGCTTTATTTTGTGATTTGGAGTGTTGAGAAAACTTTATTTACCCATCCTTAGAGAGCTTCTGCCTGAAGACGTCATTAGCCGCCAGCTTGATGGCTTTTTCTGGCGTGACAAGAGTGAGGTTCACTGCAGCGCCTGCAGAACACAAACAGGGCCGATGACTGTGAAACACTGAAGCTTCCACTGAGAAACACAGCAAGAACAAACCTACACCGCGGCTTACGGCTCGACAGCGGGGGCAGACAGCCACAGGTTATAAAGACAAAAGGCTGAGCGCTTACAGGGGGGAACAACAGCGAGCGTGGGAGGTAAGATTAAGCTTATAGTAAAGCACACTTATAGTGTTTGTCACGGGGATTAGAAATGCAAAGAATACCTCTGTAGCATCCAAAATAGCCCTCTGAGCGAACCGTCTTTGCCAGGCAGTCCAGCCTTTAAAGACAAAGAGGAAAACATTGTTATGAACAAGGAGTGAGATCCTTTAAAACATGAAAATAATGTTCATCTCTTCAGGTCAAAGCATCATTGTGTAAAAACAGCAGCTCTGGTGAAGTTCTTTTTATTTGTCTGCGGAAAAACAGCAACATCCGGCCTTGTGATTCTGGCCTTTGGGGGAATAAGTTATCCCAGGCCGTGTCTCCATGTGTGACTCAGTGGAAAACCACAGTCTGAAATGTTTGTGCTGGTAAACACATGATGACCACGCCCTCTCATCCTGCAGTATTGATGCTCAGCAGACTGAAATCAGAGTCAGTGTGTCTTTTAAGGACACTGGCGTCATTAATGTGACTCTAATGATCTTTTTTTTTTCAGTGAAACTTCATCTCAAGCTGACGTTCTGGAGCACCAGATCTTTCATGTGGACTTGATTGAACAAACTAAATCTGTGCATGCAATCTGTTTTTCAAATTCACCACTTAAGCTGAGTAAAACACTCACTCTCTGCAGCCACAGGTCTATTTTATCTCGTCTGTGAGTTCAGCACAAACGGACACAAATATGGGTCCAAATGTGCGGAGAGTGTGTTTTCGTTTTTTCTAGCTCCGCCTTCTGAGATTCAGTCGGAAAGTATGTGAGTAGGAATCAAATTACGACTTGTTTGAAGCTCAAATTATAGAGTGCTGTTTACACTGCAAAAAAACTCAAATCTTATCAAGTCTGTTTGTCAAAAATATCTCTTTACACTTAAAATAAGCCACATTAACCTGACAGGTCCAGATAAACATCTGATCTCTAGAGATGAAAAGCCTAAAGTAAGGCTAGGGTTCCTTGGTTGAAGATGTTTATCTGAACTTGTCAGGTGAATGTGGCTTTTATTTATTTAAAGAGACACTTTTATTATTTTTGTGGGCTTTTTATGCCTTTATGTTAGAGACAGGACAGTGGATAGAGTCAGAAATGGTGGGGAGAGAGAGAGTGGGGAATGACATACGAGGAAGGAGCGACAGGTCGGATTCAAACCTGGGCTGTCCGCTTGGAGGACTGCAGCCGCCGTAAATGAGGCGCTTACTAACCACTAAGCTTCTGGTGCCCCTTAGAGAGATTTTTTTTACTTTAAGTTGGACAATTAAACTTGTTGAGATTGAAGTTTTTGCAGTGAAACATTTGGCAGATTTACAACAATCCACCAGCAGTAGATACACTTCAAAAACTCTTTACAGAAGTATTTGTCTAATTTCATATCAAAAATATCTCTTTTTCACTGACTATAAGGGCACGGTCACACTGGCCATCTGTACCGTGCCCAAGCATGCTTCAACCCTAATGTCCAATTCGTTTGACCAGTGTGACCGCTCCGTATCGCACGGTACACTTCCTTGGCTTTGGCACTCTTCAGAGAGGTGTGCTTCTGCACGGTACACTTCATGCACGAGCACAAGCACGCGGGAACACACCGCTGACAGCCTTCATTATGGAGAAATCCAGAGTTTCATGGCTGTATCTCACTAAAATGACACAATATAAGACACAAAGTAGCTGTCATGTTCTCTGTTGTTCTCCGATGTGCGGCCGCACATCTATTTTATTTTTTAATTTATTTATGGCTGTGTCTGATTAAAATGGCTTAAAATAAGCCGCAAAGTCAATGTTGTTCTCCGATGTGCAGATGCGGACTTGACTGCGCATCTCTTTTTCTCTCTCTCTCTCTCTCGGTATCGGCAAATTTTATCAGATCCACAATTGTATCAGATTTTTTTTTTTTTGGTCCCAAATAATGATATTGGTATCGGCCTCCCGAAATCCCATATCAGTCAGGCACTAGTTCTTACTAATTTAGGAGGTACATCTTACTTCAAGAAACTCGACAGGTAAAATAAGCTTGACCTATTGGAAGATATTTATACTTGTTCCAAGCAATTCAGGCCTCATTTTTGTCTTTTACCTCTTGAAATAATATTTATCTTGACCATAGACTGTAAATATTAACAGACTAATCCTGAGTGATGTCACCCATCTGTTCCTGCAGGGGGGCTTTGGAGTCCCAGCAGCAGCAGCCGCCATGCTGGAAATGCTGTCTCAGTCTAACTTTCAGTCAACCTAATGACAGGCTGAGCGCTGCAGCTGAGGCGGGTTTTAAGCCTCCTAACGAACGGTTACATCGCACCCGCCTGTCAATCATGTAAGCGACACACCTAACTATGAATAACACGTATCATTCATGAAGTGATGACAACAACTAATCAGACCTATTTGGTTTCTTGTACCAGACTGTAAACATGTTTATTTATGCTGTAAAAACAGCTTTTTTGCCTGGTGTGTATGTGACTTCCAGGGTTCCTGGAGCCAGCCTCTAGTGGACACTCGAAGAACTGCAGGATTTTACACTTCTGCTTTGGCTTCATTTTTCAAGACCAGAGGTTGCTGCTTGATTTGGACTTATCTGGTGAATGTGGCTGATAATAAGTATGAGACATTTTTGGCTAGAAATTATACAAATACATTTGATAAGATTTGAGTTTTTGCAGTGTAATCAAAAGTGGGTGATGGTTTGTCATACATTTGCATGCAGAAACAAAGTATGCAGAGCTTTTGTATTTGTAAAGATAAATAAGAATAAAAGAGGCTTTAGTTCCTTTTTTTTTTATAATCAATCCAGGATGCTGAAGAAGCCCTCGTGTTACGTGGCAGATTAATTACAGTATACCGGGTTAAATCGGGCCAGGGGAGACCTACTCACATTCCTTTGTAGACTTGGACACCCTGCTGGTTCTGAAGGCGTGTCTTGGCCAGGTCAATAGGAAATACACATGTCACACCAACCAGGCCCGCCACGCCCCCATTAATCAGCTTAGCAGGGAGGCTGTGAAGGGATCAACAGACACACGCACACATGCCAGACCCATGCAAACCAAGACATGCAAATGACACGTCCATTCATGAACAAAGATAGAAATAATGCACAAGAGCGCGCACACACACACACACACACAAAGAGAGGATACAAGATCAACATTAACACAGCTGCTGCTTCCACTTAGCGAACACAACTCAATCTGTCTTAAGACGAACAAACGACGGCATCTAAACTTACCTAACCTTCTTCTCTGCCATGCTTCTTCTTCTGTTTGGGCTCCAGGCCCAGGTCCACTACTCCTCACCTCCTCCTCCTCCTCACCTCCTTCTCCTCCTCAGACCTTCTCCTCCTCTTCCTCCTTCGTTTCCTCTTCCCTCTCACGCTTTGGCACGCAGCCCGAAGTATTCACCGCAGCTCAACTCTCACCTGCCAGCCAACTCTCTGCTTCTTTCTCTTTCCTCCTCCTCTCTTCTTCTTCTTCCTTTTTGTGGTCCAGCTGGTTTGGATGCCCTTTTTTTTCAGTTGTGCTCAAAACCACCAATATTTGATCTGTGCCTCCTGGCCAGCCGTTCTGCTCTGATGGACCTCACGCTGAAACCAAATCTCTCTCCCACCACCTGGATACACAAAGACATTCAGAAAACAATGACTGAATATTTTCAAAGCGTGCACGTCACATCAAAGTTTCTCTCTTTTGTATAGCAGGCCAATATTGTCTGTCTCAAAAGCTGTGGTGGATAGACATCTGTGGTGGCTTCAGGAGGGTTTTGTTCCTATGGAGGCTCGACGCACCTCATATTTACTATCCAGTCTTTCAAATCCAGCCTGAATCATTCATAAAAGTGATTAGTGCTGTATCCCAGGACTCCCACACTGAAACAGAACATCTTGAGCCTCTCTAATCTGCAAGCTAAAGGGGATAAGAGTATTTGATCTAGAGACGCGGGTGGAACTGAAAAATGAAGGGCTTACACGTATTCTTTTACCACTTTGGGAATTCAGCGTTTACAAAAGACTCTAAAAGGAGATTTGAGTGGAAGCTGGGGAATTTGTTTGACAAGTTTCTTTTCTTTTCTTTTGCCCTGGAAGTACAATAGCATGCGGTCTAGCCTGAGATCGGCCGATTACAGACATAAATCTGTAAATCTTTACCTGAGCGTTCACACCTCTTAATTTCCTTTACTATGTTACTCTGTTTCTTTTCCTTCTTCACTCCCCTGATTTCCCCCTTCCCTCAGCTGCCTAATTAATCTCTCTCTCTTAATCTCTCCACCTCCATTACGCCTCTATTTTTAACCTGTAAACCTTCACTGTTTTCTCCACAGACAGTAACAGAAACACTCTATTTAACATCACGAGGGTTATCTCGGATGTACATCACCTCTACTCTTTCATCTCCTCGTTTTTTTTTTTCTACCTCACTTTGCATGCTCTGCCTTTTCCAGTGCAGGATCCTAGTCACATTCTGCACATGCCTTCACTGAGCCTCTTTCTGTGAAACTTTCTTTCAGCTCAGCTCCATTCACACACAGTAGTGACCCTGCCAAAACACAGACGAGGGTGCCTCACCCCAAGCGAACCTCCAGCTCTCCCAGACCTCTGTTCCCCCCCCCGGAAAAAACTGCACTGAAACACCCTGCTCTCACAGTTCACACAGAACCAGCCCCACGAGAAGACAGCTTTCAAAAGAAGTTCATTTTCTTCCATCACAGAGACACATCAGTGGGGAACGGGGATCTTACCTCTGCCGGTGCATCCCACAGACAGGATCAAGCTGTCCACTTTCCTTTCACTCCAACAATGTGTGCAGCAATGGTAGTCAAGCGAGAGCGATCTGAGAGAGCTAGCCGCCACTCAGGGGCCGTTGCACAAACACCAGCATTGTCCTGCTGCCTAAGTCCCTCCCTCTCGTGGTGACTCCCTGTGTGACACAGCCCCGGCAACACAGCTCTGCACTAACACAACTCGACATTAAACTCATGCCTGTGGAGCTTCTGCCACCACACACGCAACCGACTCCACAGGGTCGGACACCCACGATTAAAACTCTGCTCAAAGTATAAAAAGAGAAGTATAAACTGCAAGAAAAAAAAGGGGCTTCACCATCACTAATGAGCTCTCGTTGCAGCAGTCCAAGGATTACATAACACCTCTAAGCACAATGAATGCCACAAATGTTCAGAGACTTACAATTTCTACCAAGGTTACAGTGATATACCAACGTGATTATAACAGTTTTGGTCGTTTTATTAGTGTCAAATATGTCAAAGGAGTTAATTAAAGGACAAGCAGTTATATAAAGACATCAACAAAAAGAGCACGTGACCACCACAGCAACCCCTCGCTGCCCGTAAAGTATTTTCTCATGAGCATCGACTGACATATTGATTCCTTTTGATGGAAAAAACAATTGCTATCAATGATCAGCAGGGAAACACTCATGAAAGATGACTATTTTTTTTTAATCTACCGCTTTAGATTTAAAGCACTTTGTTACACCACACACACCGTTAATTAGAGGTGGAAACAGGAAACTGCATTGGCTCTTGTATCAATATATAGAACTATCTAGAAGACAGAGTGTCTGCCTCTGTAGCCAACAAAGAATGTCAAAGCCGGTGCCGCTTTTATCTACTGCAGTCTATAAAATGACCCTTCCTTTGTTTGGTACAGGCGACAATACGAGGCGGGCGGTTAATCATTTTCAAACCAAACTCGTGCACAGCATAGATGGGAAGGACTTTTACATTGAGAATTTACACCAGAAGGGATATTTAAATGTGCACAAAATAAGGGTATCAATAAACAAATGAAATAACAATTCACTGATCTGCACTGTGGCTGGTAGAGAGGCAGGCAAGAAACCCCTTGATAATACATTTTTGATCTGCAAACTAATCAACACTACATGCATCAGGGCCTCTAATTGAGACCTGCCTTCATTTGTCAAAATGTGCAGCAACACCGGGCTAGTAAAAGGGACTGGGACTTGAATTGGGATGGGCTTTTACTTTACTTTACTAAATACTTAGTTTGACAGTACTTCCCTGGGAAAGAGCTTGGAGAAGGACTTATTAGAGAACATAGACCTCAATGTGACAGAAAATGCAGAAAAAATCCAACTCTGCACGAAACAAAACAATACATTTAAAGTTAATTAATAGGACCTATTCTCAAACGTATGCAGGTGAACGAAGAATCACAGCATGGAGGGAAACTCCTGGAGCACATGGTCGATTCAGTAATTAATAAAATGCACCATATACTGTTTATGCCACCATTTAGAGACAGGACAGAGGATCGAACCAAAAAAGTGGAGTGGAGAGGAGACAGAGCGCAGGGAATTACATGCAGGGACGGGGCAACAGCTCGGATTTGAACCCGGCCCTCAAAAGGAAATGGGGGCATGCATTATCCACTAGGCTAGCGGCACTCCACTGCTGTTTGTTTTTTGTTTTATTTGTTTCATTTTTGTTTTAGTTTATTCTTTCCGCCCTACAAATCATTTCTTGAACTGAATAATTAAATCCAAACGTACTTCGCTGGAGGGCAGAGGTGTACAAAACAGTGATGACAATTTCAAATGTGTAGTAACAATATAGAGAGCTGTGCAAATCCAGTGATAACATATGTTATAGTGCCAATAAGTGTACAGACATATTATCAGCTGACAGACATAATGAGCGGATACACTAATCAAGGGAAATTGAATGTGCAAGGGTAAAATGTAAAAACTTCACAGGAGCAGAACAAGTTACAATTTGGAATAGACAGAGGTGATCAGGATGACAATTAAAGATACTTTACAACATGACACAGGTAAAGCTTTAAAACATTTCCATTCATCAGTTACATAAACTCCTCAAAAAAGTTTTGAAACCTTATTTCGGTCAATAATTTCACCCCTGTAATAATACTAACTGGTGTTGTATTTTATATTGTTGGAAAGCCTAATTAATCACCTTAACAACGAGGTATAACTTGTAAGGACTGTGTATTCGTGGAATGAGCAACACAACTAAACGTGTGGGTAGCACCCCAAAAAAATGTGCCAAAATCCCCTGCAATATTTTTCTGTTGGTATTCACTCCTGTTTTGAGTTTTTGATGATTGCCCTCTCCCACAGTAATAAGGAAAAAACAACACATATTGGCCATTTTTTACATTTTACACTGTCAGGGGCCTTAAAAGCGTGTGGAAGATCCATGCACAGCCACAACAGCTTGGCACCTCCTCCTCATGTTGGTCACCTGGTCACATTTCGGAATGGGATGGCATCCCATTCATCAACCTGGAGTTGTTGAAGGTCAACCTATGTGGTTGTGTTGGTCACTCTAGCACGTACAGCACACCCAAGCTGATCCCATAAGTGGCAGCACTTGAAACTCAACACAGGAGTCAATACCACAAGAACATTGCAGGGGTTTTCTGGTACATTTTTTTGAGGCGCTACCCTCATTCCATGAATGCACAATCCTTACAAGTTATACCTCGTTGTAAAGGTGACTAATCAGGCTGTCCAACGATATATAATACAAGACCAATTAGTATTGGTAAAGGGGCGAAATAAGTGACCGAAATAACGTTTCCAAACTTTTTTTGAGAAGTTTATATTTGGGTAACCTGAGTGTCTACTGACCCACAAAATGTGAAATAAACCCATCCAGTCCTTTGTTTGTGGTCTGCATAAGTCTTACAACACAGAAAAAAATGCTCCATTTCTAATTTGCTCTCCTTGTGACATCACAGTGGGATGCTGGTAAAACAAAATCTGCTCCCCTCCCCTGATATCTCCACCCACGGACTCCACCCCCAGCCTAGAACAAGACTTTTACACAGGTCCGCCATTTTTATTCTCTCTAGTGAAGGAGTGATGTCTACCAGGAAAACTCAGGGGGGTTCATTGCATTTAAAGAGACACCCACACCAAAACGGAGCGTTCTGAGAGAGCTGGTTTATTCACGGTCACAAACCTCCTCTGGTGCTTGATTCATGTTATATTTTGACCACAGCACAGATGTTTCATTTAGACCACAGGAAACTGTTTGAAAAGGTGGAGGAGGGGGGTCATATGTCCTCTTTAAGACTTGCAACAGAATGCAGAGTGTAATTAAAGTGTGTGGCAAAATCGCAGGTTCGTCCCTCTCTGACCTAACACACCTTTATAAGGTATAGACTTTGAAGGAGGTTTCAGTCAACCTTTTTCCAATGAGTTTCAGTTGCTTCAGTCTGGCCGCAGATTCAGTCTGACAGCATGTAGGACAAAGACACTAAAGAACTAATTTGTCCTGGCTGTCATTGCCTTTTTAAACGACTGGATGTGTTGCTTTTTCATCCGTTTTTATTTATTTATTGTATTTATTACTTCTTAGTGTCTTCTCATGTTGTGTGCTGATTGTTGGCTGGATGTTTATATGCTTTCACTGCTGACTGCAAAACAAATTGCCTCCTCACAGGGTTAATAAAGACAACCTTGAACCTTTAATGTGTACCAAATTTGCTAATTTTGTGTTTACGTTACCAAGGCCCATGACATTGGAATAAATTACTGACTATCTTTAAAAAAGAAGCATTTATAAGGACATTTCAAAAAGGTCTGTTGTACTGTAATTGAATTCTCATGTAGGAGAATCCTTCTATTTTGGAAATTACCCATCAGTTTCTCTTTGGCTGGGTGACTTAATCTCCTTCTTAAGAAAATCAAGTTTGTATTCAGAGGTCCAGTCGAGAAATTTGATGTCAGATGGCAACCCACTGTTACTTTGCTAAAAGTTGCTTAGGGCTCATGATGGATTAATGTTGGGTCATTGTAGATAATATAAAAATGAGAAAGGTCTTTTACCTGCTTTTTGTAAAGTGTCTCGAGGTAACACTTGATATGAATTGCTGCTATACAAATTAAGATCGATTGATGGATTGAACCCCTTCATCTCACAAGTCAGCAGGCGTCCAGCTGTCATTTTAAAAATAACTAGTAAAATATATTTATCTTCATTCTTAAGAAGACTTTTTACATTGATAAAGTGTACGTGTGATTTCCAGGATAGTTGTTAAAAAAATGTTCGGGTTTATTTTTAGGCTTTTTATGCCTTTATAAGCAGGATAGGACAGTGTCTAGAGTTCAAAGGGAGGGAGAGAGTGGGGAATGACATGGGAGGAAAGGAGTCACAGGTTGGATTCGAACCCAGGCCGTCTGCTTAGAGGACTACAGCCTCTGTACATGGGGCCCTCACTACAACCACTAGGCTGACGACACCCCCGATTTCCAGGATAGTGAATTGTCTATAATTACCCCAAGAAATTCTATTTCAGACAATCTTTCCATTTCAAAACCATTAATCACAAGTTTCTTCTTGGTTGAGATGGTTGACCGGTTCCTAAAAATCATGAACGTTGTTTTACGTTCAATGTTCATTTATTTGAGTCAAACCTTCAGTCTTCACATTCAGTTTCTTTAATTCCTTTTTTAATGTATCCAAAAGTTTTTTCCAAATTGTCCCAGCTGCATAGTCAATTTGTGTCATCTGCAAATAAAAATCGTTTTTTAGAGTAGAGTGGTAGTCTTTAGAAAACATAGACTTGTTTAAAGCTTAATTAATCACTTAATATGCAAGTACACAACTTTAAAGTATGTGCACACAAATGTGCTTTTTAATTATTTTATATCAGGATCCTAAGACAATTAATCCTGTTCATGTAGGAGAAAAAATGAGCTTCCCTTCATGTCAGCATGTGAACTTGCACACAGCACATCTCATGAATCTGATTCTTTCATTCTTTCATTCACTGACTGTTGAGCTTCGAAAAAGGTAAGTGTCATGGCCTTCCCTCTAGTGCCACCTTCAGGGCAAGAGTTTCCCCTGTTGTTATTCAGTGTTTGTGTTGCTGCATCTTCTTCATGCCTTTTGAATGTGGTTTGAGTTTTGCTCTCTGAAAAGCTGTTTGCCTTTTATTCATACTTAATTGTTTTTTTTACATTTTTTTATTCCAGTGAAAGAGACTCAGTTTGAACGTGGGGGTGTTTTAATGACATGCTGTTTACAAATTAAGAAAAAGGTATATTCTAAGTGATGTGTGCAAGTGTGTCTAACTCTGGAAACAGCCTTGCAAGTCAGAGTGGACACTTTAACACTCACTCTTAAGAAACAGTGCAGACTCCATGCATGCACTTTTTATCTATTGCGATAGAGGGAGCCCTTGTCTTGTGCATTGCCCAAAACGTCCGCCGCATTGTTGTTGACAAAATCTAAAGTGAGATTGTAATGAATTACTGTACGCAACACTGCTGGACGAAACATACGGAATATGGATTCCTGAGAATAAATGTTGATAATAGCCTATTAATAATATGAGATTTGAAATAAATTTAAAAAATAATTACGTTTAAATGTAATGTTTGAATAGGCTACTGAAATAAACATATAGTTTAACTTAAAATATGTTAGCTGCTGGTCCTTAACTGGTTTAACTTTACTGTTTTTATTCATTCACCATTCAAAAGCACTCCCTTTAAATGGTCGCTGCACTAATAAGCGGATAGGGTACAATTTATTTTAGACTTCAAAATACACTGACAAATAGGCTAGAAAGGAGTTTAAAAAATTATATAAAACTGCATATTTCGGTCAGATTAAATTGCCATGCTCGACACTATACGGTTATTTTATCTCAAAAATATTGAAACATCAGGCGGAAAGTAATCGCGCACCCCCGCGGCGCAGTGAGGTGGTACGGTCCTTCCCATCTGTTCAGCTCCGCGAGGCTCTGATTGAAACAGATTGAAGCGCTCCGCGGGTCGCGATGGCAACTGTCCGAACTGGACGGCGACAGCAACTTTTATCATACTGGTAACAACACGGAGTCGTTATAAGTCGGTTTAGAAACTACTTTCTGATGTGAGAAACAAACTCTATACACTTTCTTCAGTCCGAAAATGTCACAGGGATGTACAGTTTCTGTGGAAGAGATCCAGTCTTGGTGGGAAGTCCCCGCCATAGCCCACTTCTGCTCGCTGTTCAGGACAGCGTTCAACCTCCCAGACTTTGAAATAGAGGTAAATACCCGCTGTTGTTCCTCAAAGTTACACAAGTGAGTTTTATTGCGGAAATGAAAAGTTGTTTGTGTCAGCTTTTTGGTCTAAGTGGTGTGCCGAGCGCATAACTAGCAACCTGGTTAACCAGCTTAGCCCTGCTCTGTGAACTTCTCCCTCGATAGCGTTACCAAGGTGATCCTGTTAGGTAACGTTAGCTAGCCACAGCTCGTTAGCACGGCTAAACTCCAGCTTTAATTGTCTGCTGTTGGTTCTCAAAGCTGTAAAAACGCCACAAGAGACGTCATGATAGAGTTAAACGTGCGCAGGTGTACGGTATCATTACGTGGTTGTCGTCTGTCCCAGGGTGTTCGTGCGGTAACTGTGTGTAACTTTAGCCAGAGGGGCTCCAGTAACACAACCATGTGCCACTCGTTTGTTTTCATTTGGCCGGAGCCTCATGTTTATGTTGAGCAGCGACCTTTAGTTCAGGTCAGTCAAACAAAACTGCTCAAATAAACTGGCACGAAACGTAACCACGTGTCCTATTTTGTGGATTGTAAAGTTATTAATGCGACTTTAAAGTTGTTATTGGAGTGAAAAGTCACACACTTTACCTTGTTAGGTTGTCCCGTGTGCGGAGTGGACCCTGGTACTGTGTTTTTGTTTCACCTTTCTGTCATTAAAAGTTAAGTTCATTGCGTGAGGTTGGAGTTTATTGTCTTGCAGCCATCTGGCCGGGGTAGCCATAGGGACGCAGATGCTCTGTAGGCATTGTTTGCTCGCCCAAGTCCTGTTTTGTTGCGAGAATCGATGATTTCAGTGCTTGTTTCCATCATCTTAGCGCTATAGCAAGCTATAAGAGACGAATATAAGCATAGTATCTTCGTTTAGCCTTAGAATACATTGAATTTATCACACCACGATCACATAATTCAACTTTATCACTCGGGTTGGCCCCCCCTTGTTCCGTTAAATATATTCCATTTTCCCAAAACAGATTATTCCAGCATGAATCTTTTAGATTATTGTGTCTGGATGGCTGGAATTGTTTGAGCTATCGAGGAAAGGTTGCACTTTAGAGAAATTGGTAAGGTCAACATCACGCATCAACAGTCCCCATCACTCATTCATCCCCACCCCCTTCTGCGGAGAAACACACGCAGGCATCGCTTTGTTATTAAACGAGGTGCAGGGCAGATGGGGGGGGGGGGGGGTCGCATTGCGCCTAGTTTACATGAAAGTTGAGCTTATTGTGTTGTTGAATTCCCCCTGAATTAAGGTTTATATTACCCAGGTAATGGTGTAGTTTAAGATACTAATTATGTGTTCAGTTGCAAATGACTGATAGGCTTTAACTTAACAAATGCTCTTGTGTTAGAGTCTTTCAGTGACTCTCTGCTACTATCCAATACAAATATAATATATTCGACTTTAAACGCATGACAAAGCAGATCACATGTACGGATACACCCCCTCAGCTGGGTTTCCAGGAAATATTGAGATGGATGTAGTTGTCTTATTCTTTGACATCTCAATCAGACATGCAAGTGATCAAGGTCACACACTTCCTCTGGTTCTTGGTGTAATGATCTACCACTGCAGTTACAGGATGGTTTGATTGTCAATGGCTATAGAAGATTACTTCTTTAGGTCTTTGATTGAACTGATTATCACTGTACTTGCATGTCAGATGATTCTGAATTTCATCAGGTTGAGATACTCTGATCCTACGTAGCATTATGATTGAATAATTCTCTGATGTGGTGGGAATGCTATTGAGGATTTATAATGCATGAGATGGCAATTCTGTTGGGGCGAGCAAAGAAAACTAACGACACAAAACTAACAAATCATTGAGTCAACAGATGTTAAATGTTTGATTCCAAAACATAGATTCGGTAACATTTAAGCTATTAATTTGCAGTTCTTGACAAATTCTTAATAGATATTTTTAATCAAAAGATCACAAACGAACGCACATGTGGTCGGACTGAACAAACTGTGATTACCGTCTCCCCAGTGTTTAGTAAAGAACACTATTTTGTCATCTTCCCCTTCTTCTTCACCTACATCACTTCCTGGTTTTCTCCTTTCCTTTCCCTTGATTGGTTATTGGTTGCATTCTAGCACTCACTTCTATTGACCTACAAAAGGGGCGGCAGGACTGCGCAGATGGTTGAAATATCTCGTGTGTTTTTGTTATCCCCTGTTTTTGAACCTTTGATTTGAAGTTGAAGAAATAAACCTTGTAAACCATAACTGAAGTTTACTGGCTGGATTCATAGATCCGGACCCGATGCCCATGCATATTGATAGTCACCCAATAAATTTGAACCCTTCCTAACAATGGTTTTCTTTCTCTTGTTTCCTCTGTCTGTGTTCCTGCTTTGAACAGAGCACATGGTTTTCTTGGGTAGAAGTTAGTAGTGTACAAATCCAGCACCTCTAATGCTGTTATATATTATGTTCTGGGCAAGAGGAAAACTAAATCTACTTAAGTAGCTGTGTTTATATGGAGAGTCTTCTTCTGCTAATAGTTTTACAAGAGCTAAAGCAGAGTTAACATGCCTCATGAGTGCAGCTTGATCCGTCATCTGTCATTTTGATGCTCCTCTTATTACTCGTTAGTCCTATGCTTGGTTAGCTTAGATGTTAAAATATTTTTAAGTGGTGATGTTAAGTTGTTTTGGGTTCAGTAAAACCACAAGTTCAAGGTTCACAACTTTGTTCTTGTTTTGGTCTTTTTCCTCTCATCATTTCAGGGGAGCAGATCACTACTCAGCCTGGTAACAAATGTGCTGGAAGTTTAAAGTGAACACTTTATTTCTGCGTCCTTTTATACTTTGTCATTACACAGGATTATGTACCGGTGTTAGTGCCAGAACGTTATAAAATAAAGATAATTCAGACCAATTTCTTCCTACTCTCTGTCATCTGATCTACAGATAAGGTTGTATAAGTTTATTTTAGTGATCCATAGTATTAAAAGAACAGAAGCTTTACAGAAACTACAGATCGAGAGAGAGAGATTTAAATTGCCCTATAGTGGGTGCCTAGGACTTAATTTAATTGTTGTGGAATGGAAATGGGTATTGATATCGACTTTAATCTATAAAGTAGATACCAGGAAGACTCTGGAAATATCACTTCACTTGATGTATGACGACATTTACATATCACCTGAGGTTGACAAAACTTTATATTTCCCTTTTTTAACCCATAGTTACCTTTAGCGAGAGAGAGTGGTCAGTTCGGCAAATACTGACGTTTCCTGAGTCATTTTGGCATCTTGGAATGATGAAAATGTGTTTGTGCCATTTAAACAGTGTGCAGGAGTTTGCTTGAGATTTTAGTTCATGGTAAGCAATAAATTAGAGGTGCCAGGGGCCTAGCGATTGGTTATGCGCCTAATGCTCAGAGGCTGAAGTCTTTGAGGTGGGTGGCATGGGTTCAAGTCAGACCTGTGGCTCCTTTCCAGCATCATTCCCCACTCTCTCGCTGTCCTGTCTCTCAAATAAAGACGTTAAGAGCCCAAAAATATCTTAAAAACAAATAGATGAATAACCCAATATTTGTGCTTAGTACCTGCATTTCTGTTGCTGCGTTATCGAAACGGACGTAGATATAATTAAATTTTTGATAGTATCGTGTCAATTAAAAAAAATCTGCTATCATGACACAACCCTAGTCAGTAAAGTTTAGTGTCAGGCTTTTCACACCTTTATTTTTAGAGACAGGACAGTGGATATAATCAGTAATCGGGGAGAGAGAGAGAGTGGGGAATGACATGCAGAATCCACAGGACGGATTCAAACCTGGGCCGCCCACTTGGAGAACTATAGCCTCCGTACATGAGGCGCACTAACCACAGGGCTCCCCTATTCCCCTATATGATGCTTTTGATGCATTGTGTGAGGCACTTGGAATTGCCTTGTTGCTGAAATGTGCTGTAGGAATGAACTTACCTCCTGTTCTAGTCTAGTTCTTTACCAACTTCATGCACTCTGTTAATGAAAAACAGTAATCAGTAATGGATTGTTCCAGAAGCTGGACATTTGGATCAGACATGTTTACTTTCTGAGGACTGTTTGTCACTGAAATAAAAGGAAACCGGTCATGTCGACATGTTTGTTTTGCTTAATGCCACATACCGGCAACAAGACGAGCTGGTCTGGGCACTGTCATGGCCTGACTATCATCTGCTTTTGCCTTTTTCTTGACTTGTAAGTTAGGGTTGATTAAAATAGATGAGCCCCTATTTGTAAACCTTAATCAATCTGACAGCTGACAAAGTCTTTCAAGTTTTGGTTAATTGTCTTTTTTTCTTCTAAGGGATGCTTCTGGCGGTGCTTGGGTAAGAGGAACGGTTGGATAATATCACTCAGCTCCAGTTGCACTTGCGTCTCTGGACACATAGGTTGAATTACTCAAGAATCAGAGGTTGAAAAGGGGGCAGGAAGTGGCTGTCATTTGTCATGACAGAGTAGGGGGCGTCGAGTGGTTTCACCGTGTCTTGAGCTCAAGTGTCAACATTAGCTGACATACTATCAGTCCTTCCTTGTGGATGTAGAGTCTTGTATTCGCTGCTGTCGTCTTTGTTCTGTCACTCTTTGCCACTGTATAAAAGACAATACGTCAAAAAATGGGGCTGTGGAGTTGTATCTTCTTGGATTGCAGAACATAATTCTGCAATCAAAGAGGGTGTGCAGGAGTTTGCTTGCTATTTATGGTAATAAAAAATATCACCCAATACCCATTATTCAAAAGAAAGTCTATTTTTGTTGCCATGGTATCTAAACAGTTATGGTAGGATGTTGTTGTTTTTTTACTAGTATTTTATTAAATATTTAAAATTATGTTATCTTGACAACCCAACCTTAGGGTGCACTCACACTAGGCCCAGTGGCCCGTACACTGCTGAAGCACGAAGCACTCTGGGATTTCATAATAATGGAATACTCTCGACGATTCATGCCTGTGCTTGTGCTCGTGCATGAGCAATTGTACCGTACCGAAGCACA